GTCAAAAATGCATAGTAATAAACTTTTAATTTTCTTAAGTATCAAAAAGAAGAAGAAATTTTTTTTAAATATAAATATTTAAACAAATTTTGTGCAAAATTTTTCTGCACATGTATTTGAATATAAATTTCTGAGATTTTAAATCTGTTATTTTACCTTAATTTTAATTAAAAAATATTTTAAAACCTGCTGATTACTTACAGTATAATAAAATTTCAATATAATGCATGGCAACTGTTGGTAGTTTTGAAGTTTATATATTTTCTTGGCAAACTTCAGTTTTTGACAATCTTGACGGGTTTTTGACGGTTTAAACCAGTATTATACCCTTGTCATGTCAAAAACCACTTTTTGACGTCAGAAACCCAACCCTGCGCCAAACGGATTTTAAACTTGAGTTTTTTTTAAAAAATTCAAAAAAACATTTAAAGGTTTGCATGAAGGTGGTTATACCCTTAGAGTTGGTACTATTCGATGATTTTTTTTTCTTTTTTTTTTAAGTTTCTTGCTGCCCCTGCCAGAAAATTGCTCAGACTTGGCGATTATTCTGGCACTTATCCCAAGGAAATCTTCCCAAATTCAGGAATTAAATGTACGGGGCTCAATTAAAATGTAATATACAGTTTTTGTGAAAATTATATTAGAGCAAACATATAAATAAAACTTATTTGCATGCATATTTAATTGAAATTTTTTGCATGCAGTTTTTTTTTAAAATTCTATTTTCTAATTCAATATGTATTATCTAAATACAACAATTCTAAGTTTTAACATAATAATGAGTTTAATCTAAGGTCATGCAGTTACTGTGTGTAGAAACACAGCTTTAACATTTAACATGACTAACAATTGTTGTATACAACACAGATTTATACATAAATTTAATATAAAGACATGAACAAGTATATAATTAGAAGGTAGCACCTTAAAAAATTTAGAACTGTTGAGGTTTTATTTCCAGCAGACGAAACCGTTCTCATGAGAGACATTTTTCATTTTGTTATGCTTTGCTTAGTTGTTTAGCCAATGATGGCAATGATAACGTAAATAAACACTCATTAATTATGAGTGAGACAGAATCGGAAGACCCTAAGTGTTTTTTTCTACTATTTTATTTTTTAATATATAAAAATAATATCAGTTTCTTAAAAAAGCAATGAATGGTTTTAAGGAATTTTCTTGCCTTATTAAACTAGAAAGCTTCATGAAAATGGCAACAGATTTTCTCATGAATTTTGATTAATTTCGGGTTGTCGGTATGTATGTGAAATGGTTTGTATTTGTTAATTTAAATGTATTTAAACATTCATAATTTGTTAAAGATGATTAAAAAAAAGACATTTTAGTTACTCTTATCTTAAATTCATCTTAATGTATGTATGTAATCTGTAATATAAATTCTGATCTTTATTTTGAAAATTGCCTAGCCATGTATGAAGCGCCAATCCAGTTCTGATCAACGCTATTTATATATTTGTTTACCTGTTTGTTTAATTTTATGATTTTGAGCTATATTGCTTACTGTTGCAATATTAGCGATATTCTTGAATATTTTTTATATTAATTTTATGTATTTTTGTTTAACTTTTACTGTTGAATTTAAACGTATATATGATGGATCTTATAAAATTGAAGATCGAAATATTGTTATTATTCAAATATAATTTGTCATTTCAGAATCTGATGGGTTTTTTTCATTCATAAATTGCAGTTTTTTCTTAGAATAGTTTTCTACTTCCCTTCATTCGAATTAATGTTCCTCTTAACATTTTAACTTGATTTGTACTTGTCATAACCTTTTTTAGATCTTGGCCTTGTTATGAACTAATTAACTTAATTTCTTTTCAGGATTTGTTTAAATAAAGCAAATTATGTGCATTCAAGGTTTTAAAAAAAAGGTATTGACTATTTTTTTCAATCACTAATTTATTATCTTCTTATATTACTACTATTTTAAGAATTATAAACTATATTCAATGTTTTTCCTAAGCGTTTTAGAAGGACTGCTTGCCCTTTTATCCCTTTTTAAATTGCACTTTTTGTAAAAATTAGCCTCTATCTCTTAAAAACACTGCCCATACTCCATAATTTGAAAAAGATTAATTCAGAGTTGGCAAAGTTTAGGACAGAATGGATTAAACCAGGGTTTGACCAAAACCAAAACTGTCCAAAACTATTTTAATCAAATTATGTCATAATTTTAAAAAAATATTGTGAAAAATAAAATTTTACCTTTTGAACAAGAAACAAAATGAATGCAATTTAAAAAAGTTTATTATTATATTTAATATTGCATTATTAATCCTTATGCAAAAACATAATTTACCAGTATTAAAAGCATATACATTCATATTTAAGGGTTAAGGTATTCACTTTTGTGTTCAATGAATTGTGGAGCTTCGAAAGTTATAAATCTTTTTTTATTATGTTATTTTCTTTTAATAAGTTTAAGCAAATTGTATAAATAGCATCTAATATTTATTAATATATGTAATTATTATGTGTTACACATATAGAATGTTTACCAAAGTTCAAGTTTTTGGACAGTTTTAATCATTTTAGGACAATTTAAGACAGTTAAAAGACAATAAAGCCCATGTGTCCTGTCCGAAACCATAATTATCGTTGTTTATTGGTTTCATTCTTAATACTATTGCAAATATATTTACTTTGTTAGGATTGTTCTCGACTGGTTAAATGTCTATAAGTATCTCGTTTTTTCTGTGGATGAAATTAATAAATTTTTAAAATGATTTTAAATTTCACAATTATTTTTTAAATAAATAACTGCTTTAAAAGAAAAAGTGCAACTTTAAATGTTTATTTTCTCATTCATTTTCAGTTTTAATTATAGAAAAAAGATTTTAAGTTTTTTATCAATTTTTTTTTAGTGAACTTTTTTTAGAAAATATTCATGCAAAGAGATTGTCTTTTTTAGCATGCCTTTTATTATTTTTATAAACTACATGTTTTTCTCTTGCGTTAAAAAGAAGAGAGAATTACTTTTAAATACACACATAAAATAGCATAAGAGGGTATAATTTAAAAATTCAGTTATTACATAATATGATACATTTTAATAAATTTTTACACTGCTAAATGAGTGCCTTTTTCTGAGAGAAAGCGGTCTTCCATTTTTTATTCCTTGGAAGAACTCTGTTATTATTGCCACAAAATGAGGATAAACTCTACTTATGATGCGCTTTATATATTTTTGCTTAGATGCTAATAAATTATTACTTATTTAATAATGATTAATACATCCAAATTAATTTTTTTTATATTCAAGATATATTTTTATTTATGTTGTATGGGTTATTATATACCAAAAATCTTTATATATTGCATTTGTTTTCTTCCTCAAATGCCTCATTTTATTAAGCCATATTATATTATTTTAACATTTTTTTTCTTAATTATGTATGAATTACAATTTTGCATTAGAGTCATGTTTTGAATTTGTTTTCTTTATACTTGCTTTTGAACAAAATATTGATTTTTAACTTTTACTATGTGAATCTTGGTTAATAGCTCTATTATTTTGTTTAAATTTTCATTCTTAAACAAATAAACCTTGTTTTACTTTATAGTTTAAGTGAAAGAAAAGCCATAAAGCTTTTAGAGCATATAGACTATTTTTAAGTTTCAACCATAAGGCTAGAGAAATTTTATAGTTTAATTTTTTTTTCTTTGCTTATTTTATTCAGTAAAATCTTGTGATAAAGTTATCTCGTAGATCTGTCAACACTTTCGAAAATGCATAAATCCTTTGGCGCCATCATAGAAAAGCAAGCTAAACTCATTAAATTTATCAAATAAAATTTGTAGTAAAATAATTATAACAATAAAAGTGCGTAAAAAAATTTTATCACAAAAGAATCAAAGCAAAGTAAAAAATTCTAGTTTTTACATATATATATATTATTACACATTGAATTATTCTTGAATCTAACTATATATGTTATTATAAATCATATCGGTAGCCAAAAATGCTTGATAGCTTTTAAAAAACAATTAAACAAGTCATTATCCTTGTACCGTTGCCTCCTCATAAATTTGTTTTAATACGCTAAGGGCAACTAACTTACATAAACAGGGATTGCACAGTCAATATGATAAAATTTGTGGTTATTTGTGCAGAAGCATATAGACAATTTATATATTTTGCAATAATATTGTGTTTGAAGAAAATGGCCGATGGGATAATCCCAAAGTACGAAAATGGTGGACGAGATAATCCCAAAGTACCAATCTTGCTTTAAAAGTATGAACAACTTACATTGCTAGGGTCATGGTGCGATAAAATGGGTACATGTTAAAAAGACTTCTATTTTCTTCTTCTTTTAGGTTGAGATAATTATTTAATATTTTTAGTGACATATACTGGGATTGAGACAAACTTTTTTATTTCTGTTTTAGAAACTGATAAAAAAAATTTAACGTTTACTCACTGTTTATGATCAACTTATTACATAAGTTAGTTTAAACTGTTGAAGAATTTTCTTCTTATATCATTAAAACTGTCGAAAACTTTTAATTTTTAGTCCAAACTGAAGAGGGTTGTCTAAAGAACAGATCTTCGTAGAAATTTAAGAATAAATTTCAAAATTCTAATTATGAATTGTTTTCTATAGTGGATATGTGGTTAGGCCTAGCTAAGTGTTGTGAAATATATATTTTTCTTTAACTTCTGTATTAGTTTTGGAAAGGATCTAATGTTCTACATTTTATGATGGAACAACTAAAAAATAATTTACTTGTTTGATTATAGCCCTACATAGTAATTATAATGCAGAAATCAAAATTTCTTTTATTTTTAATTTTTTAAAAAGAAGAATGATTGGGAGAATAACACTGTAACATGTATTTTAAAATTTAAAAAAATTACCAAAATAGCATAATGATACAACTTAATGAGCATATTTAAAGTTATGGATAAGATTTCATGCAAGTTTCTGTCTTCTTATGGCAGTTTTTTCATGGAAAACAAAACTATTTCCTTAAAGTAACAAAATTCAATAATTACAGCTAAAAAATTTGTAGTTTATAATTTTAAAGGTATGCTCACTGAGTATAAAATTTTTAAACATTTAAAAACATTACAACAACTTAAAAATTTTTTTTATCTTATTTAAATAGAAAATCAACACTTAAAGTTGCATTTAAAAAGAAAATTTTATTTGAAACTAATTTTAAAAATTAAAACTATTAAATATCTCCCTTTTCCAGAAAAAAGAGATATTTATAAAAACTTAATGAGTTGATAATAATCTTAATAAAGTAAATATTAATCATATTATATCCCAATCATGCAATTTTTTTTTTAATTCAACTGCAAATTAATTAAACACATTTTGCTCCACCACATAATTCTAGTATGTCAAGCAACTGCCTTCTGTTTCATTCATTGTTTTATCTTTGTCAATCTTTTACTTCTAAAAGCTGTTATTATTTCATTGTGTTAAATATCGTAAAATTTAATATCACATAATTTGTTTTTTTAAAATGTAAAATGGCAACGAAATGTATGCGATTTTTCAGACTCACATCTTTTTAATGTGTCGAAAAGTTAATATCTATTCATCTTATTAATCATTTTACTTCACAAATCAATGTATAATCAAGCGTGTTTTATTTCTGCATTTTGAAATGTATTTCTCATCAAACATTTAAAAAAATTAATAAATACAATATTTAAAAGTTAAGTTTTACTAAAATTTAGTTGCAATAATATTTATATTTTTAAATATTTTCTTTTTAGAGGAAATCAGAAGTTTTGCATGAATTATCAGTTAGAGATGTTTTATGGTCAAAATTAATCAGTAAATTATGAAAACTACTGCTAGATCTTGACTCTTTCATGAATAATCGTGAATGGTTGTGTAAGGATGTCATCACGTCGATCTGTATCTGAAGGTAGCAAAAGATCTGTTTCACCTGTAGCATTATCTGGAGATTTTCATAATGAAGATGAATTTAATAAAGTATCTAGAGAAACAATATTTAGGGTTGTTTCTGAACTAGTTAATTTTACTGTGAATAATTCACCTGATAAAGATTCCCTATTAAACACTTCACAGTCTCGAAATAAAAACAAACATAAAATAAATGCTGATGAGCCACTAAACGATTCTAAAGATTTACCGGTTCGTAGGAGCTCCCGTATTCAGAGTAAAACTGTTAAAAAAGATGAAAATTTTAAAAAATCAAAGACTCCTAGGCAAGAGGACACAAATTTTATAGACGTAGTATCTGTTGACGACGAAATGGAAGTTGATAAAGGACAGTTAGAAACACCTGAACAAAAACCAAATATGACTATAATTCAGTCACCTTCTACTAAAAGTGAAACTGAAGGTAAAAAGCTAAAAGAAAATGCTTCAAAATTACCCAAAACTCCTAAGAGATCTAATAAAAAGGCTGATAAAAAGGAAGATGTAAAGACAGCAGAGAAACCCAAACCAGATAGAAAGAGGACAGCTGCCAGAAAAAGAAAGCAAGAGTTGACCGATTGCAACACTATTTTAGACGAAGATGAAAACAAGAAGGAAACCGAATCACCCAATGAAAATACTATATTTGTAAACATCATCAAAGATAGTTCGACTCCTACAACGAGCATTATTCGAGCCCCGTTTGTCAAGGTTCACGAAGCTGCCAATGCTGAAACAAAAAGTGGTGACCATGCACAACCTGTCAGGTCTGACGATGATAAAAGTAATGAAACTAACGACGTATCTGAGACAAGCAGCATAAAACCAGTGAAGGTCAAATCCAGGTGGTGGAGATCCAGTGAATTAGAAGGTGTTCTAAAAACAGAGCCCACAACTCCTTCTGTTGTTGACCCGGGACTTGTAGCTCAGATTGATGTCATTAAGACTGCCAATTCTTACGAACAATCTTATTTGAAAATTGGCGAACTAAAATTTGAAAATCCAATCTCTACCCCTGTGGAACCTGAAAATATGACTCTTAAAGAAAATCCACCTGCTCCAAAGCCAGAGCCGGTTGTAGAACGACCTGTGTACGAACATATTGATGAAAATATATATAAGTTTGAAAGGTAAGCTCTAATTTTATAAGGAGATTGTTATGCTAATTTATGTAAAATATCTAATCTTTAGTTTTACTTCAAAATCCTATCAGCTTAGTTAAATTAAAGTTAAAATTTAGTTTTTGAAAATTTTGATTGTTTAGTTAATGTTTATAAAAAAAATGTATCTTAGTTATTTGCTGCATATATCATGGTTATATCACATACTTGCCCAGTGTTCTTGATTAACAGGAAGATTTCCTGATTTTAGAGTTTTCTCTTACATATTAATTAAAAATTTGTAAATGTATTTAAATTTCAAGTCATGCAATTGTGATATTTAAAGTTAATTAACACAAGTATATATCTACCTTAGATCTAAATTTATCTATTATTTTCTTTTCCTAGTGTCAATACACTCCAATGAAAAATTAAGTAAATGTAAGAATAAGATTGGAAGTTAAAAAATATTATAATTATGTCTCACTAAAATTAAAAGTGTAGCAGTAAGAAAAATATAAATATTAAATTGCAGTAAGAAAAATATAAGTAGAAATATTTAAAAAAAAAAAAATCAGTCAATGCACATTCAGACTTAAAGTTTTCACTTTTTTTTTCTTATGCTACTAACTTACGAGAAAGAAAACTTAAAAATTTGTAAAACAAAAGAAATTTTACGATTTTAAAATCAAAACAAATTAAATGCAAAACAAATTAAAAATGCTAATTATATTATAAAAAACATGTTGATTAATAAGAGTTTAAAGAAATATTAAAGACTGAAATTAAACAAAAACCAGAGAATTGTTTCATTTAAAACTAAGAAGAAGAAAAGCTGAAATGCAACCTTGTCATAAAAACATAAGACAAAACTTTAAAGCAAAAAAACTCAATTCACATTGATTGGCCACTTGTCCAAGGGACCACTATTATTTTAGGTTGGTCCAAGTCAAATTTATAGGTTTCGGACTAACGGACTGCTGTTAATTTAAAGTAATGATTTACTATAATTTCTGTATTCTTAAGTCATGAAATTTCCCATTTGTTAAATGATATGTTTTAAAACTCAATTAAACTTTTTTGCATGATTTGTAGCTTGATTTTCTTGGATAACTGTTTTGTTATAGAAAGAAGTTAATGTAATGTGGAGCAATTCCTTTTCACCGAAATCTAATTAAAATGCTAGAGAAGCAATTGACAGTTAACTACCTATTTTCATATTATTGCCAGAATGTGTTAAAGTTTATTGATGATTGAGGCTTAATGTTATAGGAAAATATAATGTATCAATAGTAGTACTTCAAAAGAGAAAGATATTCCAGGTTTTGTATCATATCTACATTGTCAGTCACATTTCTTTCTCATATGTACACTTTTCTTTCTTTTTTTTTAAAAAAAAAAAAGGTAAAGAANCCGGATAACTGACTTTTCCGATTTTTTGAATCGCTTACAAAAGCCGTTTTTTTTTATTGTTAAACCCAACTAAAAAAAATTATATTTGGAAATAATCTTAAAAAGAAGAAAAAACGAAGTAATACACTAATGATTATTTCCAAAATGATAGTAAGGTAAACATCTTTCCAAAAAGAAAGAAAAATCCTAAAATCTTATGTGGAAAAGTAAAATAATATTTCTTAAACAATGGTGGGAAAATTTACGAATTTCGTTCCTGTTTTCTGATTTCCGGATAACGGGTTCTGTACTGTATAAGTTGTTTTTCCCATGTTTCATAGATAAAATGATATTTTTTGGAAACAGATTTTATCCCTATTGCCTTTCTAAGTGATACTTTTTTGTCTTTTATTTTCTGTTTTGGACAAAAATGAAAGAAATATTTAGTCCTAATTCTTTTTAAAAATTGCTTTTTCCAAAAATTGTTTCATCCTTTACATTATTTTTGTCCCTTTAACTACTCATTGCTTCTAGTGGTCCTGCTTCTTAAGTTACTTTACATTTTCCTTATTCTGAAATGTTATAGCAATTGTTGAGAATGAATTATTCGGAGATTCTTTACAAGGGTCTGTTTAGAAGAAATTTTGGTCCGTTAATGGACTCTTCTCAAAATATCTTTTCATGAAAACGGACCCTTCACAAATTTGTTTATCTTCATTATTGTTTTGTTAATTGAATAAACCCTTCCCAGGTGTAAAAAAGAAAGATGGATGTAAACAAATTAAGTTTTGTCTTCAGACGCGCTTCTTCCATTATTCTTCCAAAATGAATATTCTGCGTTCAGCAGTATAGGCTAAATACCAAATATTTGTATGTTGCATCTCTAATTTAGAAGTAGCAATTGCTGTTTATTTTTTAAAATTTTAATTTTTTTTTTCATTATAATTTTACAGTGTTGAATACAGGACCCTATTTGCACAAATTCATAAAAGCAGGACCCAGGTTGAAAGAATATGACTTAATGTTTATTTTATATTCACAAATTACAAGTAATTTTTTCACAATTTTACAAAAACCTGACCTTTCACAAAATGTCTGAATGACCCCCTGCTTTATTTGGAACCTTTGTTTGCTGGAAGCAAACACCTGATAGAGTTAATAATAATAAGTGCTGTATTTTATATGTTTTGTTATTAAAATAGATGTAGATTATTAACTTATATTTATTATCACTGTTATTTTTCTTGGCGAATTTTCTACATCTTTATTGAAAACCTATTGTAGGAAAAAGTCTAAAAGTAAAAAGCAAGTACGAAGAATGATTTGTGATTGTACGCTATCCAAAGAAGAACTTGAGAGGGACGTACTTGGCTGTAAGGAGGAATGCTTAAATAGACTTCTTATGATTGAATGGCAAGTATAGAGTTTATGCTGGTATTATATTAATTTAGAGTTATATTTTAGTTTTAATGATACTTAATAATTAACATGACTGAGATGCATTTTATAAAAACTGCAAAACAACACACTCTTTGGAGATTATCCAGAAATAAGTTGCTCTTTACTAAATATTTGTTTAAACCATTATCATTATATATGATTCTGTTTTTAACTACTCTGTTACTAGGATATTTTTTCTTTGATCCTTTCCTTTTCCAACCTTTTTATCGGATCTTAAAGTTAAAAGGAAAAACTTAAAACTGATGTATCATACTACTAATTTTTTTTTTTAATTGTGCATTCTAAGTAATATTGAAAAGTATATAAATCAAATTGTAATGTTTATAAATTGTTTAAAATGTTGATAAATCAAAGGTTTCTTAGGATATATATGTTGTAACTTCATTCAGAAAGTGCATAAGCATGCATTCAAACTTAAATTTATTTCCATGACCTATTATAATCTTTGGATGTTTTTTATTAATATTTTTTTCCTTACACTAATTCAAGCTAAATTATATTTTGGTATTTTTTAATTATTAAAAAAATATATAATAGATGCTTAAAAGAAATCTTAGATTATTGGAATTATATTTATACTTAAATGTGAAATGCGAAAAAAGTAGCTTTATTTATTTATTTTCCCCATTCATATTCAAAAATTTATCTGTAATTGATTTTGTAGTTTAAAGAAATTTATGGTAAAGAATTTATTTTATATCTAAAGAACTGTAAATTTGAAACATTATTGTCTGGAGGTGAGCTGTGTTTAAAAGATTTTACCTTAAATACATGGGAAAAAACACTAGTATTTCATGCTGTATTTCTAGTAACACTAGTATTTCATAGCCATAAATTATTAAAATGCTAAGTATACTATTTTTCACGTAAATTGATACAAAATAATGAAAAAAATATGTATGAAAATTCTGCTTCAAATACATTTGTGGGGAATCTGCCTAAGAATGATTTACAAAGTGTTTTATAAAAAGCTCTTAATTTCTGTACTCCCTGGTTAGAAAATAAAGTTGTGATGGTCATTCGAAATAAATTTTAATTGTTCGATTCCAAAATGTATGGGAATCTATATAAATTGAATGCTTTTGTGGATAGTCTGTTTTCTCAAAAAAATTTAATTTCAACCCTCAGAAATGGTGCAAGAATCTTTGTATTTAAAAATTAGTAATTTATATAGATTTAGGTGTCTTCAAGACACAAGTTGCTTAAAAAATTTATTTAAATTTAAAAATGGGGACAAAATTTGATATTATGACCATAACAGTTGTAGCAATTTCTGTTAATTAAAAATAATATATCGTAAAAAATTCTGAGAATAATTTTTGTTCTATGAACTTTGAAGTACCAAACTATTTTAATTACTATACTTCTGGGAACCTTTTTTGCATCATGGCAAACATTTTGCTACCCGAACCTATTTTATTGATAATATTGATCGTTTTTATATTGTGTTTAAAAAAGAGTGTTACTAGTGTTTACGAAATAACTTATAAATTCTACTTTCTTTTTTTCAATTTTAGTGGCTACCGATGTCCTATAGGTGAGGCTTGTTCCAATAAAAAGTTCCAAAAGGTGAGATTTTAGTTACAGTTTTTATTTTTCTGATGAATCTAATGTTATAGGCTTTCTTACAGACTTATTTCTGATTTCAATTAAGTGTAAAAATTTCATATACTTTGCGTATGTTTGAAAAGTTGATAAGGTCTTGTTAATGCTAAAAGAGTCCTCAAAATATTTTATTTTTTTTTATAGTTTATTTCATTATTAGTCCATATATATATATTTAAATTTTTTGTCTCCATGTACTATAAGAGCACAACTAATGAAGTTAGTTATACAACTTTAATTATTGCAGGGTATTTTCTCAATTTCTCTAACTTTTGCATACTTTAACAATATTTCTCTGACATATTTATTTTCATTATTTAAATGGTATGATTTGCCAAAAATACTCACAAATAGAAAAAAAAAAATATGTATGGAGCGCATTTTGTACTTAAATTATATTTTTAAAAAATGAAATGTAAGTAAAAATTCATCATTGTCCGATGTCCCCAACACACATTTCTGAACTTTTAAATAATTTATGGCATGAAAGTGTAAATAAAATAAATTCATACATATAGTATGACTGTCTATAAACATAAGTATAAGAAGAAACAAAATTGAATTGAAAAATAAAGGTAAGAAACAAAACGAGAAAAACTGCAGTAGCTGAGAGTGAAACAGAATAAAATCCACATGCTAATACTTAGCGTGTGGTTTCTAGAAATAACCATTTAATTGAAGTGCAGTTTGCGATACTCTGGAATTTATGATAGGTTTATATTGAGAATAATATTGTTTAAGTTTTTTTTTTATTTCGTTTTACAATTGGTTATTGCGTAACAGAAATTTAAAAAATAATGTATTATTAATCTTTAATTTCTTTTTTCAGAAACAAAACGCTAAAGTAGAAATTTTTAAGGCAGAATTAAAAGGTTGGGGATTAAGAGCTTTAGAGCCATTATCTACGTAAGTATCTTTTAATGCAACTGAAATTGTACTCTTCCTGTTTATCAAATTTTCATATGTTACTTACGGATGTTCTTATTTATTTTTTAGTTTAATTTTATCTTATTTCATAAATTGATTTGTTATAAATTAGTATAAAAATCCTTATTTTTATGGAAGCAATTTCCAACAACTTAGTTAATTAATTTTCTGTCTTTTTAGTGGTGATTTTTTGCTGGAATTTGTGGGAGAAGTGTTAAACCACAAAGAATATAGACAACGAGCGAAGCAGTATGCTAAGGATAAAAATGTTCATTGCTATTTTATGGCTCTAAAAACTGATGAAATCCTAGATGCCACCGTTAAAGGAAATTATTCTCGATTTATTAACCACAGCTGTGATCCAAACTGTGAAACACAGAAGGTATGGTAAATTGAACTTTAATTTTCTTTTTCTACTGAAATAATTTTTTTTTTTTAATCTTTGATTAACTATCTTATTTTCAATGTGATGTAAAATAATATTTACTTACTATCACTTTAACATAACTAAATTGACATGTTTCTGCAAAAATTGCATAAAATCTACACTTGACTTACACTTATGATTCCCAAGTAAATAAAAATTTATTCATAAAGTATATATACAGTCGGACTTCTATTTAGCAAACTTCCATTTTGCGAATTTTTTCGAGGAACCGAAAACATTTTGGAAATTTCTTCGTAAAATAACTTCCAAATAGCGAAGTGAATTTTCTATTTAACGAAGTTTTCTTTGAGATCCTTTTTCCCTATTTCCCAAAATATTTCAGAACATTTCAAACTTGTTATATGCATTTTATGGGGGAAATGACCTTGAATTAATTTTTGAAGCCACTTTCAGATAAAGCAGTGAAATCCCTTTCCCTTTTTGTTTGCATTTCAAACGAAAAATATAAAATTAACGGATTTTATCGGTAGCAATTAAACTTATGAACGCATGTGGTAATGTATGCTTGAAATTACTTCTATAATAAATGTAGCTATAATTTTATACATAAATTTAGTTGAAAATTTATGTAACATGATAGAGTAACACTGCTGTTTTGCTCTATTCTTGCTTTTCATGCAGATTTCTTGTATGGTTAAGATTTATAGGAAAATAAATAGTAGATACTAGTTTACTAGATAAAGGTGTATCAATTACTATTTTAATTAGGTCTAGTGTTTATGAGTTTAAAACCTGTTTTGTGTCGTTTAAGTATTTCAAAACGTGATTTTCTATTTAACGAATTTTCCATATAACGAACTTATTATCGGGATTTAGCGACTTCTTTAAATAGAGGTCCGACTTTAGATAATTTATTTGAAATAAATCTAAGGGAATTAAATTGTTTCGATGCAAAGCCTCTATACTTTAAAAAAGACACAGAAACTTTTACTTTTTAAAAATTTTAAATAAACAAATGAAAATATTAGGAAGTATTTTATTTAACTTACATTTTGATTAACTTCATTTTATTCATTACTAAAATTTACCACTCTTTTTTGTAGTGGACTGTCAATGGGGAATTATTAAGAAGTATTTTATTTAACTCACTTTTTGATTAACTTCATTTTATTCATTAATAAAGTTTACCACTCTTTTTTGTAGTGGACTGTCAATGGGGAATTACGAGTTGGTGTATTTACTAAACGCCCAATTGCTGTTGGGGAGGAGTTCACTTTAGATTACCAATTTCAAAGATATGGGTAAATATATTTCTATTTTATTAAGCTTGTTTTTGTCTTAACCACTAATTTCAAATACATGCATAGATATTTTTGTTAACTGCTGCACTTTAAGAACTCATTTTACTTTTAAGAATTCAATGTTTTTATTATTTTGTCTTGTACGCAACTCTCTATTGAAAAATCAAAAGCATTTTTTAGAAAAAGTAAGTACTTGTTTTCTAAAACTTAAGTTTTTGATATTGTGATTCTACTGAATATAAAAGGTAAGTTTTTTCCCCCTTTTTTTGCAAACAAGATTTCAATAGTTAGAATGTTTCATTAATGTTAAAGTTCATTGTATTTGACAAATAATCATTTGAAATTAATTTTAGTTTGTTTAGGTTTGAGTTGCATTTTAATTTACATTTATATTATTTAATGTAGCAAGAATAAACTATTTTTTTATGTAATTTTTTGTTCATAAAAATTATTAAGCTGTATTTTATAAATGCAACTTTTATTCCTCAGTCATATAAAAAATTGAAGATTGAATTTATTCATTTTCTTTAAGTATATTTGGAACTGGTAAATTTGGTAATTATTTTGTTTATTCTTTTTATACTCTTGAATATATAAAGCCCCTTGTTTATCTCACTAGTCGTGCATCTTGTCCTTAGTATCAGATCTTACTTCTTTCTATCTAGAAATTTCTGCTCATTTTAATATACATAAAAAAAATTATACACTGTCAGATAGATCTGACCCACCCTCTTTTTTTTTTCCATCTGGACCACAGGTAAGTATAATAGTATGCTAAAAGCAGATTTTTAAGATTTGCTCAGTCAATTTAATTTATTTTCAAAAAGTTTGTATTTGATTTTTTATGTAGGGTATATATTTGATGTATTTTTAAAAGCATTTTTTGTATTTATTTTTGATCCCAGAATTTTTTTTTATGTATTGAAGTTAAATTTATTAGTTCAATTATATAATAGCGAAATACTACATAGTTTACAAAACATTAATTGATATTCTCTGTTTTATTTTTTCTCTTTTTAATATTTGTAAATAAAAGCCTTTTTTTTTTAAGTTAAATTAAAAGCTTGGCACATTTTTACATGCTTTATTTCAATTACAAATTAATTTTTAGTTTCCTTCAAATTAGCGTGAATATACTTAAGAGTTCAGTTTTTTCATTGTCATGCTAAATACATTGATCATAAAAATAAACAACCTTACATATTCATATTATCAAAAAACATTTAATTGTACAATTGAACTTGTAGTTTCAAACTATATCCTTTATCATGTGTCCTGCTGCTGAGGGTAATCACATTTTGATGTTTTTTCTAGTTACTATATTTTTTTAAGAAAAATATTTTTAACAAACCTTTTTTTCTTTTAAAGTCGTGAGGCTCAAAAATGTCTTTGTGGATCTTACAACTGTTGTGGCTATATTGGTGGGGATAAACAAATTTCTATTGATGCTTATGGTACTAGTAAATCTGGAACCAAAAATAAGAAGAAAGGTTATGAAGAAAAGAGAAGAGACTGGGAAGATATGACAGTAAGTCTTTGCTTTTTCTGTAATGATTTGACTTAAAAATAATCTTACTTTTATTATTTATTTATTTTTTCTTAAGTAAGATATGATGAAAAAAGCCAAAGCCACTTTACATTATATTTTTGTTTCAGTTGGAAGAAGAAATTGAAAAGTTAAATGGCTTCAAGGGTCTAAGGAACAGGGAAGAAACATTAAAATTTGCTCGATTAATGGTGCGAGCTGATGAGAATGCTACTCGGCACCAATTGCTCGACATAATTATTGTGAGTATATTTTAAACAATCTTTTTTCCCTCTGAACCGTGTTTCAAAATTTTTATCCCATGTCTAACTTTAATATATCAGTATTTTCAAACTGATATTTACATTTTAATTTAACAATTAAAATATATTAATTTCTAAAAGAAATAATTTTAGAACAAGCTTAAAAATATTCAACTACCAATCAAAACACTATCACTGATTGTTATTAAATATATGTATTTAATTTTTATTTCTTCAATACTACTTTTATAGATAAAACTTTGCAAAAATAAAATTGATGCAAAAAATAAAAAGCACAAATACCTTAAATTATTTCATTTTTTATTGTTTCATGAGGCTTTTTCTAAATTTTAAAATAAAATTGTGTATATAAATTTGAATAGAATTGTTTGAAACATAAATGTCAACTGAAATCTTAAAACAAGATATGTTTCCAATTTGGAAATCTTATGGTCAGAGGAATTTTTTAATTAGAAGATTATTAAAAAGCTATTTATTACATTAATCAGAATTTAGAAAGTCTAGAATTATAAATAAATGTGATATTGTCTTATAGATTATTTATCGTGTAAACAAGTTTAAATTTGATTTTAGTACTTGTAAATACATTTTAGTTTAGTTTCTGTTAAGCAATTTACATATTAAAAAACATTTGTAAAATGCACTTAATGCACAGGGGCTAATGCAGCGTAGGCCAAATTCAAGCTCTTCACCCTCGCCTTTTGCAATGTCTTAGTAAATAACATAATTATTAATTGCTTTTATCAACAATCTTATTGGAAGAATTTTAAAATAAAGGCAATTTATCCTTAATTTATATATTGTATTATTCCATCTTGTATATCGTATTGAAGTAATTTAAAATTTGCTATGGCTCTGCTTTTGTTGAAAAGAAAGCTCATTACCACTTGCTTTTAATAATTTTTAAGTCTAGGTTTACTTCCAAAAAAAAAATTTATAAAAATATGTAGACATTTTATTTGTATTTTGTTTAAAATTAAATATGCACTAAAAGAACAGTAATATTGTCAACAGCTATCTATTAACTCGCACGGAATAATACCCCGAACGCGTGTATAATTTAATTGCATTTTAAAATTGCTTGTTTATGAAAAGTTAATCGGTAATTAAGAATTGTGTGTTTAACATTGGTTAATTGATTCTTTCCTTTTTTAAAAATAAGTTCAAAATGAAACTTAAAATATAGCAATAACTTTCAACTAAATTATTTACCTTATATGATTATGAGTAACTGGCAATGTATAAAAATACTGTGTGCACTAAAATGGAAACTATATTAGCTGTTGCTGCAGTAGTCTTTTTAAAAAAATACAGTGCCGACAGCATATTAAAATCACCTTTGTTTTGAGGACATTTGATTTTATAAACCACACTTAGAGAGAAAGAGATTTCAATGTGAAACTTAAAGAACACATTAAAAGTTAAATTACATTTTTGTTTTAACTTTTTTAATTTACATTTAGCATTTTTATAAATTATATTCTTACATTTTTTTAATTTACGAAAGCATTTTTAAATATTTTGCTTAACAATGTTTGATAATTAGACATTTCAACATTGTCTATTAGTTTGTAAGAGTTTTTGTAGCTTTCAATATTACCTCTTTGCTTTAAAAGGCATCATAGAACATTTCATACTTTTCTGACCTCTATTGAAGAGTATAAAAGACAAGAAATTTTCATAGAAGAGTGTGAATATGTTCGAATAACATAACTAAATTTATCACTATTCTTTTTACTTTTATGCTAGCTTTATCTTTTTTTGATAATCACTTGTCATATTTAATTTTATATTACTATTCATCTTCCGAGGCTGACTCCTTGGCATTTTGATTCACCAAAATTGTATAATTTATTATGTCTTTTTCAACTTCACATAGTCAGATTTCTCTCCTGGTGTTTGTAAATTACCATCTATTGAAAAAAGTTTCATCCATTTCTACTTTGTTGATGATAATTTTCTCTGTGAAGCTATCAGCCTCGTCGGCAATGTTTAGTCCAAACTTTTTTAATTAGTTTGATCTTGTTTCGGACAAAACAATATCCCAAGCTCTGTCAATTGTAGGCATGGTTAAAGAATTCAAACAGGATAAACAAAATTTAGGATTAACAATGTTGTTTTTGTGAGAGTCATTGTCTCTGATTATTCGTTAAAAAATACTTTTTTGATTATAAAACTTGAAATATCTTATTCTATTAATCAAGGAGTTGGATTATTGATGTAATTTTTGGAGGCAAAAACGCCAACTTTATGTTTCTCAAACGTAACTCCTCTTCAGCCGGATGTGCTAAACAATTCTCCAAAAATAGAACATTTTTTTTTTATTTTTCAAATCCTTATCCCATGCAAGATGGAATTCTTTAAAGATATTTTGTGTCATCCACATGTTATAGCTATGTGCATAATTAACTGGTAAGTTGTTTACTTTAAAGCAACAAGGCTTTTTGTTCTTTCCTACCACAAAAAGAGATTATTTTTCTCTTAAATTTCTTGTCACATTACATCTAAGCAGCACTGTTATACTTTTTTCCCCTTTGATTTGTTTTTAAACAATTATGTAGATTCTGGAAATTCACAGAAAAATAATCTTGTTTCATAAGTATTAAATATGTGTTCAGATCTGTAGTCTTAAACAGGGTTCCCACAGTACTTGAATTGTTGGAAAAAATCAGGGCCCCAAAAAGTGCTTGAATTCTGTGATAGGGTCCTTAAAAAGTTTTTTATTTTCTGGAAGTAATTTTAAAAATAATATTTCTACAAAAGAAACATGGTAAAAAAGGGGGGGAACTTCTTGCAAAATAATAGAAATGTCATTCACTCCTCTTCGTTTCACAGTTTTCTTTATTGGACAGTAGAAGGTCTGCTAAGTTTATCTAATTTTCTAGTCTGGTCTAAATTTGGAAAAGGCTCTTATCTTTATTTACCCCTCTCATGTGATTAGATTACAAAATACAAGTATTTTATAGGAAAACCAATAGTAAAAGGAAAACAAACGAAACCATGTCTAGTATTAGCTTTGTTTTAACCGTGTGTAGCATGCACTAATTTTAAAACATATGCAACTTTTGGAACTTTTTATTTTATTTGCTAACATGTCCAGATAAGTTTTATTCCAATTCGAAGAAAATGGAAGGGGCTTTCCTAAGTTTTGATGTGTGCAATTTGTGATGCTATCAAATGTAAAATGATAAAGAAATTTACTCTTAACGCAATTTTCGAAAAGCTCCTATTAGTAAATTCTTATGGGTGAAATAGAAATACATATTTTTTGCCTCCTTTGTAGATCCTTGAAAATTGGGTGAGAACCCTGTTAAAGCAATGTTGGCCATCCATCCTTTATCTGGTCCTCGGCATACTTAGAATCAGCATCTCGCTTTTTGTCATGCATTTAAGATAAATAATGTTGTTGCTGTCCTTATATCAAGTTAAGCATCCATCTGTTACTTTAAAGTCAGACTCTCCTAACAGATTAGCAAATTCCTGCGCTTTCTGAAATAAAAAAGGGACATTTAAAGTTCGCCAGCATTTTTGAACCATTCCAGCAAAGCCATTCTTTTAATTTCATCAGAAATTTTTTGCCTCTGTTTTAGAATGTTAAACAAAGCAGTAGGTGAAATCCTTAATTTAAGTACTGCTTCACGTTGACGATATTTAGGAAATTAATCGTAGTTTTGCAAAATTTCAAATTTATCCTTAACTCTCAAATCTTGCCATTTAGCAGGTTGCAAAGCAAAGTTTATATGATGTATGCATGTTGACTAAGATATCTGCTTATTTTCTTAGAAAAGAACTAGTATTTTTTAAATTATCGTTTAAGTTTGTAACTTATTTTTCTAACTAAAAATACAAACTTTCTATTAATACAATGTACCAGAAACACTGTTTTTTAAAGCTTTCTTCCAAAAGGAAAAGAAACTAGAAATTGGATAAAACAGTTGAAAATCTAAAAAACTTATCTAAAATAAGGTCTTAAATAATCATTTCATTTTTGAAATTGCAACTAATTTATGTCAAAACTTAGTTCTGAATTTAAAGTTTTTTAAGACTAAATATCTAATTTTATTTAAAAAGTTAATTTTTATCTACAATTTTTGTTTGTGTTTCGTTATTGTTAGTTTAAAATTTTGTATAGGTTTATGAAAAAAGATTCCTATAGGAGCTTATTTATTCTTGTTTCCAAAACTCGGCAATTTTTTCATGTTTAAAACTTAGTATATATTGTAAATTTATAAATTCCGTATTAACCTTTAGAAGGTATAATAAATTATAAAATTCAATTTTTACTTTGATGGAAAAAACAATTGTTCAGAGCACTATTGCCTGCATCAGTAAAGTAAAGGCAGAATTGAAAAACGGTGCATTTGTAAAGGCAGTGGTGTGGTGGTTTTGTGACTGTGTGCCAGATAGCTACCAATAGCTGTAATTTGGTGGGAAATGATTTTATTTTTTGCCCTTTTTTTTTAATCTGATAATTTATAAATTAGTTCAATAGTTGAATTATATTGAAGTAGATGTAATACATAATTTTAGTCAGCATATTTTCCTTAAATTATTAATTTACTAATTTTATTAATCTTGTAACTTTTCTTTTAATTTTAATATTAAATACAATAAATGTTTCTTTAATATGAATTAAGGTTTCTAGACAGACAATTAGCGAATATAAAGTCTTTTCAACATTAATTTATTGCAGAAAACGGAAGAACAAGCTTGTTTGCGGCTGTTTTTGGATTATCATGGACTGCCTCTTCTTTGGAGTTGGATGACAGATGTTGTGGACTTGGATTTGAAAACAAAAGTGAGAATAAAAGATTTATTAAATGCTACTTTTATTTATAGAAGTATTCTAATAACTTGTGAAGTTTTTTTTCCCAAATAATTTTTGATTATTTATTTTCTCAAAAAAGTATTCAAGAAAAATCTCCCATTAAAACAGAAGATATCTTATATACCAATGTATATACAATGTACCTATATGCCAATTGTTCGAAATTCTTTACATTTTGGAAAACTTAATATGTGCATTGCATCTCAGTGATATTTTATATTCTATATTTTTTAATAATTTTATTCAATCTATTTAAAACATAATTTCACCAATGAAAATTATTTTTGTACAAAAAAATCATTTATGTTTAGAAAACATATGGTCCCTATTTGCAGATTCAAGTACCTTTCTTTCTCTCTTTTTAATTGGGATTTTTTTTCCCCTTCCTTTGGATTCAAAAAATCTGTTCTGTAAATTTCAAACTTAAGGAAATTATATTTGTCTCTCTAATTTGTCACTTCCATCTTTTCCTTTAGATCCTTCAAGTGTTGCAACTACTTCCTATTCCCAACAAGACTATGCTTCTTGACAGCAAAGTTATGAGCATTGTAGAAAAATGGGTGCAAGAATGTGATGTGGTGAAAAAAGACAATTCCTTGACAAATTTCTCTTCTGAAGGAAATTCTGAATTTTTCACCAAAAAAATGAAATTCTCTGATTTTTCTGACAGTGAGACTGACAGCAGTGGTTCTCAGCATGCAACAGACAGTTCTGAAAATAAATCATCCTCTACTAAAACGAATTTTTCAGTTTCGGACATAAGCTTACCTCCTCCTGCTGAAGGAGATAACAAAAAATTTGATCTTTCACCATCCGATATACCATTGCCCGATACTTTACCTGAAACCAAGCAAAACTTAAGTTCGAAAACAAATGCTGCTGTTGAAAACACAGATACGCTTAGAAAAGATGTCTCCTCCATAGGATCAGAACTATTGTGTACTTGGAAGAATTTAAAAGTGAGTTTTGAAAAGTTTAATAATCATGTTGACTTTCTTTATAATTCAGTGCTAATTTTTCATAATTTATTTCGAACTGATTGACAAAATTATTTAGATTCATTTCATGAAAAAATGAATTCTCAATTTACTTCTTTTTTATGTGTTTGAATTTGTTAAATATTTTATCAATTTTATCTTTATTTTATTTTTAAAAAAATTTGACAAATCCAAATCATTTGTGATTATAAATTTAAGTTTTTCATGAATTATCTTCTATATATATATAGTTTAATTTTCATCATAATTATTTATCAGAATTTCATTTATTTATATTCTACAATAAATCATAGTAATCAAACAACGGGCTTTGGTAAACAAACATCCTATGATTGCATTCTTTTTTATTATTATTTTTTTGGCGTTATTATTTTTATTCAAATTTCATTCATTTATGTTATAGTCCTACATTTGATAGTCAAACAACTAGCGGCATTCTAAACTAATTATATATATTTTTATATCGTTTTTTTCTCTATTTTTTATCGTTAATTTTATTTATTTATATTATTCACATAAATCTGACAATCGAACAACTAGGATATGTAGTTTTTCTGGTGAGAAATATTTTGTCTTGATTTTCAATTTTTTCCTCCTAATATTCTTCATTTTTTGTGTCTTCAGAACATTCAATTGTCTACAAATATGAATTTTAAAATAATCATTTTGAAGGATCAAAACATTTGCATTTTCTAACCAAAATCTTTTTATTTTTATTAATAATAATAGTTGTAAAAATTGCAAAATTCGTGTTAACTGAAACTTATGATCCATCCACTAATTGTATACCTTATCCTGGCTTATAGCCCTATGTACAAGATTCATTGGTTCTACGAAGTCTATCACTGTATAAATATTTTTAACATAGTGTTTGCGCTATCAATAAGGAATAATGTGTCTAGAATAATTTATTAATGAATTACATATTTAATGTTTATTTGTATGTTCTTATTTTGTTAATAAAATATATCAACTTTCTAGTTGTCTTTGTTATTCTGTACAGTTCTACAATTTAAACCATTTTTTAATTATTAAAAGATTTTTTAAAAGAAAAATTTCCTACATAACTATAAATTGCTTTATAATTGTTTTAAAATTGACAACTTGAAACAAAAATGAGGCCTTTTAATTTGGGAATTTTTTTAAAGGTACTACTAGATGCTTTGCTTTGATACGGTAATTTCTTCATTGTACCAATTACTGAAGGATTTTTTTTTTCTAGTTCAAAATAACTAAAGCTCTAGGCATTTTATAAGAAAAAAAACACCTTCCTCCTTTTTACACCTAGATCTTCAATCAATTTGGTTTTTTATCAATATTGAAAATTCCTTCTGATTAATTATTAAAACGTAATTTACAATTAAAAGGAAATCTTAATTATTTTAACTAAAACGTCAAATTAAAAACTTCTCTTGTGAAATTTTTAAAGATTAATTTTAATAGTTTTCATTCTAATTCATATTTTAAAACCATTTATTTTTTAAATACAGATTGCCATATTTTTTAATGTTTTTAGGTTTTAAAAAAATTACCATGTGGGATTTTTTTTCAGCAAAAAAAAAATGCTGAAGGAAGTAGATTCTATGATACTTCTCTCTTTTATCAATGAAATATCAAAATAAGACACTCTTGTTATTTAACAAAAAATGCAATGTTCAAGAAATTCATTATTTCAATTAATTTGACTTGTAGATCAAGTGAAAATAAATTCTTAGTTTTGATGCCCTATGAAGGAATTTATATAAATAAATTTTAAAGAAACAGTTTCCCAAAACATTAGTTATAATGACTTATGTACAATTGTATAGACTTTTAAATTGTCTGTATTATCATGAATAGGTACTTCTTAAATTAACTTTTTAAAATATTCCTTTTAACTTAATTATTGCACTTAAAATAAAAGTTTATATTTCAAATATTTTGATGTGGAAATTTTGAGAGTTTTTAGGCTATTTGTCTTATGTTTGCTAGTAAAATTAATTCTAAATGTAACACTTTATTTTCTTTTTCTTTGTAACACATTGAAATAGTATTTGGTTAGCATTGAGAAATAATTTCTCTTCATAGAATTCTAAATTAACTATAAATTTTGTTTACTTGCTTTATATGGAAAGATCTATCCAAAGCTTATAAAAATAAAACTTGTTAAAAAATAAATTAATTAAAATGAGTTCTTGCATAATGAGATACAAAATTTGTATAATTACACATTATAATTATTTTATCTTGCATCGAATATCAGATTGTCTAAGTAACATAAAAACAGCTTTATTTGTGGTGAGAGAAACTTAACTAAAACTTATAACAAATATGTCACTAAAATTAGAAGATCATGTATTTACAATTTTCAAACCATAAGGTAGTTGTCTAGTTCTAAAAAAAAAAAATTATAATTAAATTGGTACACCAATTTAAGAAAATTTTATAAATTGTGTGTTTTCAAAAATATTTAAGCAACTTTAATGTTTTGTATTATTTGTTTGCCAGGAAGTATTTCGCATTCCTCGCTTGGAGCAACAAAAACGAAGGAAAGAAGATGAGCGAGAAGCTGATCATGGTGTTATGTCTCGTGTTCAAGCTGAAATAAAAAAACCAGAGATTGAAATTACTGGAAATCAAATACAAGTTGTGATAGCTGGAAAGACATCTAACAACATGAAAAGTGAGTGAATATTATATTAACCTAGTTCATCATTTATAGTATTTTTTTTTATCTCAATTGTTAAGAAATAATTTGCATTATTGAAAAACTTTTAATAACAAGTAAGAATTCATTTGTAAAATTACATTGTTTAGTCTAACTAAAATATTCTGGTTAACCAATGTCAATGAAACCTTGGCTGTAGGTTAGATTGACCTTTTAAAAAAATCTGGATACTAGATAAGACAAGAGAATATATAAGAACACAAAAAAAGAATGAAATTGATGTCCAATCTATTTTCATCAACCGCATAATAATTAGCTCCACCATTTCATTCAGGGTTTTTTGATCTATGACAGCAACATGGCCTTCAAGTCTTTTCATTTATGATATGTTTCCATCCTCTTCCTTACATGCCTCTCTCTCCAGTTTTTGCGAATTTAATAATTACCTTTTCCTATTCTTACTCCTGCACTAATGTGGTGCAGAGAAATTTTTAGGTACCTCTGTTGTTTTCAACAACTCCTTTTAAGTGCATTAATATCCTTTCTCTAACATTAAAAAAAAAACTTGCTATCAGTCAAAATGTATGCTCATTTCTCCCTTATACTATGTATACCTAGTTTAAATCCCAAGCTTTTATTGTAGCTAGTCATGTTAGTCTTTGGTTTTTTCAAATGTTAACACATTTGGCTGTATTCGAATTTTCTAATGTCTTAATTGGAAATTGCCCTATGTACAATTTCTCAAAATCTGTTTGAAATAGTTAGCTCAACCAGCTTATATAATAGAAATTATTTATCAATAGTTAGCTTTATTATATTTTTCCAGGGTTCGATTTCGACAATCCTGATTTAAGCTTCAAGCATGATCACCACCATCGCAAGTAAGAAACCTTCCCTTTAATTTAAAAAAGAATTTTCTTAAATCTCTTTTTTTTTCCCCATTTAAAAAGTATGTTTGCAGTAATGTTTTTTTTTTCCCTCTCCAGAAGCTTACCAAAACTGCCATGTGTAAATAAACCAATTAGAAGAGCTGAAGAAATACCACAGAACTTGGAGGAAGGTAAATAATTTGTTATTTATTTCAGCTTTTTAAAATAAAATATAGTTGATGGATGTTGGCTTTGTAAAGACAAGGAGTTTGGTTAAAAAACATATTAGCTATAAATATGGAACATTAAGTCTTTTAAAAATAAAAAAAAGTATTTAATAGATATCTTGTTGTTTTTTTCTAAACATTAATATTGCATATTTTTCCAAATAAGTGTTTTCTAAATAAGTGTAACATGATATTCCAGTCTTTTATTCAGCTTTATGTACTAAGCTTATTAAAAACTACTCTGACCCTTTTTTATTGTAAATAAAAAAAACTGGTACTTATAGTATAAATTAATATTTTTAAATCTTGTTTAAAAATACGGTTTCTTTTAATTTTGCACTTTTCTTACTTCATAGTATCAAGAGAAAAAAAAATTTTGTTTTTTTTCCTTTTTAGATCCACTTTTAGATGTGGAATCTCCAATATTGTCTATTGTTGCTTCTAGTCCCATTCCTCAGCATTCTACCAAACCAAATCTTCTTCCAATTCCAACATACTTGAATCAGCCACCTGTAAATTTTCCACCTCCTGTCTTACCAACTACTGCTCAACCTCCACCGATTAAAAGCTCACCAACAATGTTTCCTCAACAGATCATTTATCCACAAGCTCCACAGGTAATATCTTTATTAATGGAATATATTTTTTTACATAAAAAGTACATCTGCAAGTGAAATCTATGGTATATAAATTGATATCAATTTCTATTAATCTTGATATTGATTTTTTGCACTTAAAATTTTCAAGATTTTTCACTTTAGTGTCAGAATCACCCCTGAGTTGAGTTTTTAAAGTTATGACCTTTTATTGTTGATTTCACGTTTTGCATTTGCCCCGCCGAAAACTATTTCAGCTATTCAAAAAGTAAAGATGTGCGCACGGTTACTTAACTTGTTTATCCATAGAAAATATTCTGTGTTAAAAAAACGTTTTTGTTTCTTATCTCATTTAATACTCACCCAAAAATTTGGTTTATAGCGTATACATCATTTTACATCATTCTAAATTGTTTAATTTTGAATGGCAAAAATGTGAACAAAGCTGGTCAAATAGCTCTTGAAAATTTGAAAAGACAAGTTTTTTATATTTCTTTACTTAAAATCTAACTATTCAATTAATTTTGCTCATTCATTTTTTCGTATGATTTGTGACTCATTAATCATGATTGTTCATTAATTGCTAATTAAGCATGGCTAATTGATCATTATGAAATAGAGATTTATTTACGTGTCCCTATTAGTTTTACTTAAAGGTCTCGTTTTTGATAATAATGTCTTTAAATAGTTGACATTTTCTATTTATTCTTATGCATTGATTAAATATTTTGTTTGTTTACAGGTTAACTTTTTGAATACTGCTGTTCCACCACCGACTATCACACATCCAACAAATATGCCACCGCCATCTACATTACTGCCAAAACAACATCCACCTCCTCCTCTATTACCACAATCTCTTACAAGTATTCCTCCACCCATTCAATCTGTTGCTCCACCATCTCTCCCACCACCAATTAGTACTAATTATATATTGCCACCAAATGTTCCTCCACCCTCTCAGTTTGTACCTAATCAAACAATTCCAGTATCTGGCTATCCACCTGGACCCAATCCTCTAAATCAAAACCAGTCCTTCTATTATGTTCAACAACCTCCTACTGTGTCATCTGCACCATTAGAAGGAAATTATCCAGAAAGTGTAAGATTATTTTTGATTGTTTTAAGTACTATTTGGGGCCGATATTATGCTACTTGGAGCTGTTTTAATATGTACTATATATTAATGTACGTGTCATAATATCTACTATTTGCTCGTGGTAAACATGCTTTTTACAACCTAGTGAATGGGATAAGTAAGAGAGAAAAAATATTTGATTATTGTAATTGAGTTGATCTCAAGCAATAGAATTATGTCAAAGAATACTGAACATTGTTAATATTAATTTTGAGAGGACGAAACTCTAAAAATATGTTTTACTTATTCTAATAGCGGAAAACCATCGAGAAGAGCAGCAAAAACAATAATTAAAAAACTGGAATTTAAGTTCATTTATTGTGTCCTCATATCTCTTTCAATTTTGTGCATGATTGTGTAACGTTGATCATTGCTGATTTATTGATAATTTAGTTTTGTCTCAACCCACAAAAAGGACGAATATTCGGCCAGTATCAATAATAATAAACTGAAAAAGTTGCCTAAGCGCACAATAATATTTATTTTCAATGCGACTTTGCTTAGGAAAAAAAGTTTTATTCATTACCAGGGAAGTGTGTCGGAAACACTAACTAATGTGAGCCAGAAACAAAACAAATTATATGTTGAAGTTATTTAAGAGTTGTTTTTGATTTGTAAAAATATATAGATTCCTCCTTAATCTCTGGAAGCTGCTGTTTCAAGTTTTTTTATATTCACCAATTTTTTTTTCTTCCTGCGCCTTGCCAAGCAAGTGATTTTCTAGAGTAGTTTGTTGACTATTTGTTGCCAAGTAACTTAGCCGGTTCTTCCATCTAAAAATTACTCAAATGTTACTGAGTAGGCTCTTCTATTTAGTATCTTGAATTAATATATTTTGCAATATAAATGAATGATATATATATTTAAATAAGACTAAACAGGAACTTTTGCCGAGAATTCTCAAGTTTTTTTCAAAATGTCACTTAGTTGGTTCTTTTACTAAGCTCTTCATTTATGAGCATAACAATACTAAATATTAGATAAATATTTATTTTGGTGAAAAAGTTAAACATATTTTCTCTTTTAGTTTTAAATATTTTTATTTAAACCGAAGTTTGGATTTTTACCCCTGTTATTACCTCCTTCCTTCCCCTTGTCTGAAACTGTCGCAATTTCATGAATCCCTTCCCCTCTAAACGTTATATCTTTTATGGATAGCCCCTTTATGTACTATATTATTTAATGAATAGTGTTGTACTCTTAACAAAAAAATCCAAGTGAGCTGTATTAAATATACCAGAAAACTACTAGATTTTGCTAATTTATACTCATGTGCAATCAATGTTTCTCCCACCTTTCACACTGGAATTTTAAGGCTCAACAACTTCTAATATCTAATTGTGACTTTCTCAATATCCATTTGTGATTCCAACTTGCTTGCTGTTATCTTAAAGTGTTGTTTGTTCAAAAAATGTTGGCAGGACCCATAATATCAGCTTTCTTAGTATAGCAGTCTTATTTAATAGATATTCTGATATGTTTTCAAATCAAGCAATTAAAGTACTAGTTAGAAATTAATTAAAACAGCAATTTTTTATTGTTTTAATGATTATTATCGTTGTTTAAGTTTGTCATAGCCATTTCTGCATTTTGTGCTTTTTTACTCCACATGTAAACGTCTCATTCACTAGCAATGGCCAATCTGGCTTTATGTGCTCATTTAATAATTTGCAATTGTTTTATTTTCATGTATAACATTTTATTTCTTTGTTGGCATTAATTTTTTTAACATGTTTGTAAAGTCACAAAAAGGTTTTGATAAATATTTTTGCTATTATTGTGTTAATGGTGAAAAACATAATTACATACAGGGCTTTTCTTTTGCTTCTTTTATTATAATTTATCATTTCTTCACGTCAAAAGTAATGTAGTTTACCGAATGTAAAAGCCTTTAAATCCTCTAATTTTTTTGATATGATTAAAGCTTTGAAAGTTGGCCTTAGTATTATATAAAACAGAAGTTCTGAGAAAAGTAAATTAGCAATAGCATAAAACTCTAGCTAATTTTAAATTCCATATTTTTATTGTTTGAGGAATTTATTTTTCAGGACTCAGATCTAACGTTATTGCTTGCATCAAGTAAATAAATAAGTGTTTTCCCTCTGAAGTCTTTAAAGTAATTTTCCAGTTGACAATTAATATTTATACTACTATACAAAATTGAAGGAAATGGATTGTTTTAATTATTTATTTAGGTTATTTTTGTTAAATAAAACTCTTTCTTAATGATTGTCTTTATTTATCGACTTTGGCAATTAGGATTGGGAACAAATTATTTTTAGACATATATCTTAGTTTGAAATTTACATATTGTTTAGCATCAGTCAATTCTAACTGATGAATTGATTAATAGCATCAGTATAATATTATTTATAATTAAAATTAGCTTGCCTGAGTAATAATCAACGTTTTTACTTAAAAATAATGGATTTTTGAGATTATGTTGTTATTGTAAAATGCAGAACTCTCATTGCTAAAAACATGTTCTTTTGCTTTTTTTTTTTTTTTTTTTTTTTTTTTTTTTTTTTTTTTTTTTTTTTTTTTNTTTTTTTTCAAAATTAGCCAATTAAAATTGTTTATATAATATAAAATCTGTGCTGAGAAAATGATTTTAACTGAATGTTATTGAAATTTAAATGCTTTATTAGCCTATAGAATTACTTTTTACAACTCTAAGTAAATACTGTCTTAATTTTTTGTACAATTATATCTTTATTTTCTTAACCACAATAAGATCTGTTGCCCCTTGCACAAAGTTTTAGTTTCACTTTGCTTAGACAATTATAAGGTTTTCATTTTTTATATAGTGTATTAATGTGACTTAATATTTTAGGTGCCTATTCAGTCTATCTCAACCATACCAGTGCAGTGTGGCACAACTGCTACCCATCAATCAAATTCTCTACCACTGCCAAGTGCTAATCTCCAACAAGCACAACTCTCAAACCCTATGCCATTATCTTCAACAAATGTGCTTCCAGTGCAATCAATCAACCCTCTACCTATTTTATCTACTTTGCCTTTATCAAGTACTATGCCTCTATCAAATACTTTACCAATTCAAGAAATGCCTCTATCGAATACATTACCAATTCAAGAAATGCCTCTATCAAGTTCATTGCCAATTCAGGAAATGCCTCTATCAGGTGTGTTACCAATTCAAGAAATAGAACCTTCACCTATTGCTGAGGAAGTCAAGCCAGTAAAACTTCCGAAAAATTGGCGAAGTGCTACTGACTCTGAAGGAAATACTTATTATTATCATTCTGTAACTAGGTAAAAAATAGTTTTTAAAATTAATATAAATTATTTTTCTAAACTAAAAGTTGTACTGCCACTGGGCTTGTATAGTTTGGGATCATAATTGTCCTGATAAGAAATATTTTGCTTGATTTTTAGCTTCTTTTTTAAATGTTTCTGTTTTTTTCCCCCCTCTTTTTTTTGTGTGTGTTTAAAACGTTTGGTTTTCTACTAATAGAAATGCAGCCTTTAAATTAATTGATTTGAATGAACAAAAGATTTGAATTTTTGATGCAATATCTTGTTATCTTAATTTTTGTTTAATTAATAGTACTAGTAAAAATTAGATTGTTCTAATATAGGGTCCATCTTCTAATTATATACATAATTTAACTTTTTAGGACTTCAGACATTTTATGAAAAAGAAACTCAATTAACAGGTTTACATGATCAAATTTTCATGGTGGTGAATTCAGGGAAAATCCGTTCATTATTTTCAGTGAATGGAGTAAAAAATCTTATTGGGAGCAATTTTCGTAGTCTCGCAATCATTGATTCATCTCTTTCATTTGATTTTAACTACTACATAGTTAACCAATAAAGCTCTTGTAGCTTTTAATGGCCAAAAAAAAAAAATTTTTTTTAATTTACAGGAAATGTAACGTACTGTTAGTCCTCAAGGACTCTCCATCTGCATCCAAAACCTTTTGCCTAAATGTCTGCAGCTGTAAAACTTTGTGAATGCTGAAAAGGTCTGTGAATGCTTGCTTGCGTCTTTTTCATTAGTGAGGGCTTTTCATGAAAATGATTGCCCTGATAGTGAAAGGAATGATATGTAAGGTCTTTTGAGTAAGGAGGCTAGCATAAAGTCTCCCAATGACATGAAACGATGCATTGTCATACATGTAGAGTACACCTTTGCAATTCACCAGTGTTGTCTCCTTTTGTTGCAAGTGAAGTGTGTGCAGTGACCATTTACCTTGTTGGTAATAGCTCATAGTGAACCACTTGACAACTAGCGTACCAGATACAAATCATAGTCTTGCTGAGGTTCAAAGATTATCTTTTTCTATGAAGAACAGTGTCCTGGAAGTGACAACCTCTTTTTGGAATGCTTGGATAACTCATACAAGATCCACTTTTCACTAATAAGCACTTGATTGAATCATATGCGATATGGTAGCAAAAAAGCAATGACCATGCAAGCAGCCACCAGTGCAGAACCCACTTGCTCAGCCTGTATGTGTTACCTAAGCAGTACAGGTAAAGCCTAACTGTTTAATCAGAGAACATTAAACTGTCTTGCAAATTTACCACACGTTAGACTACTGTCCTCTTCAACGACCGCCAGCAGGGATTCGTTATACTACATGGTTTTTAAACTATGTGATACACTAATTTGTTATACCTATTCTTACTTCATTCAGTGGCAAAGCAAAAATGGTAAAAACTTTATTAGTTACCTTGTAACAAATTTGACTAAGGGGGACTGAATTTGACTGCAAAAAAAAAATTTAAAGTGACATTCATTGTGTTTTTATTTGAGGTTATTGAAACCTTACTTGAAATTTTTATTTAATAAAGCAAGTCTTAAAATTATGTACAAATTAAAAAATTTAAGTGATTTAAATTGCAAAGCTAACCATAATAGCAATATAAATTTTTTTTCACATTTAGAATTCATTTATTCAAATTTGAAATGTGAAAAGAATATTTATCTAAAAAATATTTCATTGTTATTTTCATCAACTTAATATGAACTTCAGTGGTCTAATTCTTAAAGATATCTTTAGTTTAGGACACAGTAACTATGGATTAAGCCTGGCTGTTTTTATTATTATATGTATCTATAGTATGTGTATTTTACAAAGTAATTGATTACACTTGTGTTTATGTGCACTTAAAGGAATGTTTTTTTTTTTTCATTATATAATCTCGTTTACCCTTTGTGTTTGTCAATGAATCAAAATTGTAAGTTGTGATTTACTTTTGCTTATTGACTTAAAATTCTATTCTTTTCAGAGAAACTCAGTGGGATCCACCTACAGCAGATCAAGATGATGACAATGAATCAGAAGATGATGATAATTCTGCTTCAGAAGAGTCTGAATCATCAGATACTCCTACTTATGATGAGCCAAAAGTTTCTACCAAGCACTCGAAAAGAAAGGTAATGCTCGGAACAAAAATATATATGTGTGTATATATATATATATATCGCTGTAAAAGGTGTAAATTGGTGATTGGCGACTTTCACCAGTGAAGGTCAACAATCACATTGTCGCTTTGGTAAAAGTTCAAAATATGTGCTAAAATTTAAGTGCATTTGCCCTGTATTCTTTACTCTGATTTTCTTCAAAGGTAAGGGCTATTGCCCAGTATTCCCAATGCTATTGTTTTTCCTAATTGGTTATTAATATATCAAAAATAATATTAAAATATCAATAACTAAATTGATTTCAAATCAGGTATAGCAAGTATATTGGACTTTCCCCCAAACTACTATGTGATCATTGGCATTCACTGGTGAAAGTCGATATTCTGCAGATATGAGTCTTTCACTCTGCAACAATATATAATTCTCTTAGAAATTGACACCATAGCAACACAATACAAATTGACAACTTAGTTGAACAAACAAAAGAGAAAAAAAATTGGCTATGAAATTTTATTGTTTGTTTACTTCCCCAATCTATTGATTAATAAGTGAACTATATAAGGTCAATTCAGATACAGAATAACATTTTTTGCATTAAATTTAATACTATTGATACATTACTATGTAAATTTGATGACATTATGAGCACTACATATTTCTTAGCTTTTAAATTTCTTTTATTTGATAGATTTAATAATTTATAATCCTTCCTAATTGTTATTCAATATCAAGACAAGTGAGCATCAAAATTACTTTTAGCCATTTTTTCTTCAAACACATTTAACATACTTAATTTCCAACTAACTTTTTGAGTTTAAATCTTGTCAGATTATTTAAAATCTAATGTTAACAATGTAGGGTTGCATTTATTTTTGGCCCATCCTACTAATTTTTGGTTAGCAAATGCACATTTGCTGATAATTTGAATTTGTTGACTTGAGGTCTTAGGAGTTTTAAAGCTTCCCATTCCCCTTCAGTCTAACTGTTGGATATTTTTTAAAAATTATTACTATTATTACATTTATTCGCTTCAACAATTAAGCTAAAAAATGAATAAATCTTAGAATAGCGCCAAAATATAATTTTCATTATAACTTTGTGAACAAATAAATGTATTTAATTTCTGCTCATCTTCTCCATTAGAATAAGATATACTGATTTTGCTGTTGAATGAATTTTTGAGTATGAACTGATGAACTAACTCTAAAGTTCTTATTTATTTAATTCAGAAATTTTGAAAGTAAAAAATATTTTTTTTTGTGTGTTTATTTCAGTCAAAGAAAAAGAAAACAACAAAAGCAGCAGCTGATACCAGTGTTTCTTTTCCTGTACGGCCAGAAATTGCAAAAAAAATAAAAGAGCTTTTTAGAACGAAAATGTCAAGTTTCATTGTCCAATGCTTAAACCACTATAGGAAGCCTGATTGTAAAGTTGGGAGAATCACAAATAATGAAGACTTTAAATATCTTGCGAGAAAGGTTTGTCTACATTTCTCATTAAAAATTTAAATCACGATTAACTTACTCATGTAAAAATCAAATGTTAATAAATCATTTATCTGTGGTGTCAATAAATAGATATGAGCTTAAACATACTGGGGAAATGAAAACATGCTTTGCCTACACCAAATCTAAGTCATAATTTAGCAAGATCGAGCATATAAGGCCACTACTTATTTTTCTATTTTGGACTTTTAACGCTAAATTTTAGGATGATATACTCATACCCATTGGATTTTATGTGGCTTTTTTCTGAATTCCATTTGGATATTTTTTTTTTCTTTTTACCAAAATTATTCAAAATAGCATACGATGAAAATTTTTGATTAACATTTAAGCTGCAATGTATAATTAGTTTGAAATTATGTATTAAAATCTTCCATGAATTGGTAATATTAGAAATTAATGTGTTATAGATATATGTTTGAATCATCATCTGTTTAAAATATATGAGTCTGATATCTGTTTAAATTGTATGAGTTTGTAGTAAAATTACTATTTAATATAACAGTTATATAGTCAGAAGTAAGAATTTAATGAGATATACCAGGGTGCGTACAGACTCCTTAGAAATTCTTGGAAATAAAAAAGTCTCCAAGATGTACTTGGAACTACTTAGATTTCCAAATTAGTCCTTAGAAACTCCTTAGATTATTGCGTTGCATAGATGAACATACAACGTTCGCTGATGAATTTGCTGTCTAAGCAGAGAAACTGAATGATATGACTTGGCTGTTAAAATCTAATAGTTTAGGAGAAACTTTAAAAGAGAAAAAAATTTAATTGCAAGAGTTAGAAGAAAAAAATAACAACAAATAATTTTAATTTTACATGTTCCAAGCAAACTTAATTAATAATTTACTGTGATTTTTTTTTGTATAAAATGCCTTAGATTTTCTTACGTATTCAAATTGAAAAATATAAGATTGGTCGGTTTTTATGTTAATCTTTTAACATCTGTACTCTAACAAGATTTATTGAAATATTTGAAACTGAAAAATGTATTTATGTGTAAAAGTGTTAACTTTATTTATTTTTCTTGATGAAGTTTGACAAAGTCAAAATTTATTTCAAAAGGGCTAGAAAAAAATATGCAAAATGTACATTTTTGCAAGTTCTGTATAATAACTACTTTTTAATTTTTAAAAAAAAATGTTCTAGTTATCATTTACTCAAACTTTTGAACTCCTTGGATTTCTTCTTCTGATCTCTGTATGAACCCTGTATGATATACCAGAACTCTATTTTTCTTTCTAATTTATAATGACAAAAAATCCAGGGTTTTCTCTGGAAAATCACTTATTATGATTTGATTTTTAAAGCTACATAACAAAGCTTCGTCATATCAATGTTTTTATGGTCCCATTATGTAATGATAATGATGACTTAAGTGATAGCTTTGAAAGTTCAATGTATTAAATTGAAGGATTGTCCACTAAATATACAAAATTGTTACAGGCACTATGCTGAATTCATTGTTTCAAAATGTTCTGTTGTTTTTTATTATTAGGAAAGTCTATTTTTATCCTTTGCAAAATTTGATATTATAAGCTTTTACCAGTTTAGATTTTCAAAGAATGTTATCTGTTGTATACCACAGAGATTCGTCATATCCAATTATTTGTTATAATTTCACAATTGTAACATTATTATAAAATGATTACATTATGATAAAAGGCCATTCACATAACACATTTATTATTTTCAACCAATGCCGGGCAAATCTCATAGGATAGAAATTTTCCTCCCTTTAATTCTGAAAAGGAAAATAATTAAAATCCATGTAGTCTTTGAAATTTATTAGATTCTTGTTTTTTATTATAAATTTTAGTAATTAATAATTTAAGATATGAAAGAAAAATTATTATGATTTGTATAATCATAATTATAAAAATCTATTAGACTTTCATTTTTATTTTATTTTAACCCAGTGAACAATTCAATCATAAAATTTCTAATTGAGGATTTGAGGGATCAACAACAATATTACATCTGTATGGACTTACATCTGTATAGAATATTTAAATGCCTTTTAATCTGGAAATCATTGAACTCTAATCATTTAATCAAAAATGTTTTTAAAAAAGGTAACAAAATACTGAATTTTAAAATTTATGGGATCATTAACTAATTGATATTTTTAATAAATATTCAAATTGTCATTTCCAAATTATCAATTCACGGTAAACAATAATTTGAAACATCCGACAGAGGAAATTTCATTTGAAATATGGTTTCTTTATTGATATTATTTTCATACTTAGATTTCCTTTACCTTTTTTTCTACCTTTCTTTATTCAGAATACTATTTTTTTTTTAATTGTTGCTTTTTGGGATGTAAGGAAATAAATCTACTATACATTTTTTTTACCTTTGTATATTAATATTCTTTAATTAATTGTGTTTACTGAAACGAAATATAATATATATATGAAAAATAAAAAATTTCATTTTACTTGTGTTGCAAAATCTTAAGATACAATTTAAAAACAATTAATTTGATTTATGTGTAGTATTGCTATTCATAACTTTGCTCGAATTTTGGTACCTGTTTGCACCTTTCGCTTTAAAGAAATTTAAGTTGTTGTTTTTTTTATGTTGGTTGCTTTTTGCCCTGATATTTATATAGGCATGCTTTTTTATTATACTTGTGTTGAAAAATCTAATGGTAATTTTCATTATGTTACTTTAAACTTGTATTCTAAAGTGTATTTTTTTAACTTTTCAGCTGACTCATTACATCATGACTAAAGAAATTAAGCAGCTTAAAAATGTGGAAGATCTCGACTGCAATGAAACTGTAACGCACAAAGCCAAAGACTTTATTAAAAAGTATATGTCAAAATATGGAGCAAAATACAATAGAAAAGAAAAAAGCTCACCCTCATGAAAATTATTATTTCATTAGCATTTTCAAAATTGAAGCAATATATTATGTGTTTGTTTTATATGTATTACACAAGAAAAGATTTTATTCCAGATTCCAAATTGTTTGTAAGGTGCTTTTACTGTTTGACAATGAGTATTGCTAGCATTCCTAAATTGAGACATTTTTGATTGACATAAATTCCAATTTTTAATTTGGTGGTTTCTTATTTATGTAAATATTGTTTGGTGTCAAATCAAACAGGTATTGTATATAGGTTTTTCACTTATATTTCACCTGCATCAGGTGACATCATCTGCCTGGTCATGTCAAAGATATTTGTCTTTCGAGTTTTCATGTTTTTTTGGTTTTATTGTTATTTGTTGAAAATTAATTATTTATAATGGTCAATATTTTACTACATTTAAAATATTTATTGTTTATATATTTTTCTAGAAAAACTAGTGCTTTCGACCTGATAGTGAACTGAATTACATAGCCCCTTATTATTTTGCGTTTGTGAAAAAGACAGGAAAAAAAGACATGATCTGTAATTTGTGATGCAACAGAAGTCAAAAGAATATAACAAAAAACAATATTATACATTTATATCAGTTCCAACTCATAGAAAGAACAACAAAAATTACTTTCTGAATCTAAACTGGTTTACAATGCCCATTTTTATTATTAAAAAAATTGCAGACAATGCAGATGCCAAGATAATAAGTATTCTTTTCCCTTCTAAAAGCTAATTATCATTTTGAAGTATATAATTTTTATTTTATGAAGAGCATTACATTGAATCCTACTATAAAGCGGATCTACTGTATTTTAGTTTTTGTAATAATGAAAATTACTACAGGGTGGGCGCTCTGTGTGGAATAATTCTTTCTGAAATTCATAATTACTCTAAGTTATTAAAATCTAAGCAATTTGTTATATTTTACCATTGATTACACAAATTTTGAGCTAATGTGTTTTAATCTATTAATAGACATTAAAATTGTTAAATAACTTATAAAAACTTAATTAGCAGTATTAATATTTATTTTCTTGTCTTCATCGCTATTTTAATTAAAACTTAGCTTTTTATTTCTGTAAATAAATTCATATTTATCTTGAGCATGTAAAAAAGTTAATAATAAATTTTTCTTGATAAAAAATGAAACATTTAAAGCTGAAATTAAAAAAGATTCTAAATGCCATACACATAAATTCCTTATGTTTATAAATGTAAGAAAATGTTTAAAGTCTGAAATTGTGCCAATTAAAACCATGAAAATTGGACCCTTTCACCTGACAAAAAAAAAGAAAGAAAAAAAGAAATCTTATGGAATTTGGTTTTTTAGAAGAGTGTCCACCCCTGAAAAATTTTAATAAAAGAGCAAAGTGGACTACTATTGCACAGTGACAAAAAAAAAAAGAGAGAGAGAGAGCATACATTTTTCGTGCTATCTTAAAAATTTAGCTGCTTTATAAATCGAAATTTATTAGTGACTGTGTTTTGAATCATTTAATAATAATTTGTGCAGTTAAAAACTTCTTTTTTTTAACATTTTTTTTTCTCTCTGTGCAATAATTGAGGCTAATTTCTTTTAGATTATTAGTGACATAATAGGGAGACAAAAAAAAAGCTTTTTTAGATTTTTTTTAAATATGAAATAAGAAATTGATTTTTATGAAAAACTATTTAACCATAATTAGAAGAAAATAACTTTATTGCACAATTTGTTTGGAAGCCTTTTATATGAGTCTCATTTATTTAGTGTAACCTTTTTAAATTTTGTAATATTTCTGCATGTTTGAAACAAAACTATTTTTTTTTTAAACTTACATCTTTTATTTTAATTAGTGTACCTTAATTTTTAATATGTATCATTAATTTACAAATGATCAAAGTTAATGGATGTGGTACATTTGCAGTGTAAAAAATCTGTTATTTATATTAAAACACGCGTCAGGAAGAAATTATGTTGAGAATCATTAATTGCTCGTAACATAGTTAATGTAATGAAAAAGTAATAGTTAGTAAAGCAAGCTATGTTTACAAGCTCTCTAATATATCTCACTAGTGTTTCTAGAAAGAAAGAAAAATGACTATTACAAAGTAACAGTTTTGTTATCATTACAAATAAAAAGGAAGTGTTTTTAAAGAAGCCTCTCAATAATGTATTTGAATTGTGTAGTAAAATATTATACATAAATATTTCTAATAATAAAATTCAAGTTGTTTGTTTATGTTAGAATTGTTACTGTTTTTACTTTTACATTTAGTTATAATTAAATATTTTAACTTAAATATAAAAATTCAATATCATACAGTTGGTGTTTATTTATTTCTCTTTTATGATTAAAAAAAAAATTCATTGTATGTGAGTTATTTTCTTATTGAAACGTGTAACTAAACAATGTGCCTTTATATCTAAAATAAAATTTTTCATTGCCTATTTATTACTGAATCAACCTTTTTTTCATATTTCTGATAATTTTAGTATGTATCTGCAAATTTTTAACTTAACTTATAGTTCAAATTTATTTTTATAAAATGAAACTGCAATCATTATCTGTGGAACATATTTAAATTTGTGAAACTACCATAACCTATTGTGGTGGGAAAAATTTTTAATTAATAATGCTATATATTAAATTGCAGCTTTTACTTAAACTCTTATTAATTAAAGTTTAAATAATCATAACAAAACTTTGGTCTGAATCGACACTACTGCCAAATAGTTTTTGTCCTTTTTCTCTCTCACAATCTACTTTCTTTTATCCTTGATTGTATACATCTTTAACTTCTTTGGGTTGACCAGTACATATTGTTTTAATTAAAAAGTTTTGATCATGTATAACTTGTGGTTGTAAAACATTTGAAGTTTTGTCTGTCAATTTAAATCATCATTACAAAAATAATAAATGCATATTATTAAGTAATATTTTGCTGAAGTTTGTTTTTCTTGTTGTATTTTATTAATAACTGGGAGTTACTAAGAAACTTTTAAGACTGGAAATGGAAAAGCATAATTTTCTTTTTTAATACTTTCTATATATGTGTATACATATTCTTCCTTCCTCGCACAGTCTAGCTTGATAGCCCAGGATGGGCCTTGGCTTTCTCAAAGTAGCCTTTTCCAGCTAGTGTTTTTTTAATTCTTGGTCCTTAGGACTAGGATGTCTTTTTCAAGGCTGTTAATCCATCTTAAATACGCCTGCATTTTGTCCCTGTGCCAACTGGTCATGCAGTAAATATTTTTTTGTAACGTAGTTTCCATCCATTCTAACAGCATGAACTGCCCATTTCATACGTCCCGCAGTGGACTGATCGTTAAGACACGGTTCCCAGCAGATCACCGAAGTCAAGCATCACTGGCTGCGGTCAGTGTGCGGGTGGGTGACCACTTGGATTAGTCTGCGTAGGGACCGAGGGTGTGCGGTATTGGTCCTCGTTAAACTGTTCTACCGTAAAGTGCTCGACTTCGCGTGCAGGTCGTNAAATATTTTGCATAATTTCCTCTATTTCCAGCTCAGTTAAAAATTTTCGACGCTTCGACATTCTAACGGTAAAAAGAAAAAAAATTCAAGCCTACAAGATCTAATTATCCACTAAAAACTAATCCGAAAATCGAAAGTAGCGAGAGATAAAAAAAACTCCCTTACTTACTGTAAATAAATATCACGTGCTAATTTAAAGAGCCCTCATAAAACATTCCCCCCCTCCACTCCTTCCCCTAAAAACCACGTGACTGTACTTTCATCTTGAGTAGAAGGTCAAATCTACATGTATCTGAAACCATATGGACACACAATGCCATCTTTTGGAAGAAATTTCATTTTTTAACGAGAACGAGAAACGGGGTGAACGAGAAATCTCTCTGACACGCGGGTGTGTCGGCCGGGAAGTGAGCGCGTTTCTTGCTGGCACATATATGTGACAGTCGGCTCGAAAGGGATATGGCTCTAAATTTAATCATCTTAGCTGCGTGCCATTATTTATTTTATTTAATTCAACCAAAAATACCTCTTATTCTTCCTTTTGGAAATACCCAATCATGGTCTCATCAGACCCGAGACATGGACCAAGATTCATTACCATAACTTAAAATAAATCTTATAGGACTCATACAATGAAACCTTCGTTTTTCTTTTGATTCCATATACTATACTTTCATATTCCATTAAAACAGTTAGCTGTAGTAATTCTCAAGCGCATCCTGAGAGATTCTTGCAATGGATTTTAGGGCAATAATATCTATGCTATCAACAAAAGCTAGTAATTGTATTGATTTATTAAAGATCTTGTCTCTGGTATTGATGTTGGCATCTTTTATCACTTTTTAAAATGCTTGATTAAGAGAAGGCTACCACCTTCAGCTATCAATCAAGCCTCGACCACATAAATGGAAATACTAGGCTGTAAGCGAAAGCAAAGAGCTCGTCGCACCCTATAAATCTACTTACTTAAAGAGAAGGCTTGCTAGTGCATCTCTGGCATCATTTTTTAATATAGGGTTCGATAGATTATTCTACATTTTGATCATGACTAGTTTCATTTAATGTCAGGCTTATCAACATTAATAAATTGTCGTGAGTTTTAAAATCTCTCATGTAAGAGCTTTTAAAGTCAATTAAAGAGGTGATGTATCAATGCCAAACTCTTAAGCCTTGTCCATAATGAGTTGGAAGTTGAATATCTGCTCTGTTGTGGACCTTCCTTTTTGAAGTTCATTTTGAAAACCTCCAACTGTTTTTTCCAAATAGCAGAAAGTCTGTTAAATAGAATGTTTGAGAATATTTTATTTATAACCTATGCAGAGCATGCTGATTCCTCTATAGTCAGAACACCCCAGTATACTTCTTTCTTTTTTGTGTTACACACGTTGTACTTATTTTATGTACTTCGGATATTATTTCCTGTTTCCATATTGCTTGTATTATTAATTCAAATAGTTTCCTTCAGAGGTGATTGTGCTACGGAAAAAATCCGGATTTTTTCCTAACTGCGCTCCGTAAGTTTCCGGAAATCTTAGTCCAGACGTTTTAAGAAATCATCGATCACATTTGTGTATAAAAATTCTTCTATTTAATTTAAAATATTAGAACTAGGCTGTAGTGCCCAAGAAGAAGAACTGGAATTTATACTTGGCATCTTTCATTTGTAAATATTTTTTCTGGTAGAATAATAAATGTGATTAGAGATAAAAATAATTATTCATTTAAATTATGCTGTATATAATTTGTTTAGATTTCAATGTTTTGAAAATATAAATGATTTAAATTTATAAAGAGATTATGCGTCTTTAATGATTTTACTCAAGAAATTTTCCGGATTTTTGAGTTGGACTCACACCCCTGTATTTATCAGTAACTCGGATGGAGTAGCGTCATAAGCAGGTGCTTTTATTGTCTTTAATGGTAATTCCTATAATGACTTGTGCCAGTGTTGGTGGTTCAACCCCGTTTTGACTTTGAATTTCTGTGCTTCATATCAAGAGCGTTTCTACCGTTGGGGCAACAAACGGTGCAGTGCCCAAGGGCTTAAGAGTAAGAGGCATCCAAAATACTTTTGTAATTAAAACGATGTATCATTACATAATAAAAGTATCAGATTGTGGGGCTTTCGATAGTCTAAATATGTTACTGTTCATATTCTCCATTGTCGAATTTAAATACGTTACTGTTCATATTGTCGAAATTAAATACTTTACTGTTCATATTCTCCATTATCGAAATGTTCACATTTTATCTCCCCAACACTTCTGTTCTATCACTCAAAATTACTCCTTCCTTTCTACGACTAGAGGTAGTTCTTAGATTGAATTACTTACGCCCAAGATTTATTTCTCGGGGGGAAAAAGCTCTGCTTTCATTAGTTTCTCTCGAATGTTCAAAATTTTTTAAAGATCCTCGAAAGTTTTCTTTTTTTTTTATGGATTCCTTTCTTTTTGCACCTTTATATTCATTCAATCACAGAGTTTCTTAAATGCCTCCTGTTCAGCATTTTACTATATCAGCATTTACTGTTCAGCATTTTATGCATTTTTCCTTTTTGTAGCCATAAAACAAACGTTATTAAACCAATACTTCCCTTTTTTTTTTTCTCTTCCACAACTTTATTACTTGTTCCAATGCTTGTTTCCTTTAGTGTATTCTTTTATTGTCGATATTTTCCTCGTCATTAATTCCTTTTTTCATATGTCTGTAATTTTCCTTTGTTTTATCTTCACTTTGAACTTATGAGTTCTGTTTACTTGCAGCTTATGCGCAATAAATGAAACTTATTGTTTTTCTTAATTTTCTTCGAGTTTCTTTGTATTTATTTTGCTATATATATATATATATATCTTTATATATAAGAAGAGAGTGGAATGATAACACATAGCCAATCACAGAAGACTTTTGGTTAGTAACGCACAAAACAGCCAATCAAAATTGAGAACGCATGTATGNTATATATAAGAAATCGCATGTTAAAAATAAGAAATCGCATGAAGTTTAAAGCTTTTAGAAGTTTGAGAAACAGACAATAAATTACAAATGGAAAACGTTTTTGTGCACCCTATGCCAAAAAATATAGCAATAGATTTGTAACTTGTGACAGTCATTTTGGTTATTATATGTAATAATTACACAAAATTTCGTAAACCTAACTTTAATACTTATTGAAATATAAGCATTTAAAAAAGAAAAAAAAATTTGTTTTAAAGCTTTTTTGCAAGAACTTTAAAAATATTTAATGAAATGAAACAAAATTTTAAAAGTAATTTAAAATTAATTATAAAATGTTATTTTTAAAATTTGAGAAAAATTTATTTGAAACTGCGCAAGACATGAGTAATTAAAATAGTTCTTTTATACCGCACATGCTAGGGGAAATTTTAAAAAAAAATCTTAATTTAGTAGTGAATCGCATTTGGCAACTGCGGTAGAATGTTCGATTTGAAAGTTTTTAAAATTTAAGAAATTCTAAGCAATTTTCTAAATAGTTTTCGTACTTTTTAAAAGAATGCTCAAAATGTTATGGAGTTTTCCACTTGTTTTATTTTGAACTATTAAATATGATTTATTAAAAATGACCCTGGCATTGCTTGGAATCATTCCATATAAAAGTATCTTTTTTTCCTCCTGTTTTCTTTCCTTATTAAATCATATTTTGGTGTATGAACGTTTATTGTAAGGTATCATTTGTTATTAAATTCTGTCTTATAATACAAAATAATATTATTAGAAAACCCCTTATCATTTTGAGCTTTCTTTTAAAAAGTGCGAAAACTACTTTGAAAATTGCTCGACTCTTTTTTAAATTTTTAAGATATTAAAATCGGGCTTTTTTCATTAGTTGCCGAATACGATTCATAACAAAATTAAGTAACAAAATTAAGTAACAAAAAAAAATAATAATTTTTCCACGCATATGCAATATAAAAGAACTACTTTCATCACTCATATCTTCCTTTTTTTTTTTTTTCCAGCAGCAGCACTTGATACATAATATATCATTCGCTGGAGCCCACGCAAACATACTAGGGGAATAAACATTGAACACAAAACAACATCTAATTAAACATGTAATAGCATAAAAACATAAGAAATAGCATTAGAAAAAACATAAAAAATATCAGAGGCATAAACAAAAAGTTCATAGAAAGTCATTCAGTTTGCGGTACTTATAATAGCTTAACAGCCCTCCAATATGTGTAGTAAATGCTTCCTACCTAGAAATTTTAAAAATTTCAATCTTATCTTATCTTACGGATCCGTAAATAGAGAAATAGTATTTTTCATTGAAAAAAAGCAAAAGTATAGGTGGTATTTAGGGGTCCCCAAGATGTTTCAGAGATGAAAAGGATGCTTTGACTTTGACATGTCAGTGTAGGAAATCAATTTGTTACACTGACATGTCACTTAAGTGTAACAAATTGATTGACAATTGTTTACACACAAGGCTTCTTCCCAGCTCTAGTTTTGTAATTCAGATCTCAGCTATTCGCCAACTATGTAGGTGGTCTGCTAGGAAAAAGCATTGTTCATTTTGTGATGGGGGATACTGTCAATATAGAACTTTCTTTTCATGTCCGCGTGATTGAAGTAATTATAACACAATTTAAATTTACTTAAAACCATGTAAGAATTAAAATGTGTAAAAAATTATTTCTAGTAGAATTTCTTTTTTCATTGGTGCTTCGTGGTGCCCCCTCACCTCTGGTGCCCTATACGCACGTGCTTAGTATGCTTAATGGTTAATCCAGCCTCGTGTCCGCCCCTTATTTATATATATATATATATTCATGTATACAGGCAGCAAGGGTGTCAACTGCTCCGCTTTTTTAGCTTGTGCTGGGGATCGAATCTTCGCGCTGAGCTAAAGATGGGTCTTTCTTAAGGTAGTCCATTCTCATTTCATTATTCACTTCTATTTGCCGTCAAGGAAATATGAGAACCTGATTTCTGAAACATATTTTACCACAAAAAACTCACCAACAGGTTCTCTTTTTCTCTAGACAACGATCGAGAAGCAGCAACCGAATGCAGTGAGACTCCTTTGTCCCTAGCAGATTCGTAACTGAAAAAGTCCAAGTATAGTTAAAAACAGGGTAATTACTACCACCATCTGCCCTCAGGTGTAAATTTAAATTAATAAAGTTACTATTTATAGTAATATAGTACACTAGTAAGGTTTCCGGATTATCATCAAAGAGGAATTTTATTCATTAATGAAATCTAGGGCAATACCTTCGCCATTGGTGGAAAGGGAATGCGTTGGAGAGTGTGAGAGAGGTTTATTGGCAGCCGTCAGGATTCAAACAATGTACCTCAGGGATCGTAGTTGTACGCTCTATCCACCACAGAAAAAAATGTACAACCCAGTCCATGCTGAGTATGGAAGCTTTATGCAAAGTAGCCGCCGGAAGAGCAACACCGCCGCCGGAAGAGTGTATTTTGCTGGTTTAAAACATGACTTTTATATGAAGTAATTAATTGGCTAAAATAAAATATCTTATGAAGATTAAAATAATATTTTCAAACAAATTTAATGAAGATGTTTTAGTTCGTTCATAACTTTTTACAGTCTAGAAAATTTAAGAATATTTTGTTGGAAATAGCTAATTATTACAAGAAAACAGCTATCGTAAAATCTTTCATGTAAATTAAATTTCGCGAATGCTTGTCGTTCCTACTTCTTTTACTTTTAAATAAAACTTTCTGACCCATCTCAGAGATTGCATTCTTCTTTTTTAAGGGCCAATCAAACACCTCTGTACTACAAATACAGCGCGTTCTGCAATATTCAATTTTGGCCCTGAATGTTTTGAACATGTTTTTGGCATCATTAAATATATGCTCTGCTAATTTTTTCTGTTGACATTTTAAGCTTTTGGATTTCGTTTATTCCAGTAGATCATTGTAAATGTGCTCCTATTTTTTCAGACGTGCACAAATTCCTCGAATCTTATTTTTATGTATTCAAGTAAGTATTAACATTTTGAAATTTGTATTAGTAAATATTTCATCATACGCGTATCAGCATACTTTAATATTACTTGTCCATTGCATAACTTTTATTGCTATGATTTATTTTACTTCCTCTCTTTATTTGTTTAGTTATTTTATTTTGATTTTTAAAATAATTCTTAGTTTGCACTACAGAAAAATTGGTAACTCTTCTTTGAATCCATTAAATTTTTTTTCCCTTTTAAATATTAAACCACTATTTAATTGCGTATTAGATTAAAATATCGACTAATGCATTAGAATTGAAAAAGCTGCTGATTTGGAGTTGCGTCTATTTCACAACAAATTAATTATGTTTAAAACTGAAAATCCTCGAATATACGTAATGTAGAAAATTAATTATATTTAAACTTTTTAATAAATGCATGCCTATATATTTAAATATTTTGTGTATAAGTATACTTCACATATTGTGTTATGCATAGAGCTACTCAGGGAAAAAAATAGAAGCTATAAAAATTTATTTTGTCTGATTTATTATTCAAACTTTCTGTCAGACATTGAATAGAGATTTCAATGCCTGTAAAAATTATCATTGAAAGAAATATTTGTGTACAATCGTTAAAAGTGGTTGAGTATGTGAACAGGATCAACCAGTAGAATGTACGTTCTAGTGATCAATTTTACATGGTTTTATTCATTGGCATTTATTATAAGTGTGCAAGTCATGATATATTTGGAGTTAACTGTTAGTAGATTATTAAAACTTCAAAAAGGAAAAAGAATAACTACCTTTTTGCATTTTTTTTTTGGAAACAAGCAACATTTTTTATTAACCAACCAAGAAAGGTGTACACTATTTAATGAATAGGAAAGTAGAGGATTATATTTAATTTTGACAAAGTGGCATCTGAGCTTGTAGTTTTTAGATGTGTTAGTGAAAAAGGTGCTATTTTCACTTTTTGTAGACTATCAAAAACTTTCATTCAAAGAATGTGTTTTGGAACAAAGTAGAAACTTAAGATGCACTCTAGAATTCCATAAGTGTATTGACCAGCTTTCACAAGAACTCAACCAGACATCAGTTTCGCATCGTGGTGGGTACTATGTTCTTGAGAAAAAGTCACTTTGAATAAAGCTGTGGGGTTTATTGTTTTGTCTTAATCCTGACATAGGTGAGCGTGAGTAAACCAATCGGCATCTTCCCTGTGGCAGAATTTTTTCGGGCTTTCTGCAACAAACTTCCCTAGTATTGATATTTTTCTTTAAGTTACTTTTAATTACAGTTAAACCCCGCTATAGTTAACACGGTTTATAGTGAACCCCCGGATATAGTGAACGAAATGCTCGGTCCCGTGCATTGCTATACACGTATAATGTTATTTTTTGTGGATATAGTGAACCAAAAAAGTGAAGAAGTTGGATATAATGAACTTTTTTTCTGTCTTCAACTAATTTTTTCCTTTATTTTTTTGTAATAATTTTGAAATTTCTACTTCAAATAAATACATATACCGATTTTTAAAACCATTTATAGAGGGGACTGTAGCGATAAGCAGTTTTTCTTGTTAGCTTCTTTTATCTCACTTTCCCATCCCTAAATAAACCAAACAGATGCTTCCAACTCAGGCAGATGATACACCTGTAAGGCATCAGTGGGATCAATATGCATTTTCTGTAAGAGGGAATGAGTAATTATTCATTATTGGTCAAAGGATTGGACACTAATCTATGTTGATAAGGCCCTCATTTCAACTCCTTTTGGTTCTCAGTTCAGTTAAAAAAAGCCTGCAAACAAGTGTCTCAAATTTAACTATGGCGAGCTGTAAACGTAAAATGTAACGTAAATTGATGATAAAATGGGCATAATAAAAAAAAATTGAAAATGGATGTAAACAAGCTGATATTTGCAGGGAATATAAACTTTCCAAATCTACAGTTTGTTACAAATGCAAAAATAATCAAATAGCAATTTCTGCTCAAATTTCTGTTCAAGAAATTTAGATGGCAGATTAAAGTTGAGAAAAGAAACTAGATTGCAAGGATGTTGAAAAAGCGTTACTGAAGTGGTTCAGCATTCGAAGAAGCCGCTAACTTCCAGTATCTGGACAAATGTCGAAGACTTTGCTCAGCCATTTTGTGAGACTACTTTTATGTGATCAAATGGCAGGTTAAACAGGTTTAAAATGCAGAATAACAGAAATTCAGGAAAAATTATCTGAGAGTTGGGAAGTCTTTTCATATCTGATGTTGAGGTATGCTCATCAGCTAAAGATTACAAGATTTTTTTTGTACGCAAGACGAAGAGTAATAAAAAAATAACATATCTTTTGCAACTATATAATATTTTTCAGTCATTTATTTGAATAATGTGTAATAAAAGGGATGATTTAAGGAACCATTAGTGAAATTGCCTGCTAACGGATATAGTGAACTCCCGGTTATAGTGAACCGAAATGTCGGTCCCTTGAAGGTTCACTATAGCGGGGTTTGACTGTATAACAATTACTAATTTAAAGTTACAGAAACGTTGTGTTTACAGAAGAAAGTATAGAATAGAAACTTATTGAAATTTTTAATTGTAAAAGAATTATTTTTTTAATTCTAATATTATAGGCACTTTCTCACAGTTTGTAAATCATTAACAAAAATTAAAATTCATAAATAAATTAACGGATAATAAATTGAAATTTGCACAAATATTAAAAATTGTAAAATCCATGTAGTAATTCCAAAATGAAGATCAATGACAAAATCACGTGAATAGGACTCTTTAAAAAAGAGATACTCAAATAAGTGTGCATAAAACATGGCTTCAGCTAGTCGTTACGGACTTTTTTTTAAATCCGAAATAAAAATAGAAAAATCACTTATTTTTCTTTTATTTTTAATATTCTAACATTTAAATCAGTTATTTCTCTCCTCTCTAATGTGCAAGAAAGACATCTTTAAAAAAAAAATCATTTTTCGAATAATTATGCAGAAAGGAAAACCTTAAGTTTTCCCTTTCCAAATAAATAATCTTTCTGCAAAAGCTCTAACGTTCTGCGACAATGTCGCCGCAATTCTGCCACGGGGGGCACCTTCATTTCTCCATTGTACCCCCATTAGAAATGTGCTTTTGTTACCATAGCAGCATACAGTCCTAGACTGTTAGTCCGTAGAAGTTCTCCTCAAAGCCACCTAGTACTAAATACATTTGTGTAAATTGTAAATCAAAAAGAGAGGAGTGTATTAGGCTATAAAAGTCATAGAAAATTGAAGAAAACACTCACTTTATTTTATGTCTGCTTAGATGTGTTTTTTTAAGATATGTTTTACTCTGATAAGTTTTAAGCACCTGTATTTATGTTTATTATAATATTTCTACTATTTTTTTTTTGAAGTTTTGCTTACCTCAGAACTCATCAGACTATTTTTAAAAAGCCTTTTATTTAAAAAAGAACATTTATTTTTATTTTAGGCAAATTTTGCTGACAGAAGTACTCATTATGCCTGAATCAAATAGTATGAATGGAAGTCCGTCTTTTAGAAGACGTAAACAAGAGTATACTTCACAAGAAAATGATTCAAATGCTCAAAATACAGACAACTGTTCAAAGTATACAGAGGAACAGCAAAGAGCAGTTGAAAAGTAATAAAAAATTTGATGAAACATTTTTGTCTCATTTAATTAGTATACGTTTTGATTTATGAACAGTTACCATTTAAAAAAATTTTAAAATGAAAGAAAAATAGAATTGTGTTAGATACATAGTTTTATCTATTGAAAAATATTGAGTGTTAAAATGAACTGGTAAAAAATTCCTGAAGTTTATACTGTTAAAATTTAAAAAAGAAAAACTTACAATTGGTACGTAACTAATATTTCTCTTCATATTGATTCAAAAATAGGAAAGTTAATTTTATTTCAAATAAAGTCAGACATTATTTATTAAATGTTATTATTATCGTATTTAAAGTTATTTAATATGTCTTTCAAATCAAATAGCAGGAAATAGTAAGTTTTTAATCTTAAACATATGGACGAAAAAAAATTTCTGCTATTAGGTTTAAGAAGAACTTTCTATTTAGTCTGTTATCTTTTGCTTATTTAAGCTCACAGCTCATTTTTCCACTATTAAAAAATAGTAATTAAACATTTTGAAGTAATTAAAAAATTATTTTTCTAGGTATTTTTTTTTTGTTAGAAATTTTTTTTTATTGATAAACACATTATTAAATCACTATTTTTATGAATCCTTCAAATTGCAGTTATCAACACATTAATATTTCTATATCACCACTATCAATGTGTGTAATTTGACTAATGAATCTCTAAAGACTTTTTTTCGTTCATATTCAATTATTAACCTTTTTCTGTGTTCAATCTTACCAAAGGAAAACTTTAATAACAATATTCTACTTCAATTCTTTTTTTAAAAGGGTTGAAGTAGAATTGATTTATTTTACATTGTTAAAATTAATCCTTTTTTTAAAATTTATTTTTTGTGCTTAGAATTCGAAGTTGCTCCGACTATTATGAGATTTTGGGTGTTACTAAGGAAGCTGGTGAGTCAGAATTACGTAAACAGTATAAAAAACTTGCTCTTCAGCTGCATCCAGATAAAAACAAAGCACCAGGTGCTGTTGAAGCATTTAAAGGTATTGTCCTGTTTTATGTCATTTGTTACAATTTTATTTTGAAATGTTTAACATAAATGTATAGTTGGGTTTAACTTGGTCAAAATAGTCTCCTTTCCACTGTTTCAGAATTTTTTTGGGCATACCCTTCTAGTACTAATATCTTTCTGCAAAATATTTTTAATAACAAATATACATGTTACTAATTGTAAGTAACAAATGCGTCAACATAAAGAAAAAGCAAAAAATAGGATAAAATAAAATAATTTTTTATTTGAATATGTAATATTTTTTTAATTCTAATATTATGGCTGATATTCTCTCATTTTGTAGGTGAAAAACACATTAATTATTTTCTTTTTGTATTTTGTAGGTCATCACACGAAAAATAAAAGAAATCATTTAATCCGTCCCAGTAAATACTCCCCAAAAAAAGATCGACCGTGAAATCACGTGAACCGGACTCTTCAAAAAGCGATTACTAAATGAGTGTTTCGTTTCCAGATTCAGTTGCTATAATAAGTAATATTGTATTAAAAATACAGGATTTTAAAAACTGTGTGAAAATCAATAGTAATAACTGCATAAAAAAAAATAGAATGAAAATTTCTGCAGAAAAAAAACCCGAATTTTTTACTTCCCTTTTCCAAAGGAAAAATCTTTCTGCAAGAACTCAGTAATGTTTTGCGACAATGTTGCAGTGTTGCCACAATTCTGCCACGGGGCTCATTATCGTTTTAATCATAATTAAACACTTTGCTTACTTTTTGTTTTTTAACAGTGTGGATTTTTTACCATTATAGTGGCTAAAAAATGTGAGCTGCTTTAGTTCCCTTTTATAGAAAGTAGCATATTGTGATCATCAGCATAGACTGAAATTATCTGTCAGTGGAACATCTAGTTAATTAAGTCTTTGCTGTGTTTGCCTTTATTAGTCTGTTTTTCAACCAAATTAGTTTGACACAGATTTTGCCAACCTATCTCATGTAAAAGCTATGCTTATTCAGTTTGTGAGGACAAAAATTTAACAAATGTATGTATTTTTCTAAAAGTTTTTGCAATTATTGTTTGATTTAATCATATAAATCTGTATTTAACAACCACAACAATAAAATAAAAATAAAAAACCTACCCTAGTTAAGAGACTCAAGGGGAAACTAATTATTTAAATACAAAAATTTAAATGAAAATTTTTCTAATGATGAAAAGTGTCTGATATTATGTTTATAAAAAGATTTTTGTAAATATCTGATTAAAACACAATTTTGGAAGTAAATTTTAGGATTTCAAAAATACTTTAGTTTCACAATTGTGAAGGCACTTTTATGAAATTAGTTAAAAATATATATTGCTTAACTCTCATATACTAACCCTAACGCTTTAACTCTAATTTGACCAGATTTCACGACGATGCAAAACCTATGAATGTTCAAATTATATTGCTATTAGGTATTCTGTTCTAATTTTTAAAAGTAGTGTTTGATTAAGTATATTATATCTATCTTATTGTGTAGCTGTTGGAAATGCATTTGCCGTACTAACTGATCCTGTCAAAAGAAAGCGCTATGACACTTATGGTCTGGAAGCTATGCAAACCACTGAAAATCATACTCAAGAAGGCTATTACTATGCTCATTCTTTTGAAGGTGAATATTTCTGCTATGTACTTTTCTCCTTTTTTTTAAAACTGTATTCCCCCTCCCCCGATTCTAAACCTAAAAGATAGAAATTTTACCAAAAATGTAATTTTTTTCACTTAAAAATCTGGTAATGATCTATGGTTTTATCTAGAAAAGAAATTGGTATTAGCAGCAAAACAAATTAGGGCTACTGAAGGAATAAATTAAAATGTAGTTGAAAAATAAAGTCTTGCTAAGAACTTATTTTAAAATTAAAAATCCCCATATCAGAAACAATTCATCCTAATCCAGTGTTTTAATTTATTAGTGTTTTACTTTTTTTTCAGAAAAAGCTAGATATTGAAATTTTTTTTTTAAACAAAAAATAAGTTACGATCAAATACGGATACTGATTAGTCTTAATTAAAACAGTGTACGTGCATTAGAAAACAATGTACATTGAATGCTTTTATTTGCATAAATACATTTATGAAACATTCTATATACAGTAGAATTCATATTTAATGTCACCCATGAATAATGATTTCCCCCTTTCAATGTCTTTTCAGCTAGATCTCCTTTCATTTTCTCCTCTCCTTTCATTCAATAACGTAAAAAAAAAAAAAAAAAATAATAATCACAATAGTGCGTTCTATAATACTATTTCCCTGAAACACCGAAGTTCTGAGTCATCTTTCACCCAACTTTTAGTTGATAATTTTTGCATAATGTCAAGCAATCACACTCACTAAGGAAATCAGACAACAGACTTACTTGCTGGTGGCTACTATGTTAAGAAATCTTCTATTTAAGCATATAATCTGATAACAATTTGATGACTTGTGAATTCGAGACAATTTCAATAGCTGAAATTATGGAATCTATTAGTGATGAAGCAATTGATAAAGTTGACTATGAATCTTTAGAGCTACCACCTATATTTAATGAAGCAGCAGTTATTTAACAGAGAAAGAAAGTTTTCTTCCTAGGACATGAACAAAAGAAAGAAATGAATGCCTTGGAATTGTTAGAAAATTCATTATTAACTTTAAGACAAAAAAATAGGTTTTTTTAAAAAAAAGAAATGCCAGAATTTTTTCATTAAACCAATGTAAGTTTTTACTAAATAAATTGCATTTAAAATTTAGTTTTAATGGGAATTTTCATGCCCCTGATATGGCAAAATTTCATTATTTACAATATTTTTGTCCAGTTAGATGACTGTTGTTGAAACGAGGTTCTACTATATAAGTTAAAAACATTTATTTATTTAAATGTTTTGTATTATTTTAGCATTTGCATCAATGTTTTGTCCATTTTAGGTGATATGACAGCTGAAGAACTTTATAATATGTTTTTTCAAGGTAATTTATTTTTATTTTAAATTTTTTTATATGGTAAAGCTTGCTAAGAAAATATAAATTTTATTTTCTACTATTTTACAGCAATTGCATACTGTATATTGCCAAAACTTAATTTACAGCAATATACATGCATAAATGCTTGATATTTATGTTATACGTGTAAAAATATTGCAAATATAATTATTTTGTTTTGTTTTAAGACAATTTTTTAAGTAATAAAAATACAAACACATTTATGAACATGTTTCATGAATGTGACTTTTATTATTAACTAATCCTGATTTCATAAATTTAAGTAATTTGATTAAATCTGAACTTCTCAAAATAGTTGATTAAAAGTAGTTGAAAAATAATAAAAAGTTTTTAACAATCTTTCATTTGAGACTTGATTTCACATAATGGACACCTAGTTAATTTTTCATTTTGGGACGTAGCAAAGTTAACTGTTAACCAATCTTAAAAGTAAATATTTTCCTCATAAATGCTTTATCTTTGCTCCATCTCTAAATTCCATTGCTGTTTAGTGCAGTATGAATGCTGACAATGCAGGTAATTTAGACACAAGAATACAAATTTAATCCTTCCTCTTATGAGCTATCCTTTATTGTTCCTGTATGGTCCAACTCCAAATCTTCCCTCCCTGGTAAGGGCTTATTTGTTTTTACTTTATTCAGTAAAAAAAAAAATTTGATTCTTTAAAAAAAATAATGGTAAAAGGAAAGAAAATTAAGTAACCAGCAATAAGTGACATGACATTAAAATAGGAATGTTGGAACCTCTTAAAAATATCAAGATATAATAATTTGAGTATTGTTTATCATTAATTTTACTATAATTTAGTTTTATTTTTGCTTTCTTCTCAAACTTTATTTTATTGTTTTAGGCCAAACTTTTGTTAGAACTGGTGGTCAGTGGCGTCGATTTCAAACTGGGCAATCTCATCATTATCACGAGGTAGGTTTTACTTATGCATTTAATAACATAAGTCAAGAGGGATATTTGTAATTATTTTTAATGTCATTAAGGTTGTGGAAAAAGAACTTTATTGTAATTTGTAACATTCTCATAAATACAAATGCTTAGTGCAAAATTATGTTAAATACCATTTTAGTATATTTGTGAAAATTAGCTTTAGAATGTAAATGAAAACCAACTAACATCTACTGAAAACTGTGTTGTTTAAAGATTTGGTAGGATGAATTGCTTTTCTATACTTGCTGTTGTACAGTGCGCTAAAAAAAGGACCACTACTTTTTTTCATAAAAAACTGTTTCTTCAGTAAAGCTTGATTCATTGAGGGACATAAAATTAATAATTAAAAAACTTGTTTAGTAAAATTTTGAAAATTTAATTTTCCAAAATTTACTGAACATTTTTTGTACTTATTATTGTCCCTGTAACAAATCAAGCTTTACTGTAAAAAAAGTTTTTTATAAGAAAAAACCCCATTTATTTTGCACAGCAACGAAGCAAAAATACCCATAACGGGTTAGTATAAACCTTAAATTCAAGAACATTAATCTCAACGAAAACCAACCCATGATCAAAAATTGTCTTGTTCCTTTTATTTGTTTTTCTTCTTGAAGTCGTTGTACTTTTTTTTTTCTTTAAATTTATGCTTGTACCAACTAGATATTTCTAGGACTCTATCTTCCTCTCATTTAAACGTTGAGCAATTTTAAATGTATTCAAATGTTCAATTATCAAAAAATGAAGAGTTCTATCTAGTTCTAAAAAGTAATTGTATGCTTTTTCTATTAAAAAAATTTTACTGTCCCTCCCAAAAAATCTTTATTTTACTACATATTTTTCGTATCTAATGCTTGCTTTTCAGAAAACATTTTTTCTATTCTTTATGAAAATAAATTGTTTTAAGGATAAATGGAATTATTATTATTTAAAAAAAAAAAATTATTTTACCCTATATTTAAATTACTGTTTTCTTTAAGAGTTAATTTAAAAGTTTAATGAACTTTTTCATTTTGTATTTTTAGGAAAAACATTTACAAGACAAAGGAAAATTTATTCCATTTTTTATTTTAAATAAGTTTATTTGAGAAAAGCTCACTTGTACTGTTGATGCATTTGAACTATAATTCCGTTGATTTCTGCATATTTTGACTTTGTTTTATTGAATTTAACTATTTGGAAAAAAATTATGTATTATAGTGTGAATATTAATCACTTTAACAACTCAAATTAATTTTATAGCAGGAAAGTCAAAGCCCACTCCGTCAAATGCTGCCTTTATTGTTTGTTGTGGGAATATCTATTTTAAGCACCTTTTTGTATACTGATCCTCCTTACAGTTTACAAAGAACTATGTAAGTGTTTCATTAACTATTCATTTCTTTTTTTAATTTTTTTTTACAATAATTTATTGAAATATTTTTGTATACTAGAAGTAAGAAATACTGTATCCAATTTTATGAATTAAAGACTACCTTAAATTATGTGAGTGATTTAGTAATTTTGTTATACAATTTTTTTAAATTTAGATATTTAATATGTTTTTTTAATCCAATTATTCATTATATTTAAATTTGAGTCAACTCAATGAAAAATTTAATGGGAATTATAGTATACAATTCTTATTTTTCTTAAAAATCTTGAAAATCTTTTACCTTTAAAACAATTTCAGAAGATTCCAACATCAATCCAAACATTCGCTCAGATCATATCGAAAAAATATTCTTTCATGTTATTAGTGAACTTCACTTTTATTCTTTAGATACATAAAATAAAATATAGAAAGGGGGAAAAAAAGATAAATCTTTACCTTCATGTATTACTTGTCTTTGTTAATATGTTGTGGTTGTAAAACTATGTTGTGGAACGGCTTGTGATGATCTGATATTAAGTTATAAAATGAGACACATGAGATGTACTTTCTATTCATAAACATACTGTATTCAATAATTTAAAATTTTATGATTTCTAAAAATTGAAAAGAAACCACGATTTAAAAAAAAAAATTTTTGTTATCAAACTTTTATTGAATTACAAAATATATAAATATATAATTGTCTATATAATTTCAGTAAAAGACGCCCGGTGGCTGAGTGGTAGCGCTTCACGCTCCTGTGCCACAAATCCTGGGTTTGATCCTCAGGCCGGGCAAGGTTGACTTAGCCTTTCATCCCTTCAGTGGGTCGAAAAATGAGTACTAAGCATGCTTGGGAACTAAACACTGGGGGTTCGGCGTTCGTCTGACCACCTGACCAGAACATTTGCTCCTGCACCCCAAGGTCCAGAAAACNAGCGCTTCACGCTCCTGTGCCACAAATCCTGGGTTCGATCCTCAGGCCGGGCAAGGTTGATTTAGCCTTTCATCCCTTCAGTGGGTCGATAAATGAGTACCAAGCATGCTTGGGAACTAAACACTGGGGGTTCGGCGTTCGTCTGACCACCTGACCAGAACATTTGCTCCTGCACCCCAAGGCCCAAGATCAAGAAAACTGAGATGGGCACAGTAGGCCTTGGCCCTCTATGGGCTGTCGCTCCACTGAGTTTAGTTTAATTTCTGTAAAAATAAAAAATATGAGAGTTAAGAAATAACAATCTAAAAAATGTGTCTTTATCAATCTATAAAGCTTGTCTTTAACAAACTATAAAATGTGTCTTTATTATAAGTCCTTAAATTGCTATCAATTTTAATCTTCCATCAATGTGACCTTATTTGAAAGTTATTTATGAAGTAAAAGAAACACTGAGAAATGAATAAATATGACAACCAAAGCTTCAAGGAGCCATAAAACCAAAACCTTTTCTATAGAAAGAGCACGACAAATGTCTTAATTGCTCTCTCTGTACCCCAAAGGTTTTGCCAAAGTTCAGGAAAAGAATACAATACAAAATATGAAATACATAAAGAAAATATAAAATAAAGAAAATACAAAAGTATAAAATCAAGACAAATATGTAAGAATAATACACACTAGAACTTATTTGAAACTTAAATCCCATAACTAAAGTGAACTACTGACTGCCAGACAACAACTAAATTGAAATAAATGAACAAACAATGCCCCCTAATTTGCGCAGATAGATGAAAAAGAGCGAGAAGACGTCTGCTTCCGTTGTCATATTTATTCATTGTTTCTTTTGTTTAAATTCCTTTTGGATTTTCAGCTGCATAGTGTATTTTTCCACTGGAAGTAATATTTTTAATTGCTTTAATTATTTTGTATTCTTTCTTATTTATGAAGTGTTTGTTCTGAATCACTAATGAATATTGCTTTAATTTTAAAAAAAAAAAAGTTGCTTAGTAGCTTTGAACTCACTTTTGATTTAATAATCAAATTTTCATGTAACAGAAGGAAATTTCAACTTTTGAGAAGAGTAGACCTTATACTGATTGATTAGTGCAAATAATATTTTAAGCTACAAAATCAGACTAAGAAATGTACTTTTTCTAAATAAACATACTTACCGTCATACCTTGAAATATAGGGTATGTTTAAACAAAATTAATTTTCTCAAATGTATAAAGAATCAAATCTGTCAAAATAAATGGTAAAGATAGTATTGCATTGGCAGTTGAGAGGACTCTATAATCGGGCTGCCACTGGCAACTAAAATGTAACTATTTTTGTCATGAGGCGACTATAGCTAATTTTTTTTGCCTAAAAAGGCTAAAAAAGCAACTATTTTTGCCATGAGGCGACTATAGCAAATTTTTTTTTGCCTAAAAAGGCTAAAAAAGCAACTATTTTCAGGAAAAGGAGACTATTGGGAGACTTTTTTGTACTCCTAACTATGTTTTTTTAGCATAAATTGGGTTCAAAATCTGCGACCAACTATAACTTTTGAACACACTAAACTTTTTTTTCTTAAAAAAAAAAATAAAAAGCACTTTTTAATTCTTTTTCTTGATCCCCTTTTCAATGACTATTGCTTCAAAATTCCGCATGATGTTAAAAAAAAAAATTAATACAATATTACAATGCGTGAATTTCGAATTTGAGTAATCACTTTTCACAATATATGTGTGTGTCTATATATATATATATATTTCCTAGATCAATTATTAATTGCAGGGGAAATAGTGCTAGAACATTAACGTTTATATAAAAGTTATCATATTTGGCACCAACATAATGACAATTAAGTCATTCATCAAAAATATGACTGAAATTTTGTTAATTTTTGTTCTTATTTCGGCAACTATTTTCATAGTTTTCGGCAACTATTTACTAAAAGCAACTATTTTGTTCATTTTTTTCTGTGGCAACCTTGTATAACACTGAAGAAATCAATCGAGGCAAATTCTTTTTCACCTTGTATTTTAACTTACTGGCAGTTTAGAAAATATGCAAAATTGGGAGGTTTCTCCCCTATGCATTATTCCCCTATCGATCAACATGAGAAAACTGGTTTTGCTATGCGAAGAAGACTGCTGGTTAAAATAAGACTTTTCTCATGCAGAACCGTCAGTGGGGTAAAATTTTAAATATTGAAAAAGTGAGTTGAGATAAATCTAGAGTAAACCACGAATAGACCGTTTTGTTATTTATTGCAGGATTATTTCCACTTAGGATTATGCTGTTGTATTACAATAATTGTTTTCAATTTAATATTTTGAAAACATTTTTTTCAGCTTTTCAAACTTCATTATTTATACTCTAGATTTACCTGAACTGACTTTTCTCTAAACTTTAAATTTCGAAATACTAATGGAGGTGAAACAGAATTTGCTATGAGAAGTTTCTCCCTTGATTTAGTGTCCTCTTAACTGAGAGCAGTGAATACATTTCTAAATAAAAATCACTTGTTAGATCTCAAAATCTTTGAATTTGATATGAATTGCAGTAGCAGTCAGTTTCAAAATTTTAATTTCATTGTGGCGTAAATAACAAACATAAAATTTTATTTTCTCAGTAAGTTTTATTTTCAAAAGAATATTTTAATTTCTGAATATATGACTGATTATTTTGGTTAATTTCGGAAGTCATGGTGCATAGCGTTTTTAAAAAGTGCTTAAACGTGCTTATTTTTGATTTTTGTTATTTGAAAGCCATTAAAGGTGCTTTTTTCATTGGGTGTTTTTATTAAGTGCTTAATTTTCCCTTTTCAAAAATGAGATTTTTTTCGTTACCATGTTGATTTTCGCCATGTATTATGCAAAAGCGTGCTTTTCACATTGCTCTATTTAACGTTTTCACAATTCATTTCGGCGTGCCGTCAGTCCATAGCGTATGAAAGTGCCAATCATTTTACATGTTTGATAAAATACTTGCGAGACTGTATGTGCGTCTACTGAGCTGGGTTCGGTTATTGCCTTCTCATGTGCAACTCTGCGGCATTTTACAAAATATTCACAATTTCAGACTTCATTTTGCACCCTCTGATATTGAACCAAAAATCTCTCGATCGTTTTATAACGGCTAATATAATCAAGAAAAAGATTTCTTTGTCAGAAACAAGTTATTTTCTCTTCATCATCTAAAGTCTTTGAAAATTATTTTGCATTTTGTTAATTTATATAGTGCTTAAAATTTTTTTGAGTGCTTAAAAAGTACTTAAAAGGTGCTTATTTTTTCTTGAATGATTTGAATATGCACCCTGTGAAGTATCTTGATGTTTATCAAACTTAATTTCCGAAAGCAACTTGTGGTAAAAAAAACTTTTTTTAGTTTTTCAAACAAAAATATTTCTACCAAGCATGAAAAAATATGTTTTCAATTAAACGTTAGCTTGCATGTCAAGCGGTAAATCTTGGTATGTGTTTTATTTCTTATGGTCCATATTTCAAAACATAAATATATGTCATGTTGATATCTTTCATGAGTTAATCTATTTCACTGTGTTCCAGCTTCATGCTATTATTTTGTTCTTTACTTTAGGAAATATTTATATGAACGAAGAACTAGCAATCTAGATGTTCCTTATTATGTGAAAGACTCTTTTATGCAGAAATATGAATCATTATTGTCTCACGTAGAAAAGCAAGTTGAAGATGAATATTTGGTTAATTTAAGAACTTCTTGTTTTAGAGAAAGAAATTATAGTAAGTATCATAATAATCCCTTCTTTTTTTTAACATGAGAAAACTTAGTGATGCATTTTTTTATAACTCTGGAAAAGTTAAGCATTCGAAAACTTTAGTAGTGACATATTAATCAATAAAAGTAGAAAATGCATATCTTATTAAAACTTGTTTCCACTTGTTACAATTGGTGACCAAATTTTATTTTTCGGGATATTTTTTGTACCTTGAAGCTAAATTGGGCTTTTTCTTTCTGTGTATTAGAATGTTTTTTAAATGATTAATTTGAAAATTCTAAACTAATTTCAATCAGTTTATGAAATTGTGCTTTGATATCACATTATGAGATATTTTTTTTAATTTGTCTGTGTTCAATCGAGTTCGAAATTTACATTTGTGTTTTTAATTTTATTTGTAGAAGAGAACATGATATGGAGAGCCAAACACTTCAAAGATGTCAATTTAGAGGCAAAGGCAAAGAGCATACGAACACCATCATGTGATGCTTTAAGTGATTTGTACAAAAACTACAACAGATTTTAGTGTAAAAATATTTATTAAAAGAATTTCATAATAAACTCTGTGCAACTCTATTCTATATCATTTATGTTTTTTCTTTCATCCTGTATTTATAAAGCACTGTTGTTCCAATATCTATTGGCATCAATGTCCTATTTGATCTGTTTATATTATGATCAAGCTTTAAAATGACCTTCTCATCATTTATGCTCTTGCCTAAAATGCAGCCTTTTCTTTTAATTTCTTTTTTTTAAAATTATTTATTTATTGTATAAAGTCTGTATTTCATTTAATATGTCACTTCTTATTTGCAAGAATTTATAGTTTGAATCATCTTTATCTATGTTTTTTCTTTCTTCAAAATACTGTTATAATTTTTAGAAATATATTTATGATAGACATTTTAGATTAATTCAAAAATTTATTATATATTTCTTTGTCGATTGTATTTATTGTTTTCATAATAAGTTTCAATTAGGAACATGCAAATAGAATCCAAACAGAATTCTAAATGTGCTCTTCTTTTCTAATAGAGCATTAAAAAAAGGCACTCTTGATTAACCCTCTTGTGCTTGAATTTTTCATTTCAGTTATAGAAAATATTTAGATATGCTACAAACCCATTTAGTATCTCAGGATTGTGGCGTAATAATTCATGAAAATCGTGTCCAAGTGAGGACATGTGCTATTGTGGTATATTTTATGAATATAAATTTAAGGTGTAAGAAGATATTAAATAATATCAGCTCTTCCAGTAATGTAATATACCCTCTAGAATAAATAAACAAAATATCAGATCTTCTTTCTTGAATCTTGTATAAGACTTCAAAAGAGATTATATTCTTTTAAATATTTTGAATGGCCTGCTGTCTGGTGTTGTTTCCAAGAACTGTTTGGAGTCTCCAAATGAAAACTGCCTGCAAATTACAGCACAAATGAGAATCTGAAAAAAATTATAAAAATCTGAAAAACATTATGCCAAGCAAAAATACATTTGTCCTCATAAGAGGCCGGTATGCATGAGAAGGTTAAAATTCCAGATACAAAGTATGGAATGTGATACTGTTTATTGTGTTCATATTTTCATTTCTTGTGAGTACTGAAGTTCAAACTGAATTGTGAATATTGAAGTTAAATTCATTATAATTTTTGTTCCTACTACTAAAAGTTTTTTCCTTCAAAATATTAGGGAAAATAATGTGTGGGAAATAAATAATTCTTTATCTCAAAATTAAGTTAAAGTGAGGTTTTCTTTTGCACAATTGAAACATATTATTTTAACATTAAGATTGGTCATATTAATAAAATTTTATTGTGTGCAAATTAATTTCTGCTTTATCAGTTTCTTAATATTTTTTTTCTCTCTCTAATAAATTAAAAATTGAAAGAATAAAAAATTCGTTTTTTTGTTGTTTTTTTTTAATTTTTAAATTTTTTTTTTTTTAACATTATGAAATTAAATATAGTAGCTAATGTTTCAACAATTTTTGTTACAGTTTTGCATTAATTTCAAGCTAAATTTATATATTTTTTATTTGAATGGAGATAATAAAATTAAGACAGAAATTTAAAAGTATTACAAGTTTTTCTTTCTAAAAAAAAATATTTTAATGCCAAGGTAATGAAAAAAAGGCTTCAAGTTCCCAAAAGATTTGTTTTTTCTTTCTTTGATTTTTAGCTTACCATAAAAAAAAGGTCTGAATCTAGTTACACCTCTTAGAGCCCTAAATTTTAAATTTTTATTCCTTGCAATGAGTCTAAATATTTTAACTATACTTTTCAGCATACTGAATTTATTTATCAATTTTTGAATCTAAAGTTGCATATCATCTCATTTGGTAGTGTTAAGATTTATTAGTCTCTTATTATGACCTATACAATCATGGTATAGAAACTTGCATATTTTGCACCGAGTAATCGTAGATATAAACTGCAAAAAATTATGAAGCTAAATGGCCCTTTTCCATTGGAAAAAATTTTTTTACATAAAAAAATTTCAATTTTGTAAAATGTAAGAAATTTGTTTTAAATTTTATATCTATCTATTAATCCATCTAAAATGGATTGAGTATATTTTGTGCTATGCAGACCAAAGCAAAATTAAAAAAAAAGAATGAAGCATAAACGGAAGTACAGCTTTTCATTTCTGTACTTTCATTTGTGTTTTATTCACGTTTTTTATTTAGTCTATTAACTCATATTTTCTCCATATTTATATAGAAATGTAGCTGTACTTCTACTGTTTATAACTGATGAACAATTTCTTCATTTCCATCTTATGGTAAGTTTTTTAGAATCTTGGTTTAAATAGCATTGTGATTAAAATAATATGCTATTGAATCAAAATAATTTGTTTAATAATGTGTATTAAATTATTTTGTGCTTGAAATACATACCAACTATTTGCTATAAGCTACGTAGTCAGTAAATTTTTTTAGACATTTGTAAATAATTTAGATTCATTGATTTTGAAAAAAATATTTTAAATTTTTATATAATTTCTGAAGTTTAAAGTATCTAAGCAGTAAAAATATTGAAATGAAAAAGTAAGTGCAAGCTTTCTTTTAGAGCCAATTGTGTTTCTTGATAAGTGATTACTTTTTAGTGCAATCCGATTTCTGTTTTCATTCTTAAATGTAGTGATTGTATTATTTCAAGACTTGTATTGTTACTGCTATTTATCATAACATTTTAATAAACATGAAGAATTTTTGAATTAGTGTTTCTATATCTAAAGGAGTTTAGAGAGAAAATTGCACCTTACCAGAAACAGTTCGTAATTGGCCAAAATTTAAATTTGTGTCAAAATTTTGTGTTTAATTTACATGGAGCACATTGATAGGGTATATTTTTCCAACAAAATCTCAGAATTATGGAAATTTATTCTTTCTTGCTTTTTGAATCAGTTTTAAATATTTAAAATAATGTAAAATTAATATGTAAAATAAATATTTAAAATTTTTTGTTAAAAAGCCATAATTTTTATGAAACAAGTTTTAAAAAGTATAATAGCTATACTTGATGTTTATATCAAGTTATTTATGTTTCTATATTCTTATAATATACTGTTAATTTTTAAAAAAAATAGTTTTCTTAGTAAGGTTTTTTGTTGTAGAAAATTTTGAAATTAAACTAAAAAATACTTATGTTTTTATAATAAGTTGATGAATCTATTAACCAACAATTTACAGAACTTTGCCGTAACCGGTTTAAAAAAATTAAATGGAGCTTAACATGATTTTAAGTTGAAGTAAGAAAACCAGATTTGTCAATATGGTATTTGATTTTAACTTGCATTCTCTCTTTTAACCGTAATTCAACTTATTTTAAAGCTGCCGTAAATCTCTTTAGATATAGGGACTCTATTATTATGAGCTCTATATTGATTTCTTTAATTTTGATTTATTTAAACTCTCAATTCTTATTTTTCGATCATTGAATTTTTTAACTATCTCATATAAAAATAGAATACAGTGTGAAATAAAAATGCAGTTTTATACCCTTATATATTTTGAAAATGTTATTCACTAAAAAGTAAATTAAACTGACACATTGTGTTCTTAAATTATGCACCATTTTCATGGTGGTTGAAGTTTTTCTAAACTACCATATAGATATTATCCAGTTTTTTTTTGTTATATTTATTTTCTTACTAAGATATGTAAGTATAAAATAGTTGAAAATTTTTTGTGATTTTGGAAGTTTGCTATGTGAGATAAGTGTGCCAAAGCAAAGATGTAAGCTATTCTTTGATTGTGGGATTGGTTTTAAATGTATGGTAAATTTGTTAGCTATATTATTAATTGTATTATCAGATTTTAATCGAAATATTTATTATTGTCTAGGATGTTTGTTTTAACCAAAGGGTATTTTTAAACAAGCTATCATTCATACTTTTTTTTAAAAAATTCTTAACTATACATCAGTAGTTAGTCTTACATATACATTTTTTATTTGAGCTTTTAAAAAGTTTTGCAAAGGAATATAAAGTTCTTTTTTTAAATAACTGCTAAATAAAATAACTTAAAAAATGTAATAAAATAACATCAGGTGCCTATATTTTTATTGGTAGAAAAATATTTGATCAAATTTGGTAACTAAACATGCTAAATGATAAAAATTATATTTTATTTCTAGATGCAGTAACTTTTGTTAATTAATGTGTTTACAAAAGTAAGCTATTAGAATTTTCAATAACGAAAATTTTATTGAATACTGGTATGCAAATACTGGCCTCAAATAATTTCAAAAACATTTTTATGTCTTGTAATATGATATCTTACATAGTAATGAAGCTTAAAATACAAATTATTTTACCCTATATAAATTTAACAATTAAATCATTTCTGTATTAATTTCATATAACATCCAATTCACTTTAAATTTTTTTAATAAACAGGAACTTTATTTATGAATATCTTATGTTGAAATATTTTCTAATACCGAGTTGTATGACTTATAAACATTTATATATTTTAGTCAGATTAATTACATGCCCGAAACCCTATCATTCTTGTATCTTAAAATCAATTATGACATGTAATTTTTGCTCCTGCTTGTGATACTTAATTTCGTTTTCTGTTGAAAATTATTAGGTTTTGGTTGGCTGCGCAATATGATGGCTCAAAAATATTTATTTTCATAGTCTGCATTATCATATTCATATTGACAGAGCAATATGAAGTGTAAATTTAATCCAATTTTCTATACCCTTCTTTTCCTTGATTTCTTACTATATGATCTTATTAAAAAATTTTCTTAACATAAATATTCTTTCAAGGAATTGTTTTTCAATAAAGGAAGAAAAAAAAAAGTATTTATGAATAATGTTCCTCTTTATTTTCAGATTATATTTACAAATTTTTCTTTCCCTTTTTTGGATTTATATTTATTTTATATTAAAGAAATTATGGTTGTGATCATTTTACGATTCACTTATTATGTTCTTTGTTGTGGATAGTTAAAATGAAAGGATTGAATAACTCAATTTTCATCCTTAATATTTATTTTAAGTATGTATTTTTTTTTCCTTCTTCAAATTGATGTGATAATTTTTGCAATATTCTGTTTAAATGTTCCTTTACAGATTTTATTAAAATAATTTAAATGTAAATTTTTTTTCCTCCAAATATTATTTGATATATAATTTAAACTATCTTGTTAAAAGTGTTTCCTGTTGAAATAAATAAAAAAAAAATTAACAAAATGTTAAAAATAAGTGTTTGATTGTTTTTTTTCTTCTTCAATGCAGTGTTCTAAAATCTCTGAAAAAAGCAAACATGTCTTAAAGTTGAGATACACATCCTGTAGCTCGTAATGTTTGGGATTTGGCTTGTGAAACCAGTCTTCATAGTAAAATAAAAAATTATACAAAACATCAGGCTTTTATGTTCCGCACGTAAGAAAAAAACCCACTAATTTACCTGTGTTGATTTACTATGTAATAGTCAGTGCTGAGAACTTTTTAAAAGCCAGTGTAATAAACCAATTTTTCAAATTTTTATTACATGTAGATTGTGCCGTAATTACAGCCTTTAGAAATTGTATTAAAAGAGTATATGGGTGATTCTCACGAAATATGACAATTTACTGTCTCTTGCTCTAACACTATACTACTAACAGAACTTTTTTTTTAAAAATAGCATTTTAAAATGACTTTGCACTAGCATTGAATGTTTTGTATAGTTCAAATAATATTTAATTGAATGTCAAAATATCATTTTCCTGGTATGTCACAAACAATATTTTCAATAACATACCTGCCAACTTTAAATCCTTTCGAGGATGATATACCCCACGGAATTTAAATTACAAATTTAAGCAGAATCATACGTTGTATTTTAGTAAAGTTTATGTGGACTACAATAGCAGTATTACATATTAATATATCTGCTTAATTTTTTTAAAAACAGTGGTGGTCAAAAAGGTTATAAATTAAATTTATAAATGGAAGGATTCTATAGAAAGCATGCATTTTACTACCACTTTAAAATAGAAATAAAATTTTACGAAATGCGTAAAAGTTGGCCGGTATGTCAATAATAACTAGCTTCAAAACTTCCCATACATTTCTCAGTATCTGACCGTTGTAAGCATTTCTAGAATATATCGCTCATGGGCTGCAATAACGGCACAGCTCAAAAAATCAAGTTTTGAGATAAGTGGGTTTAAAGTTTTTATTGCTAAGGTAAATGCTTTCGTTTGCTTAAACGAAGATTACCTTCAAGTTGAATTATGAGTTGTGCAAGTATTGCTGCTGAAAGAATGTGTATTTTCATATTCGCGCCTGTTCTTAGTTTAAAACGCATGTTTTTTGAGTTGTGCCACTATTGCAGCCCATGAGTGATATGCAGAGAGTATTATTTCCTAAAACTTTGTTTAAAATAATTTTTTCTGTCAATAATTTGTTTGTCACATGAAAATCTGTCCACTTTTTTTTTTTAGTCATAAACTACCATACCCAATCAACTTTGCTAGATTTCCAAACCTCTTTAATAATCCGGGCCCGGCTAACAAATTCCAATACTCAGAATAATTTTCATTTCCTGGATACTGGGTAACGCTCACTTGATGCTCGACACGACCAAACATATTAAGTTTCCAAAAAACAATTTTCGTTTGTATAGATCAGTTTCAAAGTCACTTAAACTAACAGATTTAAGCATAACAAATTTTACATCATTAATAAATCAGATTAAATAATAAATAGAAATGAAAGATTATGATTCATTGAGAACAAAATAAATGTATCTTCAGCAGGAACTAATTAAGAGTGAAAAACAATAATTTAAAAATGTTCTTATTTTCACTTAAGACAATGAATATAAAATACAATTACAAGCTTATTTGAGAAAGTTTAATTGTATTTTCAGTATAGACTTATTTGCGCATAACTTGAACCAAAGCGCGTCTGAATTTAATGAGAAACCGGTAACTTTAAAATTATCTTCAGAGAATATTTCATACTCGTTGGCTTATTATAAGAATCGACTGTATCTTTATCCCTATTAAATGCTTATATTAAAATTAAATGGTATATACCTAACACTATAATTATTTTTTTAAAAAAAGAACTTAATTTTCTGAGTAAGGTAAAAAAAAAAATTGATTGAAAATAATTTAAAAATTCTATTCATTCAGTGTCCATTACATTAATTTGTTTTGTGAATAAAAATAAACTACAATGCACAAAACTAAAATGACAAAATTTATTAAATGATTATCATCAATACAATTCTATTTACAGTAAAATCAGATATGTACAATTCTTAAAAAACAAATATCACAGACTAAGTGATGCCCCAATATTTGCAGAGCAAAATATAATGCTGGGTGGTACACATTTTTTGGACGAGGTAAAAAAATTTTGGCCCACTGCCACAAGAAAAATGAATTAGCTTTTGAGCTCTGCAATGAATTCAGTTTTTATGTCAAGCAACAAGAGTATGTCACCTGAACTCTGAGCCATAGGTTCAGGCAACTATTTAGTGAATCAATCTTCGATTAAAATTTGTTCTATAAATCTAAGCTCTTTATAGAAAACCTCCTTATCAAACTCTATATATTTACACATGAAATTGAACAACCATTTAAATGACGAGGAAAAATCATCTTCCCGCTTTCTATTTTGGAATCTTTCAAGTGGACGCGGATGCTTAATATACCAATACTTTTTAGAAGTCCTAGTAACATTTTCAAAGTAATTCGTTCGATGAGTTACGTAAAGGAGTTTTACTGGTTCATACAAGGATGAAAGCAATAAATCAATTGGCTCATCAGTTGTTGCAGAAGGTCTGTAATACAATCTGTGATGAGAAAAATCTTTATTTATGAAACTGAAGTCAATATTTTCAGTATCTTTAAATAAAGGCAATCTTTTCCAACCATTTACTAAACACTGTAACTCATACTGAAGAGGAAAAGATGTGGGATTTCTTTTAATGGAAGTGTCGGAAATTAAGCCCTCAAACAAAGCTTTAACTTCACTTCTGGAGGTAAGAAAATTCATATAATCTGAAATGAAATTTAGACATTAAAATCAGATAAAATTGTACAAACACTCTCAGATCTAAAACTGAACTAAACCAAATTTTAAACAGCCTACTCTAGAACAAGAACAAACTATTTAGAACAAACAAGATTTTATGAATGATAGCAATCAATCTTGACATTCTTCAGTAATGTAATATGCCAAACAAAATGATGCTTGGAAATGTGGAAAATTTTGTTTAGTATTCTAATATTTCACTTCAAATAGTATGTTTTGATATAATCATGTTGGGAAAATGCAAGAACCTGTTCTTAAATATCTTAACAACTTTTTTTCTAATTTTATTGCCCAAAAATGAATTAATTTTAAATTATAAGCAGTTAAACCCAAATAAAAATACAGTTTTACCAAAACTATGGGTTTTTGACATGACTGTAAAAACCATGGTAAAAACTGTCATGTGTCAAAAACTTGCTAATCCTAGTTCTAACACATTCAGTTCAGGTAAATTTGTAATCAAAGAAGAATTTTAACTCTTTTTTAGTACTACAGTAGGGAACCGATTATCCGGAACGATCGGGACCATCGCTATTCCGGATAACTGATTTTTCCGGTTTTCTCAATCGCTACAAAAAGCCGTTTTTTATTGTTAAACCCAACTAAAAAAAAAAATTGGAAATAATCTTAAAAAGAGGAAAAAACGATAAGTAATACACTAATGATTATTTCCAAAATGATGGTAAGGTAAACATCTTTCAAAAAAGAAAGAAAAATCCCAAAATCTTATGAGGAATTTTTTTTTTAAAATGGGGGGAAAATTTATTGAATTTTGTTCCGGTTTTCTGAATCATGGATAACGGGTTCTGTACTGTATCATATTCTAAACGTCTTATATTTTGCATTAATTTATGATCAGTAATAATTTGAGCAGGATAGAGAGCCTGTCCACACACATAAGTAAAGCATTCCAACAACAGCATGCTGTAGGCCAAGGCAGTAACATAGGTTAGGACTCCACAATTTCGAGACCAATGGCATGATTGTGGCAGCATGAACAGCACAGCGTACAGGTCGCCTATACTTCCCAAACAAGCTGGTAACTACCCATCGATCTGAAGCTGGGTGGGCTTCAAGTTACCACTGAGGATAGAACCCCAGTTCTATCTTCACAATGTGTGTACATAAACGTTGGTTTAGAAAGTTACAAAATTTTAACGTATATTTCAGAAAATGAGGCCTAAATACAGAGTTTCTGACTAATCCCAAAAAGTAGGCAGATATAGCAGGGCAGTTTAGAGCAGAGGCAGGTCCCAGGAAACCATAGGTTTCTAAAGGGTTTTTACTATAAATCTGAACTTTTTAGTGGATAAAAAACTCTGTAGTACTCTATAACAATTATTAATTTTTAAAAATATCTTTTTCAACACCATAATAATTTAAAGCTTTCCATAATTTGTAGCAAAATTAAGCATTCATTTTAAGAGTTTAGTTAATTCGAAAAGTAGTATGAAATAAATACTGAAACATAATAATATGAAACTTTTTTTTTATATATATTGCTTTATTTTGCTTTTGTACGTGAAGAATGTAAATATGAAAGAGTCCAATACTAAAGAAATTAAGTCAACTAAAGAGACTTAAGCATGTTTGGTTTTTATGTCAGAATTTTATTACAAAGCAATAATATAATTTAAACAATTTTGTAGAAATGTTATTTTTGGAGCCATGTAATGTGCAATGACATTCGTTCAGATAAATTTTGTAGCATGGTAGGTAAGTAGGTTTACGGTAGGTTTTGTAGCAAAAACATATTATAAATAAAATAAAATTCAATACTCAACAGAATAATAGAATAATCTAAAATCTTAATATTACAAAATAAAAGTAATAACTGCTTTTAAAAAATTACAAATAAACTAGGGTTTCTTAAACTAAAAAGTTTGGGAACAGCTGGTCTAGTACGATGATTTTTATTTGTTTTACAGCAGTTAGGAATGGCAGTTTCTAATTAATGGAGCAATAATTTTATTCTTAACCATAGAATCGAAATTATTAATAAAATATTTTGAGGTTATTTCAGTTCATGCATTATATTATATGAATTATAGATTACTTTTATAATAAATTAACATAACAAACTTGTATCAATGTTAAAAAAGATTAATACTACATATTTAATAATTCTTTTCTTTTCATGATGCTCTATTTTTATTATGTCCTTTTAAAAGATAATATAATGCTATGGGCAAATCTTTTAAAAATAATTAGCTAAAATCAAAGAGATGTCATACGTAACAGAAAACTTATCATGGCTTTAAATATACTGTACCAAACTAACTTAACAAAAAGTTATTTAAGGTTACTTCGATAAACATTTACTGTACATCCATAATTTTGAAGCATACACTCATTCTATTGCCAATGTACAAATTAACAATTTGAAAATGTTCTATGCCACTAATCTGAAAATATACATTTATAATTAAAAGCAATGGCCTAGCTAGTGAGGAAAGGGGGGGGGGCAATCTGACCCTGTACACAGCCTCAGAGGGATGCCAAATTCATAAAAAATAATTAAAATGAATTACAGGGTAAAATGCTTTTCTCCTTTAAAAATCCTAAATTTTATTTTCTAATTGCGGGGTTTTATAACTCCTTAAATTTGTATTCAATCTACCAAAAAATTGAGCAGATGATTTAAAATATTGTAGCTTGTTTTGCACAAAGTTTTTTTTTTGCTGTTATTTTAAACAAATTGTTGTAAACAAATGCTTACAATTCAATAAAGAACAATAAACTTAATCAAAAACATTTAAGTGTAATAGAAACTACAGTCGTTACTAACACACTGTTAAACTTTAAACTGAACAAAATGGAAATTTATGAATTTATCGAGTTATTTTGCTTTAAATATAAAGTTGCAAAATTTTCTTCCATATAAATTTTTTTTTTTTTTAAAAAAGAAAGAAAAGAAGAGAAAACACCTTACACCAATGGATGTTTTTTTCAAGACAAACATTTTTCTCTCTTAATGCCATTCAACAGTAAAATTAGTACAGAAAAAAAGATATTCTTACAAACTATACTTATTGGTATTTTGAATAATATAGCCAATATAATAAAACAAAAAATGTGCAATATCATACTTCTTGTAGTATGTTCAGAACGTAATTCTTCCTGAATTGAGAAAACTGGATGATAACCTCCATTAATTCTATCGGCGCTTAAAGTATCAAGAAGATTCCTATAAAAATATTTATTTATCAAAATTAATTCTGCTGAATATGAATAAACTTATCACGCTAATAATACAATTACATTTAATCTATAAAATTTAAAGATTTTAAATGATCATTTATTTATTTATCTAGAATTAATATTGAATATAATTAATATATCATCTGACTGTTTGAATTTGTATATTTCACTTTTTTCTCTTTGTAAAATTTAATTAGTTTTAAAAAAATTGTTAAAATGAAATTATTTTAATTTTCCAAACTGTTAACGAGAAAACTTCCAATATATTTTAAAACCATTATCCGCCACTTTCGGGAGTAGAGGTATAATGTGCGGAAATCAATATTATAGAACAATTGGGAAATCTTTTGAAGATGGATTTTTCAAGGGAATGATTATTAAATTATTAGTAAAATTACTAAAAATCAGCAGTGAAAAAAAAAGAAAGAAAAGTGAAAGACCACTTACAATTATTTTTTAAACATAAATTATGATATATCAGGAAGAAAAAGAAGATAATTTTTTTTTTCTGTTCAATTGCCAAAATATACAAATGAGTTACAATACTACTGTAATATTCTGATTCATCATAGTCAAAATCATTAGATTCTGGTTTTCAGATAACCAATGTTGCATGAATTAGATTCGATTGCAAGTTGTTGTTTCTGATGTTACTTGCCAATACCAACAAGCCTACTACTGCCTTGGTGAAACCATGCGAATTTAAGGCAGAGTGTGCGTTTATTGTTTTTCAGTGGCGCCCTCTATGGCTAAGAGTACACCTTTAGTCACATACACATCGCAGCCTGTTCATAGGGCGGACCCATTTATACATTCATTCATAAATGGTAATTTTGACCTGAATCAGAGTACAACCAATCTTCAATTCAGTACCTCTAAAGGTATTATTTGTTATGGGAATATGGAGGACTTTGTGATCCAACAGATTTAATGTGCAACAGCTACCATTTACTATGCGGGAAGTCTTCGGTCGGCGGGGATCTAACTCACAATCCATGGGGACATGGGTTCAATACCCTACCAGCCAGGTTATTACGGTTCCTTAATTGCAAGTTTTTGGTATAATGATAAAAAGTTTATTTGAAATTTGTTGTTATGGGCATCTCTTGGAAGTCATGAGGAATTTTCCAAAAAAATTATTTCTGACAGTTCATGAATATATTACTTTATTTCAAGCACATTTATCTTTTCTAGCTGTACAGTAGTGGGAAATAGTATTGATACATTTATACATCTATGGAGATACAGTTGAATTATATGTTTAATAAACCTGTAAGTCATAACATAACTGCTAATTTACTAAATTAGATATAAAAAAATAAAACAATATTACTAGATTTTATTGTACAGGCATGAAAATTCAATTAAATACATGCGTCATTTTTCGAAAGACATCATTCTTTTATAAATGTTAGCTCATTTACACTTTTCGTTTTGCCATACATATATTTTGACACTTCTTTAAATATTTGAGCATTATGCTCATTTTAAAACCCATTTATAGAATGAGCGAATTTTACCGAGGAATTATTCTTAGGTTAAACTATTTCTCTTTGAAAAAAAGATTTCATTTTAACAATAAAATTAAGAACTCTGTACATTGTGGGTTTATTAAAAGCTATACAAATATTTAAGAAATAATATACCTTTTTTTGAGACGTTATGGTGCTCTGTATTTTTTTGGGTATAGAATATACCCAATTTTTTTTAAAAACAAAAGTTGAAAAAAAAAAGGATAAATACGATAGTTAGCTAAACTGTTTTTGCAACTAAGAAAATATTTAGGTATCATTAACACACCTGACTGTCACATTCTAATTTCTAACCCTGCCTTCACGCATTTAAACTAGAGTTCTGATTTAAATAAAGTGCTAATAATAATAAATAAAAAAATAATCAATAAAAAATGTAAAAATATAAATGTTTTTAATGTATTTCCAGGTTTATCAAGCTTGGCATCTTGATAATTTTTTGTGATATTATACATTATTGTTAAAACAGGTTTTACTGTATCTTAAGGGTGTTTTTCAAAGCTCTTATACAAAGGGGAAAAAAGAAGTCTCTGAACTTAATGTTTTAAAAACAAACTGCAAAAAAACTCGACTGAGATTATTAAAATACTTTTTCTTTAAAAAGTAGTCAATTTAACAAAAGTCTTCTATCTAGATGAAAATTCGTAAAACCAACAAATATTTCTAAATTTATGCAAATTTTTTGGTCCTAAGTAATAGTGTCAGCTTCTTCGAACACTAATAATAATAAATAAAAAAAAAAAAACTAGAGTAGCCTCTTTATATTGACATTTAATACCATCATTATTATAGAGGGCACCAGCTAGAGAGAGATGAAACTTAACAATTATGAATGACCTTTACAGACTCAAAGTGATGTTTGTATCCTGGAGAAAAAAAAGTAGGCAAAAGAAACTGCCTCACATTTTACAGGGTAGTGAGGGAGTTTTAGGGAGGAGTAAAAGAACATTGGCTACCAATACTTATTAACATGGTGTATATATATATATATATATATATATAATTGAATCATAAATCATAGATATTGTATTAATTCTGAAAATAAGCCAGAAAGCACATGTTTTCAGTGCCTTTTTTCACTTTTCCAAGGTACAATTTAGCCATAAAAGTTACAAAAGTTATAAATGCTGTTTTATATGGTGTAACTTTATATGATATAAATTTAAAATTATTTATACTTACATAGCTGCATTATTTTGAGTAGTATAATGTTTAAAAAATAAAAATTCTTTTAAAGACATTTGCTTCTGCCAATCTGTCCACACAAAATATGATTCATCTATAAAAATATTTGTTAGACTATTAGAATTAAAAAAAAAAACCCTCAGAAATAACGCATTTTAAATTAAAACAGAAAAAGACAATAAATTTTACAAACAGTACAACATAACATATGAGAATGAAGTAATGCTCTATTGATATGTTCTACAAATGAATGATAAAGAGAATAGTAGCGAATTTCAGATAAGCAGATTTTTAAATAGCACACGTTTTACATACTAAATTTAAAAAAAGTTTTATGCAATTAACTTAATGACTTACTTTCACTAATGGAGTTCAATTTTGTCATTATTTCACTGTGTTCCCTTGAATAAAAAATGAAACATATGATTAAAAAATAAAATTGAATTATTCTGTAGTTTACTTAAAACTTTTAAAAAATTTGGAATGAAAACAAATGGGATATAAATATTTATTGGATGAATTAAGATACTTCAAGCTTTGATTTAATGAAAAATTTTTTAGAATTTTTGAACGAATTATTTTAGAATATATATGTAACACTAGAAAGGGAAGGGCATAGAATTGCTCAGTTTTAAGCATTGAACTTAAGAAAGATATAACTACAATAAGATAATATAATATAAGATAATATAAATAGGATAAGATTGATAAACTATGTGATTAGATTTTTTTCTTTTTTTTTTAATTAGATGTTATGCAGACACTTTCAACTAAAAAGTAATGAAAGTCTAAAAGATTTGTTGATTTTACAAAAGTTAGTGATAATTTTTCCTTTCAAAAAATAAAATCTTAATAGATAAATATCCTGATACCTTTAAGAAAGTAGAAAGACCTATCAATAAACAACAAATTGAATGAGCTTAAAAAAAAAAAAAACCTGGTTGTTTAAAGCAACGATTTCTTCTTTTTTTCATTTCATTAAAAACAAAAGGTTAAATATTATTTTAAGCCCTAAGTATAACATAATTAAACCATAAAAAAACATTTCACAGATATCTTTTTTAATTATTGATTAATATTTTGAATAAAAAATTCAAAAATATTCACTTTTGTTTCATAAATATTTGAATATGATAAAAAAAAGTAAAACTAAAATTTTTAAATAGGCTTATTTATTGCTTTTAAACTTAATTATTGCTTCAACAAGCAAATAAGCATTTAATATCTAAATTTTACTTTAGTAACGAAAGAAGAAAAGTTTCCCCCTTAATAGTTAGTATGATAGTGATAGATGAAAATGTCATATATCAGCATTATTTACATTAATGTCATTATTTGGTAGCATACATTTTGTGACATTTATGTCAATTAATTGTTGAGAAGAAATTTTATTTTTTTATACAAATTACATAAATATTATACAAATTTCAATATAATAACATTTAAACATAAGAGTATTTAATCGTAAAATAATATTTAAAACTGAAAAGGGAACAAATATAAACACATGGTTGCATAAATAAAAAGATATAAAATAAAGATAAATTTTAGTTCTAAAGGTTAGCGGACCCCCCCCCCTTTTGTTATTTATTTTAACAAAATGGGACTTTAAATACAACAATATTCTTATTGTTGTACTGCAACGTTAAATAAATGTGAGAAAAAAAAAACTTCTAAATGAATTTTGAATATTGTTTCTTAAACCGTTTTTTCTTTTAATTTTATTTTTTAAATATAGTATAAAAATTTGCAATTTAAAAATATTATAATAATGAATATAAACATACTTCATATACACAATACAAATTTGTTTACCCTAGTAATGAAAATTTGCTCACTTAAATTTATCTTAAATATGTATTTTTGATGAAACTTATCTAAAAATAGAAAAATTATGCTCATTTAGAGTAATACACATTCCTATTAGTAATTAAACTTAAAAACTTATAAATGAAAAATTTACTTACAATTTGGATTAAAAAAAAATATTTAGTTTTAACAGTGGAATAAACCAGCCAACCTTGCTTCATAATAAATTAAAGTCAAGACAAAAGTTAATAAAAAGCAGTGATATCAAGAAATGCTAACATTAGATTAAAGTTCTCAGTTAACAGAACCCTTTAAGTAATAGCTTTCTATGGTTCCTTTAAAAAGCATGCTAAATTTGTTAAATTGGCTTAAGTTTTAAATTTTAGTATTACTCCAATAAAAATTTATCTTGTTTCAGATCAGTCCCCATCTAAGAAATTTCAATAATGCTTGAAACTAGTTTTCAACTCTTTTTATGAATTCTAGAGAATACACATCAAAAAGAAGATAGAAGACAAAGCAGTAAAAATTTGTAAGTTTCTGTAAATTAAATTTTTAAGTTTTCTTTAATATAGAGATAGTGCAGATCATCAAAACAACCAAACACTATCTTAATTTATATTGAACTTTAAATAAAGCTTAAACATCTTTAAAAGCAAGATCCAGTATGATAAATATATCAATATTTTACTTAATCAAGTATTTGGCAACCAAGAATTTTTTGTAATTGTTTACAGTTAATAAGTGTAAAAATTAAATTTAAATGTTTTAGTAAATGTAAAATGTTTTTGAAATTTAAACGAATTTCTTCCAATTCAAAAAATTAATTTGAACGACTTATCTTAAAAATTTACATTGCAGTTGGCATTTGTTAAGCCTAATAGGTTATATGGAAATTTTTGTACTAAATGGTAAGTTAATGGCTACTCTTTATCCCCAAATTAAAAACTGACATAAAATGATTCTAAAATAAAAAGAGTTATTTATTTAATTTGAAACTTACCTATGAAATTAAGCTTAAATATTCTGAGTCACACAATCTGTGCATATCAATTCAAAGCTCAGTTGAGTCTAATAATCATGCTAGAATTTTATGTCAAATATGGACTAGAAATTAATCTTTAATTTCATTTCTAAAGTTTCATCGTTTCCCCCTTTCTTTTCTTTAAAATTGTATACTTTTTTTTTTTTTTTTTTTGTNTTTTTTTTTTTTTTTTTGGTTCTATGATAACTTCTACACTTTAAAATTGTATCTTTCTTTTAAAAATTTATCCCACAAAATTTAATTCTCAGAATAAAAAAAGTAAATTTTTTTTTTTTTTTTTTACCATAGGAAATTGTGCAGAGAAAAAAAAAGAAGTTTTCTGCAGTTCCAGTCTTTAGACGTCCGTGCTAAAGCTAGAGTTTCGCCTGATTAAATAAGAGCAACATCTATCCAATGAATAAAAGGTGTTTTACAAGCTTGCAATTTCATAAAAAAGTTTTTTTCTTAGATTATAAATATGGTTTTTCTCACAATATAAATTTTTTGATTTCAGTTATTGAATACAGTAGAACTAGAAAATAACTAATCAAGAAATATTACACAGTTGATGACAAATACTTCAACTTACACTTCAAACTTTCCATCAAGAACAAATAACATCTTTAAAGCCACCATCACAACAGACAACGCTTGAGCTTCATAGGGAGGAATGTACCGTAATTTATGCTCAGGTTTTTGATTTATTTTGTTAATAAGAAATTTCAACACTGGTATTAGATCACCTTTTAAGACAATAAGAACACTTTAAGAAACATACATTTCAAATTATAAATTGTTAAGAGAAATCAAGTCCAAGTTTTATAACTATGAGAGCACTATGGTTAGCACTTATGAGCACTGCTAGAAAAAAGTACATTGGCATTATTTATTTGAGCTAATACAAAGAACATATAAGCCTAAAACAAAGGAAAGTTTTTACAGCTTTCTATGTCAGATTGTTCTAGAAAAAATAGATTACAACATTCATGATCTATGTTGCATTGAGAAAACAAATGGATATTATAAAATAGCACTTTATTGCATGAAAATGAAACTTTATAAATAAAATTTTAAAGTTAAAGAAAAAAGTATGACATAAAATTTTTTTAGAACACAATGGAACAAGGCTTTGAGTGACATTTCCTGAGAATTTAAGGAGCTCTTATCATTTCGGGGAAATCAGCAAGGTGTTGATTTCAAAACCCACACACACACAAAAGAAGCTTTATATGTACAGCTGAACATGATGTGTTTTAAAACTAAAAATAAAACAAATTTTCAGAATATCAAGTGATACTTTTTCGCATTACACTTTTTATTATGAAATTTTTTAAAACAAAATTCGAATATTTCACTTAGAAAACCACTATGGTTAAAAATAAACTTTAATTTTTTTTCTTTCTTATTTAAAATGATAGCAAGTCATTGAACTATGGAAGAATTCTTTCTTGAATAGAATTTAGTAATTTAACAGGGTTCCCACTCTATGATGAGATTGAAATTCAAGGACTTTCCAGGACTTTTCAAGGACCTCAACAAAATTTTCAAGGACCTTAATCTAAGACCAATTTTAAAAATTATTCTCTTCTATTTTACTAGAAGCAACAATGCTTGTTGTGGCAATAATTAATTTCAAATATAATACCTAAATGCTTTGCCTATATAGAGAGAAGAGAGTATATGTATTATGGACTAAAATTTATATTTTTTTAAAAACAACCCTACTGGTTTTACATATTAATTCACAAAATCATTTTCAGCACAATCTATAACTAATGGTAATGAGGTGTTAATGGTGAAATCCTTTAATCCTGTGTATTTCCATGTGAAGGCTGCATGAAAGACAGAGCTAAATCTTAGGTATTCCATATTCCATGACTATTCCATAACCCCCTCCTCTCCTCTATTAAACATCGTTTCTGAAATTATTCATCCATAATTTACACAACCTTCTCTAAATGTTATGCAGCAACAATTCTTTCTGAAAATAAAAATTAGAAGGAACATATCCCATTTTCACCATGTTTAAAAGCATTATTCGTTATGTGTAATCCACAACTGCCAATGAATATGACCTGGTGGGAATATTTCTCTTTTAATTCACACTGAAGCTTCTAATAGAATTTCCAATTGACATAGGGTCCATCCATGGATAATTGAAGTATTTTAGAGAGCTTTTAACCATCATCCATGCATTTGTAAAAAGAGGACAAAATATTTTCTGCAGTTCCATGACCCATAAATTGGGAGGTAAGATACTTAGTGCAAACTTTATTATCAATTCCTTACCATAATGTCCATCTGCTTAGATTGTAGAGACTGATTTAACGTCTCATCAAAGAGTACAGTGTAGCAATCAACATTCTTCAGCTCATTTATAAGAATCCCTTTGAAGTATAGTGCCAATCCAAAGGAGCCCAAATAGGCTCACTTTGTGGCACTACAAAAAAATTGTCTCGCTATACAGCTATCAGCAAACATTTTGGAGAACAATTTACTAATCCCTTCACAGGAGTTACATGAATAATTACTAGTGATGCACTTCAGACTCCAGAGAATTTCAGCATCAAGCACATTCCTTTTGACCAGATAAGAAGACAATGTTACCTCGGCCACTAAAGTTTCTGTTTCACATGGGGCACACGATGTTGAAGGAGTATTTACACCAGATGAATTAGATGTTGATGTCTTTGGAAAAAGAGAACTCAGGGCATGAGACTGCTTTTTTGTTTTACCTTTCTTTCATGTGTGATTTCAGAGCAGATTCTTCCATTTTCGCGATATCGATCTCCTTCATGCATAATCGGCACTTGGCTCTGAACTTCTTTTCGGGCATCGATAAAATCCATTCTTTATAAGCTTGATTATCCATCCATTGGGGATTAAAATAGCACTTCCCAGGCATAACTAGTCTAAACTACATAACACAAATACGAAGCCGTGCCTTTGCGAATACGCTTTACAATAAAGTTTTGAAATGACGCAAACGTAAGGACAAGTGCGGATGGTAAAACGGCAAATTTATTGAAAACTACAAGGTACATATTGTTACGAAATTCGAGAGTATTCCAGTTTCGATAAGAAAAAAGAAGATCTAAGCATATGCGACAGAAGATGAAGTGGAGTCTCGCCCCGAACGCATTGATTGTCTGCTGTGCTCCGCGCGCTTGGCAGACACCAAGATGCTAGGCCCGGTTAGAAACGGTGGCATTTAAAACCACATGAGAGAGCTCGGGAACAAAACATAACGAACGAGAAAGATCCGCGGGTGTTTTATAAAAAGGGCCGCCGGCAGTATTGGACAAATTCAAGGACCTAAGACGTTTTTCAAGCACTTTCAAGGACCTAAATTTAGCACAAAAAAATTCAAGGACCTAAGACGTTTTTCAAGCACTTTCAAGGACCTAAATTTAGCACAAAAAATTCAAGGACTCTCAAGGACCGTGGGAACCCTGNGGAACCCTGTTTAAGCATACCAAATGATCAAAAAATCTGTGGAAAAAGTCCTTTTTTTTTATATGTAATGTTGCTTCCTACCCATATAGCCAAGCTGCAAATGTGAAAGGAAAAAAAAAAATGGATGTCAATCAAATGATTATATCAAATCAAATGATTACAGTAAACTGTTATGTAAGAAATCTAAAATAAAGATAAATGGTTTTTAATACAAATTGCTAATTTTGGTTTTTCTTAGAAAATTGTTAATAAAAGTTTGTTCGTAACATTTTTCATTTAAAGTAGATTTCAATAATAAAATTTCCCTTAATTGACACCAGATTTACGAGCGAAAATAAGTTTGAATTTTTTTACACCATTGAAAAATCCAAATGTTCTACGTGGGTATATAGATAAATGTTTAACAATATGCCTGCAGTACAAGGTTTGATTTGCAAATCATTTCTATATTCTTTTAATCAAGACCACATCTGTGATTCAAGTCTAAAACAATGTGAATAAAGTAAAACTTGAATAAAGCATAAATAAAGATACAGTTTTCTATATCTTCATTTGCGCGTTATTCACAATGTTTTGCTGTATTCCAAATTAGTAAAACCTCTAATCTATTCTTACTTGGATCTAAAATAAAGTGCCTAACATTAATCCATGCAATATAATAATAATTATTTTTCTTTAAATGATGTCTGTCTAAATATATTATTCTCATTAATTTTTGTTTTAGGATAGAAAAAAGTTACTGTAACAGGTTACAAATTTGAAGGAAAACAAATCATTGCTACTGGCATATGCCACTGAAGAGTTCTGATTTTTTGAAGTATTTCTTTTAATTCCATTGTTGTTTTTGTAGCAAATTCTATAACAATATTTCTTTTCACACTCATAATTATTTGCAATTAGCAAGGGAAGTTTTTTTGAGCTAAGGACCAATATTGTCAAAACAACACAGCATAAGGGTAGGTTTTGTTTGAGTAAAATGGAAGTGGAACAACGTTCTGACTGTCTTGTTTTCTAAAAACTACTCAACTTCACAAAAACCAAAAAATATATTATTTCAATTGACCCCTTACTACAGCATTGGGCTACATGTTTTTCACAGTTGATGCGTTTCTTTATATTTCCCTTAGCAGAGAGTGCCATATTGAAATGCACAGATCTTTTACCAGTATATTTTTTATGACAGAATCAGCCAAAATTACATAAAGTCATGTATTTGAAACTGTTGTGACTTCTGCAAGTTCAGAAAATAATTTTTTAAAAAATATTATGTCTTTAAGATTAAAAAGGATAGTGCACGCCTTATTTTATCTAGAAAAAAAAAATAATAAATAAAGAATAATTAACAATAACATGCTTAGAATGATTAAACAAGTGTTACTAACAGTATATATATATATAGAACATGATGTGTTTTAAAACTAAANCATATATATATATATATATATATATATCTTTTGTGGTTTTTTGCAAGTAAGAATATTATTTTAATTTCGATAAAATTAAATACTTTTCAAGTACCCTATCACAGAATTCAAGGACTTTTTAGAATTTTTATTTCTTCCAAAAAATTCAAGGTTTTTCAACAAAAGTGTTTACCAAGTTAAACATAAGAAACTTTTCTAAGAATGAGAAAATAGCTGTGGTGAACCCAGATTTGAATCCTAGAGATGGCTGATCGACAAAATTCTGCACCCCACTTGCATCGACCAAAAATATCCTCAGGGTAGACAGATCATAGACTCCTCTTGCTGCCAAGCTAACTCTGGGAATTTTTACCATCCATGTAATGCAAATGCGGGGTAGTTCCATCAGTCCTTCCAATACTTCATCCAGGAGTTCCCTTGTCTTCAGAATTGGTTTCAAAATCATAAGGCTACAGAGTTGAACATTGATAGTCAGAAGCTGAAAATCAGGTGGACTGTTCAATGACTGTTATAAAATAAAATGGGCAAGACATTTTTTGGCTATGCATCTAAGATTGTGACAGTTGTAATTTGTTCCTTCTAGGACAGGTTTTCTTTGATGCTCTTTTTCCCACAATAACGCATTGTTTTGCAAAAGTTACTCATACAAAACTCAAATTAGGCAATAAAAAGATTAAGTAAAACAAAAATACTAACGTGGTAAGTTAAGATCTTTTACAAAACGTATGGCAATTGGTAGAAGAGGAGGCTGTTTAAACTTCGGCAATTGAAGAAATTTGATTAGTTTGGCAGATGTCGATGAAACTTCTTTTATGTCAAGAGAATGCCACTAAATAAACATAAAAAAGTTAATAAAAGAATCAATAGTATGCAATAAAGAACAGTGGTGAGTTCTCAGGGACACATAATTCACAATCAAAATCACTTGAAGAATATTTTTGCAACTTAATATCAGTATTTTTCATTAGAAATAAATGACAATTGTTAAAAATAACATATTTTTGAACTATATTTCTTTATGGGAGCACTATCATTTCATATTATTTGTTGTTATTTTTAAGTTATGATAAAGCTAAAATTTAATTTTTAAATTCTTTCACATACACACAATTCAGTTTTAGTGATACTCGTGTTTACCTTTCCTTTAAGGAAGTATTATTTCTAATGTAAATAAAATCAGCATTATAAACTAATACATATCAAAAAGAATATTTTGTGTCATATTTAAAAAAAAAATCACTAGATTTAATTATTTAAGGGCAATTGATAGACATTGGTTTTAACTGCTTGTTGAATAATTACTCAAGCAACTGCTAATAGATTTTTTTTTCGTAATCAAATAATATTTTCTTCCAATGAATTATATCTCTAAATAAGAGATTTACGCTATTTTAAATAGAGATTTGCTTTTGGCAAAAAAAAAATGACCTTCGGGTTCGTAATTTATTAAAATCTAGCGGAATTAGTGAAAAAAAGCTATTAATTTTATACACTCTTTTTAGATAACAGATAAGAAAACCTTTTATTGGAACTTTTTTCTTGGGTTTGATTCTTAACACTTTTGGTATAATACTTTTTGACACTAGATTTTACTTGTGTATTTATCTTTAAAAATATTTAAGTAAAAATTAGATTACATGAAATATGACATGTTTTTTCATGCACGGGTTGTCTTTTTAAAAGTCTAAACCTCTCTAGTTTTCAAGTCTCTAAATATGATTAATGTTTCTCCATTTTTGAAAAAAAAATATTTACTTTTCGCACCAGTTTTTAAACATTATTTATTCACATTTACAATACAGCCTCATTGAAAATATGCAAGTTGGAATACAAAATAATTGACATAAAATCACAAGCATTCAAATAATAAGAATTATACGCTTAACGAAAGAAAAAAAAACAGTATTTTTAACTTTAGGATGTACTGTGCACACAAGCTACCATATTATTTAAATAAAAAATTTATTTACCACTTGTAAATATTTCGCATCATATTTTTGCAACTGCATTGAAGTAGGAAAATGACGAGCAATATCATAGTAAGGCACTGCATCCTCATTTACAAGTCTTTAAAATAAAAGAGAAAAACCAATTAGTTTTAAAGCAAATCACTACTGCAACAGCCCAATGTGGGCTAGGGGGTCATGGAGCTATAGGCTCCACATTTATCTGACTGTCAGTATAATTGTGGCCAGCATTGTCACAATTTCCCTTTTTTTCCCAGACAAACTAACTGGTGCCTATTGATTTGAAGACTGGTGAAGTTCAAGCCGCCACTGGGGATCGAGCCCCCCAGTTCTTCACAATGATAAGCCAGTGTCTTATCATATCTAATAAATCATCTATTTAAAATATCAAAATAAAACTTAAGGTGTTCATAATTCTAATACTAAAAAGCATCAATAGCATTAAAGTCAAAATGACACTAAGTTTGGTAAGAAAGGTATTGGGAAAGAAGATTTTGTGAAAAAGATTTAGTTACATAACTTGTTAGTTAAGAAAATATGGCACTGGGAGATGATAACACATGTAAAAATTAAATATGCAAGTGCAGGAATAAACGATAATGATAGCAATATCTATTAGGAATATAAAAGGCTTTATCTTGTTGGGAAATCTAACTCAACGTGAAGGCTTTGAAAGACAACATATATAAAATGGATTGCGATAAACATTCAAAGAAATTTACAATGTCACTGCATGGGAAATGTAGTGCATCATGTGATATATAAGAAAAGTAGCTGCATTGAAAAAAAGTTTAGCAAAGGGCAAAATTTCAGTAAAGAGTCACGTCGAATAATTTATACCAAGCATTCTTTGTAACTGTTCATGGGTAATAATAGTAAACTATTAGCGCAACAGCACAGTTTTGTTTTATTCATGTCTTTTTCTATTGTGTAGCCCTGCGTAGAATTAAATTTATTTATTATTAAATTTAAAAATTATTATTTTTGCATAGCTCAAAAGTTAAAAAGCTTTACAACCAAACTTTTAAATTATCAATTGCATGATTCTGAGAATTCTTTTTTTCTCACATTTTATAAAAACATTTTGTTCCCTTCAACTGTAATTTCTCCCCTAAAACTATTTTGTGTATAAATTATTATTATTTTTTTTTTATAGTTCACATTCATTGATAAACTGAAGAAATACACTGGATATTCATAAACATACTCTTTTTAATCCCCACAATAATGAAATTCACACATATTTGCACATGCAGGTGCTATTACTTTTTTTGTTGTTTTCGATGTTTTTTTAAAATTTTTTTCTTTCTGTTATTATGTTATGCTATGGGTTTTATGTATTTGAAGCTTATCTAGCTTTCTATGTATTATATATAGATATCAGGGGTGAATGTGAGCCCAACTCAAAAATCCTGAAAATGTTTCGAGTATAATCATTAATGAAGCATTTTAAAAAATTAACGTACTCATAAATTTATATCATTGATATTTTCAAAACATGAAATTCTAAATAAATTACATGCAGCATAATTTAAACTAATAATTATGTATATAAGATTACTTTTATCTCTAATCAAATTTTTTATTCTATCAGAAAAAAAAATATTTCCAAATAAAAGACATGCCAGGTATAAATTCTAGTTCTAATATTTTTAAATAAAATATACAAGAATTTTAATACATAAATGTGATCGATGATTTTGTGAAACTTCTTGACCTTGGATTTCTGGAAATATATATATATCTCTGATATATATATATTATAACAGCATGGTTGAGTGTTCTGGCACACAGGGATTGAGGTAAGACGGCGCTCATAAACACTCTTTATGTCCTATTCTTAGAGATTGGGAGAGCTTCAAATCACACTTTAAAATTGATGTGCTTGAGTACTTAATTTTAAGGAAAGAAATAAAAGATTGTCCCTAACATAGGTTATGTCTTACGGAAAAAGGGAAACATTGGTAATTACAATTGGTCCATTAAATAGGTCAAGGGAATACTTCAATTATTGTGCTTGATTAAGGGAAAAACTTAAAAATGATAATTGTAGCCTTCTTTAATCTTAATTTACAACTAAATAATTGTGAGAACTAGTTTTATTTTGAATAATAAATTAAGGAAATTTAGATAAAGAAATAATAAAAGATTTGTTAAAGTCTATATATATATATATANTATAAATATATATAAACATTTCTCAGTTTTTAAAAGAAATAAATTTTTTTTTTATCAATTGCAATATCTCTTAAAAATAGTTTTACCTGAATAAATCAAAAAGTAGCATCTGATCCTCAGTATATAAAAGTCCCAAATGACAAAAGGACAAAGTTTTAACAAGAGTCATTTGAGAAACACAATATTTTTGAGATTCAAAAGACCGTCTTTTAAGAGCCTGAAAGAATAGATGCAAAGTTTATAATATGTGGTGAACAAGGACAAGGCATAAAGAACATAGAAGACAAAAAAGGTTACAAGTCTTCTGATTTTGAATAAAGATATAAGGTGAGATCATTTAAAGAACAAATAAGCAAAATTCTTGTTTCAAATTCAAGAACATGAATTTGGTAAATTTTGTTCACAATAAATTTTTATGATGACATGGAACAAGTTCTGATCACACAATCCAATTCTTTTCTCACTTATTGTGTTTAAAAATAAACATTAGGAACTATCTAAAACTGTATTGTTGAATATAAACAGATGCTTCAAATTAAGATAGGATTTACTTGGTGCTAGATATGAATAATGCTAAAAAATATGTATAGAGCTCAATTAATGAACTAGAAAGATTCTTCATCATAGAATTGAAACAACATAATCTATTGTTATCTATAACTATTTATCTATACTATGTCTAATTTTGTGGCATTATTTGCTCTTTACCCACGAGTAATGCACAAATAGCAAATAATGACTGAGGATGCTTCTTATGTTAGAGGCATTATTTGAGCTTTACTTACATTACTTAAGAGCATTACAGAAAATATTATAAGAGGAATAAAACTTTTAATAACAAGACGAATTTCTAGCTACTTTGATAAATTATTTATCTTGCTACTAAATTTTTATCATTAACTCCTTATTTTGCGATAAATATTCCATCGAAAATTAAATACAATCTTTAGTTATCAAAGTTTGTAAAAAGAATCATATAACATTGGAAATTTAAGTTTCAATGGTGCACAAAAAGTTCAGAAGTGCAGCTGAAATGATAAATGATTGCAGCATAAATGATTGACAGTAATTTTAATAGTTTAACAATTCAATACTTTAAATTTCTATTGATTAAATTGAAGATTTTAATTTTTAGGAAAAAAAAAATTCATTTCAGTATTATACTATTTTAATTTGCCAATTTACTACATTAAAAAAGCCGGCTAGGCGGCTCAGTGGGCTGTTTCTCTCTGTTGTGAATATGGCCCACCCTATGAACAGGTATAAGTGACAATGTGGTGTGGGTAGTGTTGCTCGCCTCTGTGACTTAGGTTCATGAGGAGTAAACTGAGTAACATCAAACGAGCAATATTTCTGGCATCTTCAGAGGTGAAGAGCGATAGTTCAGTGCCTGCCGCTATAAAAAAATTAAAGCATACATCGAAATTGGGATTTTAAAAAAAAGCTAGTGAAGGTTTTTAATTTTTTTTTCTTCATCTTTGAATTACTTGCTTTACTTTTTTTTTGCCAGAAATTTAAATCTTGCTTTAATTTCTCAAAAGCAGGATTGAAGATTTTGAAGAAAAAAATTTTACCATTAATATAATTGATTTTTTCTTTTATTTATTTAAATTGGATATTTTTTTAAAGATACTGTAAGAACTTTTGCTAATGATTAGTTAAATTTTATAAATATAATTAAAATATTACAAAAAAAAAATAAATAATAACAATGCATTTTGAACTATATCACTGCTTTAAAAATTGATTCATACATATATTTAATGCATACAAATGTATATACAAATGCATATAGAATGCATCATTATCAACTACAAAAACACACACCAAAATAAACAAATCACATTATTTATTTCACAGATTTCTTTTTTTTAAATTTTTGAAATGTCTAAGTGTGGTGTTTTATACCTTAAAATTTTGAGGAGCATATGGTGCATGTATACATGTATGTATGTGTATATATATATACATCAGGGTGTCGCCGAGAGATGGAAAATAAGCAGGTTTCAAGCACCAGGGTATACCTAAATATTATTTATTGATACATAATCTTAAAGAGCTAGCATTTAAGTGACACAAAGTCATTGTGCTCCGCAATAAAAGTTAGGGAAAATCTTGCAAAGTAAATTATGCTTTAGGGAATAAGGGAATCTTAGTAATTGTAATTGGTCTATTAAATAGGGCTAGGGAAATAGTTTTTCCCACGTCTTTCCAAAAGTGTCCAACTGTAAAACAATGCATATTTGAATAAAAAATAGATTAAAAGACTGGATGTGAATTTTGAAGTGTGAGAAAGAGCGTTTTGTTTTGAATAATAAATTAAGAAAAGGATTTACAGAAAATGAATATCATAAAAAGATTAATTGAAGTTTTTTATGTTACATATATATATGTAACATCTAAAATAATAGCTAAGTAAAATTAAAGTGATCTTAAAACTAAACCTAATAAGAATTATATTTTAATTCTAGAATAGCCTTTTTAACAGATGGGAATTTTAAATAATCTCTTTCACATAATAAACTAAGCACTTTGCGTACATATTATCTTTAATTAAATAGATATGTTATCTTTATTTATAAAATAAATCTTTACTGTGCAGTAAAATGGCTTAATGAAACAGAAAATCACCCAAGTTAATAAATATTTTGAGATCTTAATACAGCTTCATCTGGTCTTATGATTAGGGCTGTAGATCTGTCGCGGCGTGGATTGCCGCGAAATTGTCATCTTTTTTCCTAAAATCTGTGAATTTCTCAATAAGTCTTGACTTGCGCGAAAATTGCTTAAAATGTGATTTTTTTTTTCATTTTTCATTTATTATTTTTATTAAACAGAATTTTTTTTATTTTCCTGAACCTTAAATTGAACATGTAAAATTGATTAGATATTTAGGGGAGTGAATTAATAGCAAAATGACATGAAAATAGTTCAGAGATAAGACATAATCACAATCCTGTCAAGTAAGGTGGTCTTTCTACACTTAGGGAGGGTCATTACCTTCCTGAAGTCAGTAAGAGTACAAAAGAAATTGGAATCACAAAAGAAGGAAAATGTTATAAATCAAATCTTTGACAGAAAAATTGTTATACATGCTATTGCACTGGGCAATGAAATTTCTACTGCCTTTCTACATATCGAGTTAATTTTTCCTAGGCGGCTTCTATGAAGGGGGGGGGGACTAGTANTTACAAAGCAACGGCCAAGGAATTGCTCGTTGGTGAAGGAAAATTGATCGAGTTTTGGAAATCAAAGGCCGAACGCTCCAAAATTGGCAATTGGATGTTTGTCGGTGCCTAAAAACAGCGTTGACGCAGAAAGATCGTTTTCTAAGTATAAAAATGCATTAAGTGATGAAAGACGAAGCATTAATGAGAATAATCTGACAATGTACAATACTTTGTACCAAAATTCTGTTCATTTAAATAAAAATATTAATATTGCTTGAAATTCAAAGAAATACTTTTGTTGTGTATTTTTAGGCTTTTTTTTTATTATTTGCGCAATTTCTACCTTTTGCATCATTTATATAAAATTTTTTTTAATCTTTAGAATTTGTGTAATTTTCATAAATTCCCGCAAATTTGGGGTCTTTTTCCCGCGACAAACTTGCAGCCCTACTTATGATTACAGCTTCCGGTGTTGATTCTAACAAAGAAGTCTGGGTATTATAGATCACATGATATGAAAGAAATAAAAACTATTAGGCTGCACGTTAAAAAAGTGCTCACTTGTCTTTTGAAAATGAAGAAATGAACTTGTCTCCAGGAGTTTCTGCTCCATGTAAATCTTGTGTATTGATTTTCTTTATTCTTTCCCTCAATAAATGCTTAGTAAAAATTATTATGAAATCATTATTACAAAAAAGGAATGTTAAATACTACTGTAAATAAAAATTTGAGGGACAATAGTTAGAAAACGAAATATTTTCGTTTTAATTCTATAAAAAAGGACAACTCAGCACGAAAGCACTACTGTGAAACTACCTCAATTGCAATGATTTCATATATATATACATATATAACAATTGATATCTAAAATATAAATAAAATATCAGTTACAAAGTAAATTGTTATAAAATTATTAGTTTAAACATTTATTGTAATAAATATAATATAAACTAAATTAATTTTTTATTAACCTATTCAGTAATTTCTTTTCTATATTTACTTTCTACTTGGTGTCGCAACCCATGAAGCATCTTATATATTCCATCACCACACATTTCAAGCTTTTTAATCTTCAGCTTTAATTTTATAATTTTTAACTCTCATTCGATCATTTGCATTTTATGATGTTTCAATTCTATGTGATGTCGTTTGCAAATGTAAATAAAAATGGCAGCAATTGAGATGAAGAGGATGATTGGGTGAAGTTTTTCATTGCTGAAATGGAACTGTTTTTCTGTTTAAAAATAACATTTCTTTTGAAATTCAAGCAATAATAAAACTTTCATATGATGAGATGACTATCTGAGTGCAGTTGATGAACCATAACAGCAACCTGCACATCATTATAGTGGCATCATATAACCTGCACATTAGTAAATTATTTCCTAGTTAAATGCTTTTTTAAGAATATATTTTTGTTTTAAACTAATAAAATTTAAATTTATTATAATTTGTTCCAATCAAAGTTTTGATTACTTTAGATATGAGTAATTTCTATTTTTATATAGATAATGATTTCCCCTGGAGAAAAAGCTTTGTTTTAAAATATTTGCCAAGCAACTCGCGGAACTTGGATGCATTATTCTAACATATAAAATATTATAGAGATTGTATTTATAAGCATGTTATGCTTGATTATTTCAATAAAATTAATTAAATTTTTTTATTTTTGAAATAATTATTTTAATTCTACCCTAAGAATTCTTTTAATTTTTGAAAAACTTATTTTAAAACAGTGTCAAGTTCACCTAGTCTCCCACAAAGTTACCCAATTTCACAGCAATTACTTAAAAGTCTTAAAAAAGGTAGTAAATAATATAAGGTGAACTTTTTTTTTCTCGTGCGATATTATAAAGCAGTTTTCAACTGTTAAGTATGCTAAACATGAAGAAATGAACTTGCCTCCAGGAGTTTCTGCTCCATGTAAATCTTGTATATTGATTTTCTTTATTCTTTCCCTCAATAAATGCTTAGTAAAAACTATTATGAAATCATTATTACAAAAAAGGAATGTTAAATACTACTGTAAATAAAAATTTGAGGGACAATAGTTAGAAAATGAAATATTTTCGTTTTCATTCTATAAAAAAGGACAACTCAGCACGAAAGCACTACTGTGAAACTACCTCAATTGCAATGATTTCATATATATATACATATATAACAATTGATATCTAAAATATCAGTTACAAAGTAAATTGTTATAAAACATTAAGAAAAAAAAACATAACAATAACTTAGAATCTTGACACAAAACAATAAAGAATAATAATAATAAAAAAAATAGTACATTTAATCGAATAACAAAGTTATGATGAATTTTATTTTTAAAAACTAAAACACAAATTTCATGACTAGATAAAAAAAAAAAAAAAAAAAATTACTTTAAATTTTCTTGCATGATATGAATACAGAACGCGTAGTCCTTTCTTTTTTTTCACTTCTGTATCCGAAGAAGATTTAGCACTTTCATCACTCGAGACTTCAGAAGTGGAAACTTCAGAAGTGGAAACTTCAGAATTGGAAACTTCAGAGTCGTGTGGCTATAGAGTGAAAAATAAATTTGTTTAAAAAAAAAAAAATCAAATGAAAAAGAATTATTGAACGATGCATTTTCAACAATAATAGTTTTTAATTAAAATATTTGGAAACTAATTAACAGAATAAATTTTTGGTTGAAAACTATCAGTTTAAATAATTTAAAAGTTAAGGCCAAACATTTCAAGAAGACAACATAAAACTTTAATATTGTTATAAAATTGTGATATTGTCATATACATTGTTATAATATTCTTATATACGTTTAAAACTAAAAAAATTTAATTATTTTGGGAGAACAGTAAAACTAAAGTTAAATTTAAAGCAAAACAAAGGTAATTTTTATTATTTTCAACATTTCAAAAAACTATTTTCAAATGCTTGAATTAATAATAAATGCTTAGGGCAAAAGGAAAAATTAATTTTGGCCAAGATTTATTTATTTATTTTTAAGTATGGTTATTATTTTTTCAGGGCGACTGATCTGTGTAGGAGTCAGGGAACTGGCCTTGCATAAGAAGGGTTCTGCTACATACCAATCTAATCCCAAATGTTCTTCTACATAATAAAAAACTTACAAGATAGTAGAAGTAATTATTTTCCAATTAAAAAAATTAGTACAGTAGGGAACCGAATATCCGGAACGGTCGGGACCATCGCTATTCCGGACAACTGATTTTTCCGGTTTTCTGAATCGCTACAAAAAGGCGATTATTGTTTTTGTAGCTACCCCCCCAAAAAATATTTGGAAATAATCTTAAAAATAAGAAAAAACGATGAAGTAATACACTAATGATTATTTCCAAAATGATGGTAAGGTAAACATCTATAAAAAAAGAAAGAAAAATCGGAAAATCTTAGGAGGAAAATTTATATTTATTTATTAAAAAAAAAATTTAGAGAAAATTTATCGAATATCGTTCCGGTTTTTTGGTTTTCTGATTTCCGGATAACAGGTTCTGTACTGTATTGAACAAAGTGAAAATATTTTAATACTAATTACAGCATTTGGAGTCTTTTTTGTAACCCTCTGTTTGCGTTTCCTATGCCATTTTGTCTTCTGAATATAGGGCCTTTTGATTTGTTTAAAATTTTCCAGGAAACCTTCACCATAAAGTAATGCTGCATCCCTGTTAAAAAAATATATAAACTGATAATACACGGCTTTAAAAAAATAATAAAAAAATTATTATCTAAGGAGTGTAACTTGCCGTTTTCCAGAGAATACATTAAGACGAGGGATGAATTTCTCCTTCAAATCAGATTTTATGAAAGCTGATTCACACTTCTGAAGATAACGAGCCCATAAGTAAAGAACAACAGTCTAAAAAAAAAAAAAAAAACACAAAAACATTTAAATAGTTTGATAATGCAAAATTTGTGGATTAAATGATTTCTCGAGGATCAGTTCTTTCAGGTTTATCGCATTGAGATTTAGGCATCAAATGGCACACATTCTTGTCAAAAACAAATATCTGATCTACAGTTCAAGATCCATATGAACCATTCAAGTCATCGAGGAAAGATCTCCAAAGACTCTTCAGAATACGCACCTTCTGCGCGATTTCAGAAGGTAAGAATATTAAGGGTGGTTTCTTGATATGAACATGCACCAGATAGCACATCAAGCCATCAAAAATTCATCTAAACAAAAACAGAATAAAATACCTTATTTGAACAAAAAAACTTTCTTCATTAGTTGTGATTTATTATGCTCATTTAAACTTATAAGAACTTTGCTGGCAAAGCCTTAAGTAAAGTAATTTCAATAACCACGCATAAATAATTCAAGAAAAAACTTACTTCTTACAAAAATTTTGGATTTTAAAATCATGTGAAGTTTTAAATTCTGTTAATACAATTCACGACACATAACTTTTAGATTGCGTGAATATAAACTGCAACGCACAGTTACAAGATTGATTATGTAAATATGAAAATCAATTTTTGGTAATACAAGCGTGTGAATATAAATTGCAATATCGTATCTTAAAAACAAGTGAATACCTACTACGCAATTGGATTTTAATGAATAGGAATTGCGATTTACGATTTTTAAATCGAGTGAATACGTAAATCTATGTTTGGTTTTAAAATCGCGTGATTAAGAATTGTGATATTAACAGATTCCAACGCAGTTCCAAATATTCAAAGTGCAAAAAACAATTTCCCTAAAATAATTAAGTTGAATTAAAATGCATGTCTGCTATATATAATAAAAACACTTCAAATTACCACCATAGTTATTAATCTTAACACTCTCCTTTCTTTTTCAAATAAAGCAAAAACTCTAAGTTTTCTTGATTTTTGATGAAATTATGTAGAGTTCAGTAAAATATATTTCAGACGAAGTGAAACCTAATTTTGATAGCCAGGAACATAAACTTTTTAATTTAATAATACCGGGAAAAAATTTTCAGTGTTAATTTTTTTAAATACTGTCACGATACATTTACACAAGAGCATTTTTTATTTCTAAAACAATATTTACAAAAGTTTTTTTAGAGCTATACCTACTTTACCCCATTCTGGCATTAAATGGATAAATGAAAACATGTTTTTTTTTTTAATGCATTACCGTAAGGAAACAATCAAACAAAATAGATAAGTTAAATTTCATATTTAATCTTGATGAGTCCAATGTAAGTAAAATGCATATAAAATTTTCAGTAAAATTAATTTAATGGTGTGGTTATAGAAGTTTCTTTAAAAAAAAAAAAACCTGGTTACCCCACCCGATCCTAACTTTAAAAATTCCATTCCATAAAAAATTTGTGATTCGTGGAAGTATGCGAACTATTGTTCTTGAGATATGCGGAATTATGCGATATTCATGGAACAACCTCGTGATCTGCGTCCAGTTTCTAGGCCTGAAAAAAATTATACGAAAACCCGGAAATCCGGGGTACAACTGGAATACAATCACTCCTGGTTCAGATAAAATGCTTTTTTTTCTTTCCATCTACTGTTAGCACGGTACCATTCTGAAACTTATGCAAGCTTATAAAAGTAATCAAGGAAAAAAATAATTCTTCGGCTTAGGTAAATAATGGAACAAATATTCAAATAAAGTCAGTAGTTTAATGGGGAATTTCATAACTACATTAAATTATCAAAAATCAAGTTAAAGATATTCAAGCACTAAAAAACTGACTTCAATAAACTCAAAGCANTAAAAATTCTTACTAACTACAATACTAACTAAAAAGTATCTAATCTCCTTGTCAGAAACAAAATTTCGAAAGGCAAAAAAATCATTCCTTTCTTTAGTTTCTCCCCTTCCCGCTTACAATCGTAGATTTTAGGATAATTTTTGTGCTCTTGATGTTTTTCTTCAAAACAAACTTTCGTTACAACATAACATTTGACAAGAAAACACTTTTAAAAAAGATGGGAAACAAAGGGCTCTCTCAGTTTAGCTTAGAAGATATAGAAATTAATAACTTTAAGTTAGATTTTTTTACTGTTTTACACTTTTAAAACTTACTATCAGTTAAGCTGAAACTGACAAAAAACAATTAGCATTCTATTTCAAAATTTATTTAACATAAATTAAGCAAAAAAAAAAGAAGAAAAAAAGAAAAGGAAAAAAAAGAGAAAGCGAAATTTTCCCATAAGTTAAAACCAGGCAATTTAGACAAAGTAAGATGATTAAAGCAAATTAACATTATCTGCATCTGATGAAATACCGTGTGTCAAATTTTCAAGTAGAAAAAAATTATAAAGAATTTTAAACGCTAGACTGTTTATAATTAACTGCCTAAAAAAATCAAGGAAAAAAAATTATGTTCTCTTTAATTTAAAGTATTAATCAAAATTTTCATGAAAATACTAATTGCACCTTAAAAAAGTATTCAAACATTTAATAAATAAAAGAAAAACAATACATTAAATTCACATTAAAATATTTTTGAGAAACACAGCGAATTTCTTCAAGTCTTTTAAGCTTTGGCGAATTTAAGAGATATTTATTTAATACTTTATTGATTTACCTTTATTTTTACAGAGCAACCTAACTTTATAAGTGCCGACACTTGCTTGAATAAAATCAGACTAAACGCCTCAGAATACAACCAAGGAGCTAATGGCGTTTTTTTCTCCTTTTTCTTCGCCTTCTTAGAAACAGGTGATGACAATAATGCTCTTTTACTCTGAATTCCTTCTCCAGCATCTTCATCTATGCTTCCCTATTTCAATGCATAGAAAAATAATGAGATCTTACATAGTTATCAGAGATGCATTTACTTAAAATTAACTTGAAAATCTATAACCTCCATATAAAATGTTTCTTATTATCCTGCAATTTTGTGGCTGTTGGTTATTCCAACTATTTGGAATAACCAACTAATCTTAATTGCATACAAAAAGCTTGTGAACAGTCAAAACAGTTAAGTAATAACCAATTTTTGGGTAAAACTTTCATAAAAATTGATCAAAATTTGTAGTTTACTATGTTAATACATAACAATAAAACCCTGAATTTTTTTTAAATGCTAGAACGCTCTGCTCATCAACTCCCAATTGATTCACAATCAGGTTGTTTCACATTTAATCACCTTTTTATCCTTAAAAATCAATATTTTCCACAAAAACAAAGAATATTTTAGAAATATAATATATAGTTAAATAAATAATCCCAAGATACTGAAGCGGTAGGCAGTCTCTTATGACTTCAGTACCATTTATGCCAAGGTCATAAAAATTTGACAAAAAAGTTAAGAAACAATTAAGTCACTTATCCTAAAAATTTCAATTACTATGTTCAAAAGAGATATTTAAAATATTAATTTTATCACTAGTTCAGTTATGGTAAAAATAATATGAATTTGGTAAAATTTGGGATTTCATACACAGGGTGCATTGCCAAATTTTTCAAATCTCTTGCAAAATGCAGCAGGGTTGCACACGGGAGACAAAAATTCTTACCACTGAATCCAGCTCAGTATACGCAAGTATTTCATCAAACATGTAAAACAAATGGTGTTTTCACACACTACAGACCATCGGTACGCCGAAATAGATTGGGGTCGAATTAATTGTGAAAACGTTGAATAGGAACAATGTCTTTTTTTGCATATTTTGTGGCGAAAATCAACAAGAAAAATGAAAGAAAATTATCAAATTTCGGAAAAGGAAAAAATTAAGCACTTTTTAAAAACACCCATGGAAAAAAGGGCTTTTAAAAAACGAAAATAAGCATCTTTAAGCACTTTTTAAAAACGCTACGTCGCACCCTGATACAGGAAAATAGGCACCCCCCCTTCTTTGAAAAGAAAAAAAATTATATAAATTTGCACTGACCCTGGTTAGTTCTATTTAAGTAGGATTAATAACCTTAAAGTGGTCAAATTAAAAGCCTCTTTTTATAAATAAAATGTATAATAATACACAATGCTTAAGCAATAAACTAATAATAAAGATACTAAAACAATCAAATTTATCTTTGACATTTGAATATAGTATTGATATTTTTAAGTTAACTGAACAGATTTAAAACATGCATAATATTTTGTTTTAAAACACACAAATTTGAAATAATGAAAATTTGATTAAGTATAACAAAGCTTAATAGCAAATATTAAAAAAAAAATAGATAATTAAAATTTTTTTTTTTGTATGATTCACATTTTAAAAAGTGCAATGAGCAGTATTAATTCAGATTACATACTTTGATTTGCTCACTACATTCTTGACAATATGCAATTCCATCTTGAACATAAGATTCAGAACTTCCACAAATATTGCAGATCATCCTAAAAAATAAAATAAACATAAAAATATGAATAAAATTAACAGATTTATAAGTAACTTGAACTTTTTACACACAGGGGTGATTGTGAGCCCAACTTAAAAATCCAAAAAATTTCTTGAGTAAAATCATTAATGACGCATTTCAAAAAATTAATGTCTTTATAAATCTAAATCGTTGACGGTTTCAAAACATGAAATTCTAAATAAATTATATGCAGCATAATTTCAATTAATAATTATGTATAAGTTTACTTTTACCTCTAATCACATTTATTATTCCACCAGGAAAAATATTTACAAATGATAAATTCTACAATGATAAATTGTAGATGATGTGATCGATGGTTTGTCGAAACTCCTGGATCTTGGATTTCTGGAAACTTTCAGATGGCGGTTATCAAAAAATCTGGATTTTTTTACGGAGCACAATCATCTCTGTACACAGAAGAAAAAAAAATAAATAACTGAAATTAAAGTTCCTGAGATTTCAGGAGTAAAATAAGAGAAATATAAAAGGTTATTGTGATTTTACTTAGCACATGCTAAATCTCAAGAAAACAATTTATAAACATTGCTATTAAGAGATTTTTTTAAATTTTAACATATTATTATTTTTGAACAAACTCTAATACTCACCTCATTTAATTTTCTGCATACATATTATTAAGTTTCCTTACAAATTTTTTTAGCTCATAGAACACTATTGTTTAAATAAACATTTCCATGCTACAGTCAACATGTGTAAAATAAGTATAAATGTTAAGTTAAGCCTTTAAAATGATAACTATGTTACGATGTGATACATTTCCACAAGATATGATACACTTCCATATATTTAACTGTTTATACCTATATTAAGTGCTGCTTTCTTTTTTTTTTTAGTAGTACTGAAAACCAGCCAAACTTGGCAATTATTTTGTTGTAGGTATCAAAACTGAAACTTTCCCTTTAAAATAGGTAAGAATAGATTTTCACAATTAATATTTTTTAAAACTTGTTCTAAAATTTAAAATTATTAATTAGAAGTTTTTATTAATTAGAACTTAATTATCAAAAGAGAAATGATTACAAGAAATTAAAGCTCTTACGCAACTGCTTGATTAATTCTAAAATACGTCTGTTCCCTGATTCAACTATAATATTTGGAATGATTTTTGTCAAGCAACAGCTTTCATAACTGAGTTCAAAAGAACTATTTCTGACCAATCACAAAGTAGATACAATTCATTTAATTACAGTGGTGGACAAAATATTTATAAGGATAGAAAGATAAAAACTTGGTAAAATGTTTAATTCCCTTTTTGACTATTTTAAAAAAATAACATGCAAGTTGTATAATTTACTACTAATTTCTAACTAAGATTCAAATTCAATTAAATTAAATTATTCATCAACATTTATAAAATAATTTTGGGACGAAATTTCAAAACTATTATACTAACTACGCCAGAAGTCGCTACAAATTAGTGGTATACTTCTAAAAACAAATTGACTATCAATATTTGATTAATTAAAATTTCAATTATGCTATCTAATTAAAGTTCTAAAACAACTGCTGTTAAATCAGACTTACAATTTCAAAACAGGTTAAATCTTTTTTGGTGCATAAATGTTTGTTACGTATTTACTAAAAATATTAATTATGAACTGATCCTAAGAATTCTTGCTTAATTTCCCTTTTTCACCGATCAGTGAAATTTATTTTTATTCACTTACTTTTTTTAAAGGTAACTTTTTCCATATAATAACACTGTTGTGAGGCTTATAAAAATGCAACCAATAAAAAAGAAGACCAAGAAAGCCAATTATATCATAGGATCACGGAAGCAGCCTTAATGATTGATTAACATTTAGTATAATACCACATTTGAACAAATATTTTCATATTGAAAGAAGGTAACTCCATTAACTTGGTCAATGGATCTGAGATATTTAAGCACACTCAAAGGACTCTGTTAGATATAGTAAACAATCCCGAATCCAAAAGTTTGCCAGAGCTTAATAATACCAGATTTGCCATGTGCGAAAATTAGATGGGGGGAAAAGTGCCTGACAAATCAGTTCCAAAGTTTATTAGCGGGGGCTCCTTTTACTTTCGACCATTTGAAAATAAATCAAGAACCAACTTCAAAACAATAAACATAAACAAACGTTGTGATAACTCGAAGGCAATTTTAATGATAGCGAAAAATATTTATCAGAAATGCTTTCACCAACCATCTATTATAACTTAAATGCGATATGTAATCACTGATTTTACAATCAGTAATTAGAAAAAAAGTCATCAAAAACAGAAATAGAGATATTTACTTTTCATACTACTATTACTAGATGGAGATATTCAAATTATCGTGCCATAAGAAATAAAAAGTAAACAAGCAATTACTTAATGGTTGCAGTTAATTTAAATGTAGGAACAGGATGAAATTTTTGCTTTGTGCGGGTTTTGTCTTAACTGTAAATATTTTCGAATGTTGCTTGATTCCTTTACTAACACAAAACTAGACAGTCAAAAGCTTTTCATACAATAAATCTAAGTATCTAAATTCTGTGATAGTGGAATTTCAGCTATTTTAAAGTTATACTTTGAAATTATTCTGCCGGGTAAGTAAGGTTGATTCACTGTTATTTCAACTCTCTGCAAAAAAATTTGCACAACCATTTTGATATAAATTTGACTCTTAGTCTGATAAAAGGGCATGATCAGTTTTTAATTGCACTTCCAGCAATTGACACTCGTTCTGTTATGATGAGATCGCTGCCAGAATGGTTAACTGATACATGCTTTTAGTTTGGTACTTAAAAGCATTAAGTTAAATGAACTAATTACTACTTTTATTGTCGAATAATGAGAAATTTATCGAACTTATTGCTATACTTTCTGATACCGCATATTTGTTGTATTTAATCAAAAGATGCCAAGTTTTTTTTGTTTTTGTATTATCATTTCTAAAGTATATTTTGTTCGCAACGAATACTTTAAGGCAGGATTTCCTAGCTTAAACAAATAAGAATGTGATTATTATAAGGTAATCAGAAATGCTAAAGATTTTTAGCATCAAAAATATAAACTTTAATTAATGCATAATCATTGCAAAAAGAAAATTTATAGACAAGGTTGGTGTAAAATAGCTTCAGATAATTTTTATAAATTTCTATTGTCACAAGCATGAGAACCCTTTAGCAAAAGATTTTCTTCTATTTCAGCAAGTATGAAAATGACTTCAAAATTTATATTCTTTGTATCATAAATATAAAGAAATGTATGTTTAAAAAAAACTATAATTATCCTTTTTGGAACATTTGCCTTATCAGTGTTTGTGACAAAAGTTTTACCAGCAATCAAGTTGTGGTAGGACTCAAACAATGAAAAATCTATGTGTATATCGCAGAATTGGGCAAACTTGAAGTATAAAATTCAAAGTCATATCTAGAAAAGCCATTTGTGCTGGTAAAATTTGTCTCATGTGCAAAAACTACTCAGTTTGACTTGAAGAGTTTAGTTTGCATGGCACAAATCCTGGTTAAAAAAAACCATCTTCTTGTGCAGAAGTTCTTCAAAATCTCTTGTGTTTCACTTTAAAAAAAAATTTCAATTTTAACTGTGCTTGCTATTTTGTTAATAAAATATAAACATCTTACAGGTTATTTTATTACACAAACCCTAGCCTTCAAGAAATATTTTATTTGTGAATGAAAAGAAAAAGAATTTTTATGGTCTTAAGTTAAGAAAAAATCATATAAATACGCACACTGCTGATTGATAATTTTATGCATTAGCAAAAAATCTAAATTGGTATTTTTGGTAAGTCGGGTACAAGTAAAGTCAAGTATTTTTTTAAATTTTATTTATATATAGTTAAAAGAGACATGAAATAAAAATAGTTGAATTTACTTGCATATGGCTAACCGGAAAGTACCTCTAATTTTTGTAAGCTAGCAAATTGTAAGCCTTATTTAAGTCAATAATGTATATAATTTTGAATTAATTATTTTGACTTATTTTTTTTGTTTTAAATTTTTTTATGTTGACTAGGATGCTGTTAAAAAAGATTTTTATTATCCTGAACTTTCAGAGTCTTTTTTTTTTTAATATCTTCCTTGGGATTCCTGTCCTCATGACTTCACAACTAAATGTATAACAATTTAAATAACTTAATATTTACTAAGTCTGTAATAATATTAGTTGGTTTTTCATTGTATAGTACATTTTGTAACACTGCACAGAATATTAAATAGATTTTTTTAAAATGCTTTTACAGAATTTGCTTATTTTACTTTCCAGTATTTAATAGGTTTTTTTTTTAAATGAGTTTCTTCAGCTATATTGCTGAATGCTCATTTAGCTCATTCTAGCATATATGTATCACAATAAATGTAGAATTTCGAGTAGAAAGTTTTATTTTTGAAATCTTCAGATTAGCTTTTGTTAAATGTATTGACTTAGTAGCCTAAAACAAGTAATAAATAAATATATTGTTAATTTTTAGAATTATGTCTATGGAGGTTGATGAAGTTGCAAAAAATGTTTTGGCAGCATCTGGCACAACTGGAAGTGTCTCGGTTTCTTTGCACCCCCTGGTTATTATGAATGTTTCAGAACATTGGACTCGTGTTAAAGCTCAAGAAGGGGCTGCACAACAAGGTTTGGACCATTTCAAATATTTAGATTAGATTGAGTATATTTAATTTTTATAATTAATTTATTATTAAATAATTATTTTAATTAATTTTTATAGTTATTGGAGCACTGATTGGGAAGCAAAAAGGAAGAAACCTTGAAATAGAGAATTCCTTTGAGTTGGTCTTTGATAAAATTGAAGGAGATGTTATAATTGATAAGGATTACTATACAACAAAAGAACAACAATGTAATTCATTTTCTTTACTGAAACATAACTTAAGTGATTTGTAATCAAAGATATCCTTATTGGTATCTTAACCAAAACAGACTCTTATGTTTTAGTGACAAGTGAAAGTGACAGTCACGTTTTCATCTGTCTTAAACTTGGTGGCTATATATCTAAATTAATTAGCATTTTAAATTTAGTACAAATTTCTTTTACAGAAGTTTTAATCTGTAAATGTTTGTTTTTTACCCTCTTTTTTTAAAATTATTGTTCTTTAAATCTATATTTTTAATGATTTTTAGTTTTTATGACAATTAGTTTACTTTAGATTTTTTTTTTTTTAAAGGCGAAGTTATTAGGTTAATTTATAAAGCCCAACTGCTATACTAATTTTACTTCTGTTTAATACATAAAATATTTTGTTCTTTTATTTATTTGTAAAATGGCTTTCCTATTGTATATTTTTTTTGACAAAGAAGCCCAAATCTTGTTTTGAACAATTAATTTACGTTATTTTAATAAAAAGATTTTGAAGAAATATATAATTATCACTTAATTCACCCTTAAAGTTTTTTTTTCTTTCAAAAGTTGTTTTCATCAAGCACAAACATGTTATTTAAAAGTTACCTTTGAACTATACCATTTTGAGAGGAAAGTAATTTTGGTAAGCAAGTAAATTTTTTAAAAATTTATCTATTGTAATTGTGAGCTAAAATACTGAAATAGCAATATCTTATTTGAATAATTTTTTAAGTAAAAGTTAATATTCTTGTTTCTTTTCTAGTCAAACAAGTATTCAGTGACCTAGATTTTCTTGGTTGGTATACAACAGGAGATTCAGTAAATGAATCTGACATAAAGGTTCACAAACAGGTATTTGACTTAAACAATTTTTTGTTTAACTTTATAGTTTAAAATTATTAAAAGTTAAAATTATTAGTATTTAAAGTTTAATGGGTTATTTCAATATAAATAAAAAGGAAGATCTTTATAATGCAATTCTTCGTAAACCACATTAACTTTATAGTCTCTGAAACAAACAGATCGAAATTGATAAATTTGTTTATGATGCTCTTAATAGTTTCAATTTTTTTGTATATAGTAAATATGTAAGTTTAATAGTAAATATGTAAGTTTAATGTGCATTTTTCTGTTTTAAAGTATTTGTATTTAACAATTTTGAAATACTATATTGATTCCAAAATACTATATTGATTATGGTTCAATTTAATATTTTAAAATGGCATATTATTTATATTATCATGTCTAGTAGGCAAGTTTAATGATCTGTATCGTAAAAAATTTTACATATTACAAAGCCTCATGAATCAAGGTTTTTCAATATAAAGATTTTCTGATGTATATTGATTGTTAAATTTTAAAAATATGAAAGGATATACAATAAATTTTCAGAAAAAAATGGTTAGCTTTCCTGGGCCGTGTGTCAACAATCATCAGGCCTCAGATTGTGCACACGTGATATATAATAAGTTAATCAATATTTTTACTTCTTTGAAATTGTATTCATTTTATTTAGGAAATATCATATTTTGGTTTAGTTTAGAGTTGAAATATATGGTCTAGGAAATTATCTTGATGTATATTATTGATGGCAACCTTAAAGCCAATGAAGTAGGATTGTGTATATATTATTGCAGAGAAAGTTGCATTATTAATTTTTCTGTTTCTTACTAAATTCTTGTTAAAGTAAATCTTGTTAAGCCCTGCTTTGTTAAAATTGGTCTGTTAATTTTTTAGCAATATTTATGGTATTTTTTGATGATATGACAGCCTCATGCAATAATGTCTGTTTTCCCTACAGCCCTGATGCTCATTATATCAAGCTTCAACTGCATTTTTATAAATTAATTAAATAGTTTATCATCTTCCATATTTTGAAATAGTGCCTTTTTTCTGTGTTTTGTAATCTTGTGATTTCTTTACCAATATATTTGAATTATTTTTTGTTTCCTTAGTTTTTTATGGTTACAGAAAATTTGTATAATTTATTATATTTAAGTTTTCTTATAAGTTTTATTTTGATGTTTTAAGATTCATAGACTTGAATAAGTGTTACAAGAAAAATGCATTATGTTAGGTAACTTTTGCTCTAAAAATAGCAAAATATAGAAGTATTAAATTAAATAGTAATAGTATTAAATTTAAATAGTGCTATAAACATTATTTATGTATGTGTTACCGGTAATTTATAAAATACTCGCATTCTATGGAGCACTTAGGCAACTTATGAAAAATCTGCAATTTATTATACAGTTTACTTTGACATTCTATAGAATACTCTTAAAGGAAAATTATGAAAAAAAAGATAATGATGTGGTTATTTTTTAAAGACTTTTATTCCCCAAGAATACCAATGATATTTTGAGCAAAAAATTTGAAACTGCAATTTAAAAGGCCAATTTTATGTGTTTCTGACAGAGTGTGAAATACCAACATTCTAAGGTATATTTAGTAATTTTAAAAAATACCTGTTAAATTTCATGCTTTGTAATTTAGTATTCTATTGAATGCTTAGGCAATTTTTGAAATGTAAGCTGTTAGGATGTTATGTTTTTACCTAAAGTGAGTGTATAGCAGGGAAAATTTTCCCTACTCTAATTTCCCTCCCTTTTTTTTCCCTGCAGAAATTTCCCTACAATAATTATGAGTTCCTTAAAAAAAATTTCAAGATGTGATTTTTTAAGTCTTAAGGAATTAATATTGCTTGTGGATTACATATTTTTAGATTTCTGTAAATTGTTATATTTATACAAGAAATCCTTTAAAAAAAAGCAGCTTCTCTCTACATTTAATTTTTGTGTAATATCCTTACTAAATTTTTATAAAACTGAAAAATAAAAATTTGTTTTCATGCTAATAAGATAAATGGTATATTGATGAAAATGTTAATAAGTATTTTCTCTTGTGTTAGTTTAATTTAGGGCGTGAAATTTCAGTTCTGAAGATACTAACCACACTAAAATTTTTGTTTGCCACTATTTTGCATTCATGAAAAATGCAAACGAATTTTTAGCAGATGAAGTATGAAGGTGACTGAAATCATAAAAAAAAGTAGAAACTTTATTGAAACAGATTTTTTGCAATAAAATATAAATTGAAATGAGGTAGTCTTAAGGTTCTAATGTTGCTAACAGCATTGGTTTTGGCGATGAAACGTGAGTGACTCTTTATTCTTTGTTCTAAATAGAAGAAAAATGCTAAAGCTTGTTTTCAAAACACTTTTATGTGCCTTTTCATTAGGGCATGATTATCTAAGTGAATATAGTTATATATACCCCAATGGTAAACTGGTGGGTGGAAATTTCGTGCGTGGTAAAGTCATATAAATAAACTGAAAAAATAATTTTCTATCATGTTCTTTATCATTGAACTAACAATTTATATATTTAGTTAAACTTATATACATGCCATTTCATTTTGTAACTTTCAACACGGTTCATCTCTTTAGTGAATGATTAATTGTGAATTTTTTATAGATTTTGTATTTGCACAAAATATAGTCATACACAGAATACTTATGTGTAGATTGTTTTGCTTATTAGGTCGTTTATGTTTACCTTTCATTTCATTTATAGATCTGTGAAATAAATGAAAGTCCAGTGTTTTTAAAGTTAAATCCTGTAGGAAGGCACACTGAAGTAAGTATTTCAATTTTTAAAGTTAACCAAAAGTAATTTTTAGATATTTTTTAATGAATCTAAAGCTTAATTATCTAGTTGTTATTACATTTCGTATTTTTCAATTGCTTATTCTTTGTCTAACTGTTAAAAAGACTGGATGCATGCCTTATGACCATGAGATTTTGTTTGTGTGAAACTAAATTTTTGTAATCAAATTCATTTATAGTAAAATTAAATTTTTTTTTTACAGTCAACATATTTTTCACACTAATTATAAATCTCAGCATATATTTATGGAGCCCTTCACACTCGCATGCCACAGGTTCTGGGTTCGATCCTCGGACCGGGCAAGGTTGACTCAGTCTTTCATCCCTTCAGTGGATCAATAAAATGAGTATCAAGCATGCTCGGGGACTAAACACTGGGGGTTTTGCGTTCGGCTGACCACCTGAGCAGAACATCTGCTCCTGCACCCCAGAGCCCAAGGTCAAGAAAACTGAGATGGGCACAGTAGGCTTTGGCTCTCTATGGGCTGTTGTGCCACTGAGTTTAGTTTATATATTTATGGAGAAACATTCTAGGGTGCATGTGCTGTTGAATTATGTGCATATCAAAAATTTTGAAAGTTTATTGCAGTGTTTATTTAATATTTAATTGTTTCGATTATTAGATACTTTTTTTAAAATTTTAATTCTACTTACTACAGGGCAGAACCTTTTGTATAGATTTTTGTTGACTAGTTTTCGAAATAAAATAGCTAAGTTCAAAGCTCTCAAAGATTTTAAAATGTTCATGAATAGAATTTTTAATGATCAGAACATTTTATCGTAGAAACCTGCAGTATGTTTAATCTAATAGTATACAGCAGTTTTTAAGTTGAGATATGCCTTTTTGAGTATGCTTTTTTGATATTATCTGTTACAACTCAAATAGATTATTTAAGGCTTATAAATAATTTATTCTAGCAAAAAATCTAAGGAGGTATGCTATTTTGTATAGCTTCATTATCTAGCATTAAAAAAAATCATATAGAACAATATTGATTCCGTAGTTTCTGAATAAATGGTTATCTACTGTGTTGTGATTTTTAAAATTCTAATTTACTGACTATTTTCTTTTATTTTTACAGTTGCCTGTTGTAATGTATGAATCTGTTATTGATCTTGTTAATGGAGAGGTAAATTATCTTTTTTGTTGTAATATTTTTATTAAAATATTTTTTTATGTTAAAATATTACTGTAGGTATCCATACAAATGTTCTGTAAGCATTCGGTGAAAGTAAACAAAGAACTTTCATTCATTAAATTCTTGCTATTTTGCAAATTATAAATAGTTATTGTTTTGCAAACGTAGATTGCAATAAAAAAAGGGAACCTAATTTCGTCAAACGTCTTATTAGATATAAATACCTTAATTATGAAAGAACGATAATTTATAGCAGATTAAATTTCCATTGTGATGCAGTTTTTATAATCGCAGCATTTGTGATTGTATTGAAATAGAAGTTGACTTTTTTTCATTGAAAATTTCTGCAATATGAATTGAAAATTTCTTGAATCCTAACTTGAGTAAATCCTAAGTTACTCAAGTTGAGAAAAAGGGAAGAATCGCACTGCTGAGTGACTGTGCAATTCTCTACTCTCTGTCGCTTCTTCCAAATGTAAATTGTTTTGCAGGGTTCTCTAAAATTGTTCTCTAAAATGTTCACAGTTTTGAGTTTTTTTAAAATTTTATTTAATTTTTTTTTTTTAGGTTTACTGCATACTTTTTTTGTTTTAATAATGGCTTAAACAGTTGGGAAGCATTTAAGTTTTAGATAGAATATATATAGCAAAGTTATTAAAACTGATTAAAAGTTACTTCTTATTTAAAGTTTATATTTTTTTATAAAAAGTTTTCTTCTTTTTGTTTTAATGCTAATGCTGCTATGTTTAAATTGAAAATCAAGTGAGTTTTAAACAGTTAAATAATATTAAACTTGACATTAATTTTACTCCGCTTAAAAAACAAATCTTCAGCATCACTGACTGTTAGCAATATATTTTTTTCTTCAAGATAGTGATAAAAACAATAACAGCATGAAATGATCTGCCTGGAATTAGTAAAATTAATTTAATTAAGAAGTTTTCCACTATGGTACCATGGAAATATAGTTAATTGTTACTTATTACTTACCAGATATCATATTAAAAAGAAGTTATAAATCACCAAACAAAAATACAAATTTTTTCTCAGTTAAAAACCTTTTATCGAAAAGGATGAAATGTTTATTTATCAATGCACCATAGTTAATGGGGTAATTTGTTTCTTTTTTTTTATGCTTTTTATAACATAATATTTTGCTTTTAAAGTTGTTACATAACATCATTGTTATTTAGTTGTTTAATTACACCTTATTTGATAGGAAATATTTGTTATACATATTGTCATTCTTTGTGAAAAACTTCAACAGTATGCACTTGAAAAAATTAATGCTTTTGCACCTATCTGCCTTATGATAAAATAAAATGCTTTGATTTTTTTTCATGAATTTTTTAAAATTTTTTTATGAATACAAAATATTTTGTTAATGTTTATATAATGTTTTGTTTATATAATGTTTTGTTTATATAAGCACTTTACTGTCTTAACAAATTGAGTCTGAGTACAATCTAGCCGCTGCATATTTTTTAACAGCTACAACTATTGCCAAACTTATTGACTTCCCCGATTAGTCCTGTGTTGATAGTTTACAAAATCTGGAGATCTGCATGATCAATTGGCAAAGTGTTAAGCTTATATTCACTTAAGGCTAAATAATACTTAATGATTTTTAATTAAATAGTTTTTTCAGTTTTTGAATTCATACTGTCTAAGTTCAGTAAATTCATACTGTCTTTGAATTCATACTGTCTTTTTTCAGTTTTTGAATTCATACTGTCTTCTTTATATTGTCTAAAAATTTTTTTTTCAGGCTACCATGCTTTTTGTTGAATTGTCTTATACACTTGCTACAGAAGAGGCTGAGCGTATTGGCTTGGATCACATGGCTAGAATGTCCACAAATGAGTCTGGTGAAAGTTCATTAGGTAAGAAGTATAGAAAAGAAAGCATAGAAGCTTACGCTATAAGTGCACAACCTTTTTCAGAAGAGGGCTACAGGAAAACGGAAAACAATTATTCTTTGCAAGCCACAATGAAATCTGTTTTTATATCTATTGACAATTCATAAATTGTTCTTAAGTGCTATAAAAGGAACAGTTTGACTAAAAATTAAGAGAAAAAGTTGAGCATATCATAAATAATACTGGAGAGCAAATTTTTTGCTGTATTTGCACAAATACTTGATCTTGCCCTTTTCAGGTGTTGGAATTTCAAATCTGAAATTTGTTTTGCTTTTAGTGGGCAAATTTATTTAAAATGACATTTTTAGTCTATTTTTTGTTTAAATGTACAAGTTTAAAAATGTTATATATATATATATATGTAACAGGAGATCGCCTGCATGTTACTTCCAACTTCAAGGGGAGTTACGATTCATCAGGATTAAAATTACATTGGAACCCATCCCCCAAAATGTTGTATGTGGCTGAAGGTGCTTCCCTATTAAGCACACGAAAAAACAGTCCATAATAGCGAAGCTCCCCAAGCTATACACTACAACATTTTTGGGCTTGGGTTCCTATGCAATTTTAATCCTGATGATGTGCCCTAACTCATCCAGGGATTTTTCGCAAAATTCAAGTGAATCCCTATTATATATGAGGTTTTTAAACTTCGATGAAAATTGAATGAAAATATAATTTTAAAAAATTAAAATAACAGTAGCTTGGTAACAGTAGAGTGAAATCTATTGCAGATTTGAAGTTTGGGATGTGAAAATATCTAAGATCTGTTAAAAAATCTCTTGCAACGAAAAACAAAAATTTGTTTCTTAGTATGCATATAATTCTTTTTAATTAAAAAGAAATGTTTCAAGTTTTGATTTTTTTAATAAAAATTGCAGATTTTTTATTTTCTCTTTCAAAAAAATTTTTTAAATAATTTTTACTGATCATAAAATACTTTAATTTTAAATGAACTCTCAAATTGCATTTTGTGAAGGCTGGTTTTTGAAGGCTCTGTCATCACACCGAATAAAACTTTTTTTGTGAATAATTTACAATTTTCATAACTGCTGTGAGTTTGCAACACAGTTATTTAGGACTGATCAGTCATGTTACTCTCAGCTTTGTATCTGCTAATTCTGAAGGTGAAGCTAAAAGTCAATGTAAAAAAAGAGCCACAGTTTTGTAAAAATGATAAGCTTTACGGTCCAGTTTTTTAACATGTGAAAAGTTTCTCCAGTACTGTATTATCTGGGCTCAGAAAATTTGCAAAAATTTAGATTATTTATTAAACTTGATAATTTTCATCTAGGTGAAAAAAATCTTGCCTAATTTGCAGTTTTTAAAAATGTTGAGAAATTTTTAATATATTTAAGTTAATTGTCCTTCCTAAAGCCTAGGTAATTCTCTATGGCAGTATAATATATATAGTTTAAAATTATAGATTTGCCTCACTTAAACTGCGTTTTTTATTTGTTTATTTATGTTTTTGGTAAATGCCATTAAAAATACTGTAAGTATGTTGCGATGAAAGGAAAAAAAAAAAAAAATTGCGGTGTCAAAACATGGACTATTTTGTCATAAAGATATTTTTTCCTCTGACTCTTACATTTTGGAATTTTATTTTTGCAGTTTCAATTCTTTTTTCCCAAGTTTAATAAAATTAGTTAGAAAACAGTAATAAAATTTCTTATGCTGGTTATATAAATTTTTTTATGCTAATTAATTTCAGATTGTAAATCCTCACCTTGCTGTGTTATTTTAATATAATAGTCTTTCTTTTAGTATAAGTCTAGCCACAGTTATTTCTAATTAGTTTTAAATTTTTTTTTCTATATTAAACCTTCAATGTATTTATTTTATTGTTTTCAGTTGCTGAACAATTGCAAGCTCAACACAGTGCCATTAAAATGTTGCACAGTAGAGTACATTTAATTTTAGATTATGTAAGAGCTGTAAAGGATGGTAGAGCAGCTCCTAATCATGAGATATTAAGAGAAGCATATAGTTTATGTCATAGATTACCTGTTGTTTCATCAGATTTTTTTAAAGAAGAATATTTTAATGTAAGTATTAGAATGTTTTTAAACTTTTTCAAAATAATGAAATTAACATTCATTTCGGAATTATTATTGGTATGTTTATTTCATTAGTAAGGAACGGAACACTTATTTTACTTGAAATATTAAAATTTATATTTAATCTAAACTTTCTTATTAATTTTTTAAAACTTTTTTTTTATATAACATAATTTCGATTTTATCTAAATAAAATCAATAGATAATGATAAATTTGTACATGGAGCAAATATGTTTTTGATAGGGAAATAATCTTTAATATTTCATGTTTATTTGAATGAAGCAAAAGTCTTTTAATCTTTAAAGCTTGATCTTACATGAATAATAGTTGCTTTGGTTCAACGATTATGTTTATTAATAGTTCCTTTTTTTGTCAGTGTGAAAGATAATAAAGTTTATTTGCTAACAATTTTGAATTAACTTGTTATAAGTTCTTATTTTTTATTACTTATACGTTTATCAATTTTTTTTACTTATTTTTAGCAATGCAATGATGTTGGGCTTATGACTTACCTTGGAACACTTACAAAGGGGTGTAACACTATTAACCAGGTAATTTTATATGTTTTTATGTTTAGAAACTTGTTGATATTTACTCTTATAATGCATTATTACTCTACTAGACAATAAAATTGCTATATCAAAAAGGAATACAAGTAACAAAATATTTCTTGAACTGGGACTGTATTCTATATTATTATGGAATAACCAAGAGATGTAATTTAGAAACTTGTATACTTAAAAACTTGTTGATATTTACTCTTAAAATGCATTATTACACTATCAGGCATTCAAATTGTTACATCAAAAAATAATATAAATAACAAAATATGTATTGAACATGGACATCTATATTATTATGGAATAAACAAGTGAAGTAATTTAGACATAAAGATTTAGAAAAATCAGTATATAGAACACTCACTGCCAATGGCATTAACTACATTTACGCACTTGTAAAAGGAATCAAACAGAGATTGCATGCTATTTTTTGGGATCATGGTCCATGAAATTTTAACAATGCAGAAGGGCAGTAGAGAATGATAACTTGCCAATTGTTCAGCGACTATTGACCACGTATTTTCAATTGGTGAAAAACCAAAAGAATAAGCTGATCTAGGAAACACTAAAATATATTCTGTATCAAGGAAAATCAGGAGAATACGGGTAGATTGTGGATGTGCATTGTCCTGCTGAAATATTGGAGAAAATTCAAAGATAAATCATGGCCATGGCTCTTAGCATGCTAAAAATATAATAGTTACTGTTCCAGGCACTGGTATATTTAGAGTGGTAATCAATGTTATGTTTTATTATTGATTCAATAGAAACTTAAATCTATATAAAATACCTGATAATTATGCAGTCAATTGTTTAAATGCAGGCAATTCAAACTAATTAAGCTATTTTTAAAATGGTATTTCGTAACTGCTTTAAATATTGTGGGAATCTGTTAATTCCAGGTTAGTAGTAGGCTATCCAGGTAGTAGGTATAGGTATAGGTAGTAGGCCAGGTTAGTAGTAGTAGGCGTAGTAGGCTATCTTCCTTGATTAAAGGTAGACTGGTGGTAAGCACGTCTCCTTCTTACACAAGGCATTTCAAAAACTTTTCTTACCTAAGACAATATATAAATACAAATAGGGTGAGAAAACTACTGTAAAATTTTTGTTTTTATATGCATTATAGCCAGGGTGCATAGCATTTTTAAAAAGTGCTTAAAGATGCTTATTTTTGATGTACGTTTTTTAAAAGCCCTTAAAGGTGCTTTTTTTATTCGGGGTTTGTAAAAAAGTGCTTAATTATCTATCTTTTAAGAGATTTTTTCTTTGCCGTAAATTTTGTCCTAACTTACAAAAAATGCATGATTTTCACAATTTTCTCTGTAATATTTGTCAGAAACTGGTTATTTTATCACGAATATGTAGAGTTTTTGAAAATGTTTTTGAATTTTATTGATTTTATGTTTATAAATTAAGAACTTTAAATGATAGAAATTTTTATTTTTTATTGCTGTACAGATCCTAATTATGAATTTTTTTTTTGGAAAGTGATTAAAAATATTTTTTGAGTGATTAAAAAGTACTTAAAAGTTGCTTATTTTTTGTTGAAAAATCTGACTACACACCCTGATAGCTGTTGCTACTACTGTCTGTTTGAGATGAATGTACTGAAAATCTAATAGTAGTAGTCTGGTTATTGATTAAGGGTAGACATGTTGTGGTAAGCATGTCTTCTTCTTACACAAGGCATTACAAAAACTTTTCTTACCTGAGACAATATTTAAATGCAAATGGGGTGAGAAAACTACTGTAAAATTTTTGCTTTTATATGCATTATAGCTGTTGCTACTGCTGTCTGTTCGAGATGAATGTGCTGAAAATTTAATAGTTTGCCTATTATGTTTTATCTGCCATGCAAATTTTATATGTGTTGTGGGCACATTAATAGTGTAGCAATTTTAATTGGCAGTAGTATATAAACTGAGTAGTATATTAACTGATTCTTTTTTTCTATTTCAGTTTGTTAACAAATTTAACATTTTGTACGACAGACAAGGCATGGGTAGAAGAATGAAAGGATTTTTTTTCTAACTTAGCAAGACTGTAAAATTGTATTGTCCATGTAAATTTTCTAGCGTCAAGAGAAACATTTTGTAAATAAACATTCTCTGCAGTGCTTTTGTTTTGATATTCGTTCCTCCTTTTTTTAAAAAAAAAGCTGATTTGCTGTTAATTTATAATCTTTAATAAAAAAATAGTTTCAAAACAATATTTGTATCTTCTTTTTTTTAAAATAATTTTTTAAATGCAAAAGTATAAATTTATGTGCTTGAAAATTATTTTAAACTTGTCTAAAAGTAACATTTAAAAGTCAGAATCAGTTAGGGGAAATTCAAATGCTTTTGATTTAAGTTAGTTTAAAAATTTCACAGGGAAAATCGGTTTACCAGTGAAAATTTGGTTTAATGATATGTTTAGTACAAATATATCGATGCCATAAGTAAATATATCAAATGCACTATTTTAATGTTTTTTTTAACTTTTTTTAGTATAAAAATATTTGATGTAAAATAAGTACTTATTTCACCTTTTTATTATAGAAGATTTACTGTTATTTTAGCTCTTTCCAAATTTAGAAAGCAGAATTTAGTTTAAAAATGTTTGTAGTACAAAAAGAGCCTTAAACTTCTAATTTCATTAAACTGGCAAAAACTGGAACCATGTCTATGTTTTGAACCTTTTCTGCCATTAAAGTATTTACTGCAAAAGTATCATATAAAGTAGCAAGTTATTTACTGTAATAATGTTTAATATTATCTAAAAAAATTTATTTCCTTTTTGTTGAATTTTGTGTTTAAGCACCTAAATAAAACTATGTAATAGACAATATTGTAACCCTAAAAACATTTTGTTTAACAGAAGTTAGTGTTTCTCTTGGGTTTTGTATTTGAAAAATACAGTATAACCTCAATCAATCGTCTCTCAAAAGACCATGCATTACAGACGATAGATACAGGAAAATGGTGAAAGCCGGTCAGTTTTAAATATCAAGTAACACATGAAGTAGATATTTCAATTTTTCAGTGATTTCGTTTTCTTCTGAAACATTTTGCTACAATATTGTTTCCATGACTGAGCAAATTGAAACAATAAAAAGATAAAATGTTTTTTCAACATTGTATGCAAACAACGCAATATAGAGTGATGGGAAATATGGCATAATAATAATTAAAATATTAGCTGCTTGTAACAAAAAAACTGTGCCAATCGGGAAAGAGATTCAAAAGATCTCAAGGAAAGTTAAATTTGTAACCATCTGTTTCAAAAGTGGAAGTTTGTATTTTTGATATTGGGTCCGAACTACGTGACGCCAGAAATTGGCGATTGTTTACAAATCACCCTATAAGAATTTGAAAACTAGGGAGGGAAAAAACACAATCCAAATCGATGTTATCGTTTTCAAGCTATTGGCGAACATACAGACTTTCATCTATATGTAAAAGCGAAAGTCTGTACGTATGTTCCTTGGTGGCTCCTTAATTCTGGTTGCCAAGGTATGTCCGATTATAAACAGAGAATGGAGTGACCGATTTGGATGTGTTTATTTTTTTCTTCTACAATTTGCAAATTCTTATGGGATGTAGTATGTAAACAATTGTCATTTTGCTTGGGTGTAAGTTCAAAAATACGAAATTGCATTGTTAAAACCCATTGCAACTTTGCCTTATATCTTTTGAGTTTCTTCACTGATTGGCATGGCATTTTTTCCCCTCTTATTACATATTTTTTGGATCGTTTTACGAAATTTTGCATCCCTCTACATTGAGTTGTTTGCCTGTAATCTTAAAAACGGATTTTTTTTTTCATTGATTCAACGTTGCGCTGTCATAGAAACCGCATCGTTACAAAATGTTTAATAATATAGACGCAGTATCTCAAGAAAAAATACCTAATTAAAGCTATCTAAGCTCACAGTACAAATGCTGAAGTAAAAACGCCTGATAGAAACAAACACGCTGGCGAACATAAGATAAGTCAATAGATAAATTTTTTGAAATTAAAAAATTAAGCTAAAACTTACCACAAAGTTAGCAAAGGAAGTCCATTTATGAATGCACTGTACGATTTTAATGAAGTAATGATATCAGATTATAGTTTTAAATTGAACATGTTTTGAATAAAAGAGAACGATTACGTATTTTTTGTTTTTATAAATAAATTGGTTTTATTAGGCAGAAAATTATTTTAATTTCAAGAGTTTGTCAAGAAAATAATAAGAAATTACTGGCTAATTGACAAGACTGACAACAATATTTAAAATGAAGTAAATTAAATAGTCACAGAGTAATTGAAAGCATTAGCGTTTCCGAATCAAATTACGGTAAAAAGTACCGGCATCCAGGGTGCCGGTACTTTTTACCATGAAACTTATTTTGACTGGAATATGCTACGGAACCAATAATTCGATAAACCGTAATATTTACAGTAATAATTATAATAAAACAGCCGAATCACTGTAATTAAGTAGATATTACTGTTAAAAGTTCAATATAATAATTTACCGTGAAAGTGTATTTTACGGTAAAAATGGATTTTAGGGATGATGCACCCAAAGTGCCGGCAATTTACCGTAGTAATTTGATCCCGAAATTTTTACAGTGTATGTAGCAATTCTAATAAATCCCATTAAAAACTCCTTGATAACATGCAAATATCAGCGAACTTTTTAAAATTCAGATAGCAAGAGTTCTTTTGATTTAAGTAATTTACGAATATTATGATAAAGTGAAAACAGATAAATAGAGGAAGTTAAAGAAAGAAGAAGAATGGAACGTTTTAAATTGGTACAGTTATCAAAGATAGATTTTTCTATTTTCCATCCCTATATGCTTAATATTCTTCTCTATTATATTGCTCTAAATTTTAAGAAACAAGTGCTTTGGCAAATTGAATTTCTAGTTACAAAGAGCAAAATTTTACCCTACAGTAAACAACGCCCATGGAACTTCTATCTGAAAATGTAATTAACAAGAAAGCATGTACTTAACTATGCAAAGGAAGAAGAATATAAAGGATAATGATATAAATGATAGGATAAATGAAGCATTATAAGGTACGAGTTTTTGTGATAGTAATTAATATTACTTAATGTTACTTTTTTGATGGTTATTTATAAATTATACTTTTTTTAATTCCACATGAAAGCTATATTGAGGTAAGAGGAATAATTTTACAGAAATGTTTGGCAAATTTTAAACATATTTAGGTACAAATAAAGAAAATCTGTGTATAAAGTGCATTTCAACATAAATGAACAAAGGCAATAGTGCAGCAAGAAATATGGTTGTATTTTTTCAGAGAAGCATAATTTCAAAAAGCATAATCTTATCTTCCATAAAAATAAATTCATTGTTTTAAAAATAATTTCCTCCATAATATTTGAAAATAACACTTATATCATTTAAGTATATTTTGCTGAAATAATTCGTGAAATTTTTTTTTCTTCCAATTGTTTATTAAAATTTTAATTTCTCAGATTTTTACATATTGTACAGATTTTGGATATTTTCATTAAAAGGTACATAATTTAACATTATGTAAAGTATTTTTATGTCTTATTGTTCAAAAAAATTTTGATTACTTATAAAGTAACAAATAGAAATTCGTTGTTATTAAAATTATATTTTTCAAATCAATTACTTTGGAGAAAGTACTTTATTAATGATGGGTTCAAAATTAGTTCATGTTTAACGAAAAAATATGAAAATAGCATTAAAAAGCCTAAACTTTCTCCTGACTAACATATTGAGGGTCAAAAAAATTCATTTTAAAAATGTTGTGTTTAATCATCTAAAGTATGAGTTTTTGTTTGCGCGCAACTTAGTTAATTGGTTTAACTAATTAATTAGCATACTTCAAGTCAAATCATTGAGCTTGCATCTTTGCATGCGAAATAAATTATTTTTTTTCTGCTGCAGAGATAGTGCTTTTCATTTTCACGCTGGAAGTATTGGTGGATTTAACATTTTTTCGCTAAATACATCATAAAATGCTGTTTCAAATTTCTCCCCACATTGGCATTGCATGTTAGTTATTTACTGCGCTTAAGGTCCGGGTAATCGATCATGTGTCGAGCAGAAAGGAATTATTTTGCTATAGAATTAAAAGAGATAATGGAAAAGTGTTATATTATTGTAGGAACATTTATTGAAGCAGACATAGACACCCTGGATTGATAACGAAAAATGTGTACATACCGCAGGGAAATAGTAAGAAAGTTAAGTGGTTAATGCAGTAAGCTGTATTTATGAAAGACTGGGTTTCCTTCTTGATGCCTACCCAGCTTGTCTGAAAAATAAAAGCAGCTGGTGTGCAATGCTGACCACACATTCACCATTATGACGTTAATCTCGAAATTATCGAGCCTTAACTTTCAAGATCCTCTTGGCTGACAACTGTTGTGGAAGTACTTTTCTTATAAATAGGTTACTTACTGAAGTTAAAAATGTTCGTCATAAAAATAAATAACAAAACGAAATAAAATAAGTAATAATATTAATTATAAAAAGATAAACAATGCTAGTTCCAAAGACGGCGTTCTCCACACCAGACAACTGACAATGTTACTGATTTCATATTCGCATCATTTCTTCTGGCCGGGACAGTCTGGTTGGCAGGGCGCTGGACTCATGAAGGTGAGAACGGGAGTTCGAAACCAGCCGGCCGAAGACTCCCCGTGTAGTAAATGGTGACTGATGCACGTTAAATCTTTAGGGTCACAAAGCCCTCCATGTTCTCATAACAAATTATACCTCTTGGTACTGAATTGGAGATTGATCGTTCTCTGGTTCAGTTCAAAATTGAGATCCGTAGATGAATGAATGGATGCAAGAATGGGTTCACCCTATGAACAGGTGTGACGTATGGGTCTGGCTGAAGTCGAATACTTTGCTATAGATGGCGCCACTGGAAAACAAGATCAATCGCACCCCTTGCCTTAATGGTCTACAACAATAACATCATTTCTTCTAAGAGTAATTCAGCTCTCCACATTCGTTTATTAAAAAATTCTCAAAATGCCTTTTAAATTTTACAATTTTAAGAGTATGAAATTGTCTAAAACTGTTTACAACTTCTAATTTTTTGAGTTATTTAAATCTTTGAATTAAATTCTTGCTCTTGAAATTC